TCCCTTATTCCAGCGCCATGTCCCGCTGCTGTCCCATATTGATGGATGTCCCTTAAATGTCCCTTAAATTTCAAAGGAAGCAGCTCTTCTCCCTCCCTCCCTGCCGGCCAGGGAGGAGGGAGGCTCCAACTGTGTTGCTTGGCTGTGTTGCTCACCCAATAAGAAGTCTAAGAACGACTGGGGGGTGGAGCTTGCATGCCGTGTGTGTGGCTAGTTAATGCAAGCTGAGGGGTTGTTGAATGCTGGACGCCATTTTGTTGCACGTGCTGCTGCAAACTTTGCAGTGCAAAACCAGGCCATGGAGCCATCTTAAGTTGAGGCTGCATAGGCCTTGTGGTGCATGTGATTCAGATTCTATTCAGTTGAACCTCTGGTTACAAAGTTGGTTGGACAGTGTTCTCGAAGCTACCAGCATGAGTTTGACCAGACTGCAGGAGGACAGGAAGACTGGAGTGCCTGGAACAGGTGAGGCTGCAGGTCCCTTATTTTGGCTGGTGGTCCCTTATTTTCAAGGCTGCTGGTCCCTTATTTTCAAATCTGTAAGTTGACAGCTATGAGATAATCAGCTTCAATGTAGGGCAGGTGAGAAGGGGCAGAACCCACCTCTTACCACAGAGATTGAAGTGGCTAGAGGGAGGTGCCTGAAGCATTCCTTTGCTTTCCACAGTTGTGACTTACTACACCTTAGTAAGGGATGCGGGTCGCGCTGTGGGTTAAACCACAGAGCCTAGGACTTGCTGATCAGAAGGTTGGCGGTTCGAATCCCTGCAACAGGGTGAGCTCCTGTTGCTCGGTCCCTGCTCCTGCCAACCTAGCAGTTCAAAAGCACTTCAAAGTGCAAGTAGATAAATAGGTACCGCTCGAGCAGGAAGGTAAACGGCGTTTCCGTGCACTGCTCTGGTTCGCCAGAAGCGGCTTAGTCATGCTGGCCACATGACCCGGAAGCTGTATGCCAGCTCCCTCAGCCAATAAAGAGAGATGAGCGCCACAACCCCAGAGTCGGCCACGACTGGACCTAATGGTCAGGGGTCCCTTTACCTTTTCCTTTACACCTTAGTATATTTCCTACTTGACTCATCAGCTCGAGAGTTACCATGCTGCAATTTACACAGGCTCCTTTAAGCTATTTGTTTTCAGTTAGAGGCAGAGTTAGGGGATCACCTTTACGGTTGCCTATCAACACAACAATTTTCAACCATGGTGTTTCAACTTCTAATCATAAAGTGCAAGATTTGTTATAAATTTATGCTTTAATAAAGCCCGCTTTGGGGTATAAAACTGCAGCTGTAATCTCTGCAGCATATTTACTGCAGGGAAAGTAGGCTAGGTCCCAGACTGCTCACGAAACTTGAAAGTGTCCCCCATGACAGTAATGTTCTTTCTCTCTCTCTCTCTCCCACAATGTAGCTTCACTGAGTCTGTGGGAAATGAAGAGTTTAAACTACAGATTAGAATTGAGACGATTCAAGGAAACGGGAAGGAAGCAGAAGATGCAGCAGATAGGCACTGGCTGCTGGTGGTGAGGGTACCAACTTGCAGAGGTAGCTCTTCTGTTGATCTTTTGTCTTTTGGCACCTTAGAATTCTTAGGTGGGTTCTTGATGGCTTCCAGTGAATTCTATGAGACGTTAAAATGAAAGCCATTAAGAGTATAATTCATTCCTGGGCACGTGGACCTAACATGAACAGATGGAATACTGAACTGAATACATGGTAGAGTGTTCAAGGACATGTGAGAATTTTCATGTTTGAGCCAATTAACAAAGAAGAATGAGGGCTGAAGAGAAAGAAAACAAACGTTCATTAGCTCCTTCAGAACGGATTACGTCAAACCATTAATATTTTGCTTTCAGGCAAGTTTTATAACAAAGCAGCAAAGGAGGGTGTTGCCTCCACTTTTTTTCACATGATAAATCCAGCCTCGCTATATGCACCATGTGAATTACTGAGTTTGCATAAAAATCCATAATAAAAAAATTAGCCAGGGTTCCACGTGATAAACTTGCGCTGATTCTGCTGATAAACTTCCACTGATGAGTCCTTTTATTAAAAGGGCGATGTTTTATATGTGCCAAAGAGGATTAAAATAATTGAAAGGAGGATGATTAAAGCATTTTATAAAGCCCCTGGCAGTAGGTGGGGCAAATGATGAGTGATCTAATTTTCAGGTGTGTTCAGAATGGATAATTGTTTTTTTTATTTTCTTTTGTTTTGGTTGGCACTTTTCTGTTTACTGCCCATTATTTCTGATGAGAAGAAAAATGGTGAGTTGCATTTGCTTCAGTAAACTATTTTGCCAGCTTAATGCCCATTCATCCAGTTTGGAGAGGTAAGAACATTAGAATAGCCCCAACAAATCTGACCAGTTGCCCATCTACTTTTGTTATGTTGTAGTTTTGCAAATTTTTTTATGCTGTAAGCTGTTTTGATCATGGTTTGAACTGTGGAAAGGCTGCATACAAATGTATGTATGTATGTATGTATGTAGTCCAGTGGCCAACCATATGCCCATGGGAAGGCAGGAACTGAGTTCAACAGCACTTTCCCCTATTGTGGTTTCCAGTAACTGGTATTGAGAAGCATACTGCCTTTGACAGTAGGAATTTATCTAATTTTATACTGGTGGCCATCGCTGCCTCGTGGGAAAGAATTCCATAGATCCCGTTGGACTTCTTCATAATCTTTTTAGCGGTTTCACGATCCTGGTGTTGTAAGCAAACCTAGCCTCCTTACCACTGACCCCTAACTCTAGAACATTTATGAACAAGTTAAAAAGCGTCATCAGGGGACCTTACTTCTTATGTTCCTCCACTGGCAGAATAGTTCCTATGTTCCTACTCCCTGCTTCCTTTTCTTTAACAAGTTACCAATCCTCTTATGAAGACCTGTCCTCTTATCCCATGGTGAGGGACTTTGTCAAGCAATATTTGAAAGTCTAAGAATACAATGCATGCCAAGTAGCACTTGGAAAGGCAGTGAGCAGAATATAGGGTTTTGTGGGAAACTCTGATTAAAAGCTCTGTTCCTCTGTGAGGCCCACTGGGTTGCCTAGAGCTTTCTCACTCAGCCTGACCCCTCTCACAAAGTTTTTGTGGAGTTGTAATGCTGCTGCTCCAAGCTTCTTGGAGGGAATTTGGGATACAACTGACAAATAACTTTACTCCCACAGATCTGACATCAGCACCAGTTTTGTGATAGAAAAGTTTATGTATTTATTTACGGTATATTAAAAACCTATAAGCCACTCCATATCAATGTGGTGTACACCCCCCCCCAAAGCAAGTATAATAATAATATACTATGACCAAAACGTCATTAGCAGATAACAACTTTTTTCCATTCAAAAAAGTCCTGGGTAAATTGAAAGGTCTTAAGTGTAAACCACCGAGTCTTGGGCTTGCCAGTTGGAAGGTCGGCGGTTCGAATCCCCGTGATGGGGTAAGCTCCTGTTGTTCGGTCCCAGCTCTTGCCAACCTAGCAGTTCGAAAGCACGTCAAAGTGCAAGTAGATAAATAGGTACCACTCCAGCGGGAAGGTAAATGGCATTTCCATGCACTGCTCTGATTTCGCCAGAAGCGGCTTAGTCATGCTGGCCACACGACCCGGAAGCTGTCTGCAGACAAACGTCAGCTCCCTCGGCCAGTAAAGCGAGATGAGTGCTGCAACCCCAGAGTCCTCTGCAAGAATAGATTGCTGGAGTCACTGACATTGATTTTGCTTCTTTTTACTAAAGTAGAGGGGTGGTGGTGCACAAGCCAACATTATGGAGCTGTGGGAAAGCCTGACAGCCCCTGCCACCTCCATTTCCTCAGAATGCCTCTGGCCCCCCGTGTAGTGGGATACCAATGTGATAATGACTTTTACTTCCATTTGGCCTGATGTAGCAGAACCCAGAGGCATTCTTGGGTAAATGAAGGCTGCAAGCTGCTGCCACCTCATGGGATCGTTTGCATCACTTCACAATGCCAAGCTGAGCTCTGCCTCCCCAGCAAAAATGTTGAAAAGGGGAAGCCTGTCCTGTCCCAGCTGCCTGATAAACGGGGTGGGGGGGTGGGGGAAGGAAGGCAGGATATCATGGTGTGGCTGGGGAGGGGAGTCCAGGAGGCACCTTGCTCAGGCCCCAATTAAATCCAGGCTTCAGCCCTGCCCAGGGGTGGAGTGAGGCATTTTTGCATCTGAAGCAAAAATCCCACTGCCACCCCTGAAATGGTGTGTTGGGGGGCATGAGCCTTTGCAAATGCTTAAAGGAAAAGTGCTTGCAAAGCCTTGCCAGGCGACAAACTCCACCAGGGCATCCAGAATGGAAACTCAGTGTGAGAGGGTGTTCCAGACAGCTTTGGCACTGGCCTCTCTGTCCCTAGGGGCAGTGGGAGAGCAGCGGCAAAGCGGAACGCCAGAATACCTTCCTCTCACCGGGTTTCCCTCTTGCCAAGCTTCTCTGGGTATGCGGGAAGCTGCCTCTTGTGTTACAGTTGCCTGAGACAACTGCTTCACCCTGCCTCATTTGTGGGCAGCTCTGGCCCTGCCGCCTAGCTCTGGCCCAGCTATGCTCTGCAACCAGGCTAGGCAAAAAGCCCACGGGCAACGCCCGTAGGATTTCAGTGTTATTGTGCCATGAACAATGCCGGTAGCCACTGTGGGGAAGGAAGGAAGGAAGGATGTCTAAACAGAACAGAGTATGTATTTGCTGCAAGACAAGAGGCCATCCGCCAGCAATGTAGCCCAAACGCCAGGCAGTTCTGGGCACGGCCTGCAGGGGGCAGCGCTCAAGCGGCTTCCAGCGCAGCCGATGACGAACAACAGCGCTCGCTGCCAGGTTCTTCCCCTTCTCCAAGAATTCCTTCAAGAGGGCAGGGCCAGGCTTCCATCTGGGGCTCTCCTCCCTATGCATTGTGGGACTCGTAGTCTTCGGGGCGCAGCGACCGGTTCGGCCTCGGTGGAGCCGGGACTACAAGCCCTACAATGCCTCGGGGCGACTGACTGGCCGTTCCTTTTGAATGATTTCACTGCGGTTTCCCCACATTCCCTAAGCTAGACGAGCAGCAGCAGCAGCAGCAGCAGCAGCAGCAGCAGGAGGAGAAGGGCGCAGGAATCATGGTGTAAAGGAGCCGCCGGTTCACTGGTGCGGGGACCAGGGGCGCAAGGAGCCTGCCCATTTCATGGCAGCCAGGGCTAGGGGCGCTGGAGAAGAGAGGGGCATGGCAGCTCGGGGGGTCGCCTGGTCTTAAAGGCTGCAGGGAGCGAGCGGGGCGGCGTTGCTGCCGCCGCCGCCGGCGGATCCATCCTGCTGCTCTCGCGCTCTGCCGCATTTCCTCCCTTCTCCTCACTCCCGTCTGGAGCCGCACCAGCCCCCCGCACTCTGAGCAGCCTCGCCCCCGCCAAGATGTCTCTGGCCGTCGAAGAAGAGGACTACGCCAAGCTGGTGATGGAGTCGGGGCCCGAGTGGCTCCGCACCGAGATCAAGCGGCTCTTCCAGGAGCTGGGCGAAACCACCCGCGAGAAGATCCAGGCTGCCGAGTACGGGCTGGCGGTGCTGGAGGAGAAGCAGCAGCTCAAGCAGCAGTATGAGGAGCTGGAGCTGGAGTACGAGACCATCCGCACCGAGATGGAGCAGCTGAAGGAGGTGAGGGCGGCGCTTTCTTCATTTTGCGGGGGGCGTGCGGTAGCAACAGCTGCGGCGGCGGCGGCGGATCTAATGGGCTTTAGCGGGCGCGAGGAGGCGGTGCGCGATGCAGGGGAGAGGGGGACTGTGTTGAACGCCGGCTGCTTTTTGCGGGAAGGGGCGGGAATAAATATAGCAGACAGGCAGGCGGGCAGCATGGGCTAATGGTTAGTTCACAATCGAGACTCCAGCGCACAAGGCTCCCTGGCCTGCCTGCTTGCTTGTGGAGACGTGTGCATTCTGTGGATTAACGTTTTCAGCGGGCGGTGGTGTGTTATGGGGAGCGCGCGCGCGCGCCTAGGCGTGAAGGCTTCCCGAGCAGCCCCGTTCCCACGATCGCAAAGGCCAGCTGGGCCTGGCTCGCCAGTGCGTGCCGGGCTCGTGGCGAGTGCAGCGCCTTGCAAACCCTCGCCCTGGCTTGGGAAGGTCTGCGGGGGCGCAGCTCTCCGCGCAAGGCAGCCTCGCCTTTCGGATTCGCCCAGCTCGCGGGAGGCGCACCAGCCTTCTCTCTCTCCCCGGCCCCCGCGATGCAGTGTCACAGAACGAAGCCGATCCAGAGCCTTTGGCCCTCCCCTTTTGCTGGCGTCACGCCTTGCAGCCCCCTTAAAGGGGCAGCTCGGCAATGTCTGCGCCTCTCTAATGCACCGTGTCCTTCCTGTGACATCTGCCGTATCTTCTTGCACTGCCGTGAAATGTGCCGGGCAGAGGATACTATGAGATTAATACTCTTGGGCTCGGGTGACATCTGTCCACCAGAGACCGTCGTTTTCTCTCCTTCCCCCCTTTGCAGGGATGTCTCGTGCCTGCCTTGTTGGTGAAGATCCCCTGTCTCCTTCTGCCATTTAATGGGAGGGAACCTAGGACAGGCCTCTGCCAGACCTGGAGGGAATTAAATTATTTCTGCCCACGTCAACTGGCTGATGTAGAGTTTTGATGTTTTGGAAGCATGAATAACGATATTGCTTGACATTCGTGCAGAAACGAATCAGAATCTTAAATGGCTCAGTTAAGAGTTCATTAGATAGTTTTCTTTGCTCAGAGGTTGTAACGTTAATATTTGAAGAATTATTATTAGGCCTATTGCATGTGCCAGCATAAACTGATCAGAGATCACTGAGTAAATTCAGAAGGCGTCAGAAAGCCTGCTATCTTGATTGCTTGGGCACTTCGAGAATCAGCCTACAATCTTGAAATACTGTTTGGCTCTGTGCAAGCCTGGCCCCGAAGAATCTGAAATATTGTTTTTCTAGTGCTGGCCCATTGTATGCTTCTAGTTATATAATACATGCTTTTTACCAAACGTCTGTTTCACAGAAGCGGTTAAGGCCTCTCGTGCAGCTCCTTGCCTCTCCACTGTTCTCAGTTCATTTCTGTAATCGCAAACTGTAATGGAAGAGTGAGTGCCTATGGGTTATAGTGTTTTGTGTGTTGTTTTATTAGGTGCTAGGTTTTCAACTCCGGGACATCAGTTGTTTAACTTTTTAGTTGTGCTTTGACATTTTTTGTGCGACCAAATGTAGTTCTTCCTCCCATCCTGTTGGGGGACACTGTGGTTGGGGCTGAGGAATAAAAGTAGCTTCATTTTTCTCTGTTCCACTCAACAACATGATAGGAAGGAGGAAAGATTAGGGGAAAGACTGCAAAGATTCATATTGGGATGGCATGATACACAAATTCTGACTGTTTTCTTTGTCATCTCAGTTGTGTGGAGTGGTGAATCAGGAAGGGGGAGACTTATCTCTTGGATGTGGTTTGGAAGTGGCTAACTAGAAGGGGTGTATTTGAGGGATTCCGAGAACAGACCTTTTTGCTCTGGCACGACATGCTTGCAGTAAGTTGCTAGGTATCAGTCGGGCCCTGTGCCAATGGCGACCACATGGAGATCTCTGGATGCCAAGTTAGCGACTGACATTTCTATCTGGCTGGCTCCTCCAGCTTTCTTGAGAAGGTAAGCAGAAGGGCTTATTTATTACATTTTTTATCCCACCTTTTTCATCCAAGGAGTACATGGTTCTCCCCCTTCTCATTTAATCTCTACAGCAACCCTCTGAGGTAGGTTAGGAGGCTGTGACTGGCCCATGCGAGGTTCGTGAATGGGGATTTGAACCCTGATCTTCCAGGCTCTAGTCTGATACTGTAACCACTACACCACACTGGCTTCCTAGAGTACTTCTGCTGTGGGACAGCTCAGTAAATTAAGTAGGTAAAGAAATATGGGAAAATCAAAATGTCCCTTAGAGAAGGTTCTGAAATATTTTCCTTGAAGCTTGAATTCGTTTCTTCTGAATTGTTTTATTTGATGTTTTAATATGTTGTCAACCACTTTGATATACAGTGGTACCTCGGGATGTGAATGGGATCCATTCTGGAGCCCCGTTTGCATCCTGAATAGAACATAAGATGTGATGGCGCGTCGGTGCGTGCGCGGGTCATGTTTTGCCACTTCCACGCATGCATGTGACGTCATTTTAAGCGTCTGCGCATGCGCTCCGTTACTTCCGGGTTGCTGCGGAGCGCAACCTGAAAGTGCTCAACCTGAAGCACATTCAACCCGAGGTAAGACTGTATTGGTATAGAAAGGAAATGAATGACAACAACAATAACAACATCATATTTCATTGCAAAAGAAAGGTACCTACACATTCAATTGTGGTGACTGTGACCCAGTTTTAAAGTGCTATTTGGTGTTTAGCTTATATATCTGAGTTTCTAACACTGGTACCAGCTGAGAGCCATAGAAACTTTGAAACTCTTCTCACCAACTTGAACTATTCATGCTGCCACTAAATGCATTTTAGTGGCGGACAGACAGTGCTGATTTTGAATGGGAGCAATGCTGAACCCCTGTCGGTGGTGGCCACCTACAATCTTGATTTACCCTAACGTGCAATGCGCCTGCTGATGTGGCAGCAGAAAAAAAAACCCCCGCTCTATGGTTGTGGTCATGTGGCCCCATACCAAAGATTCCCTGAAATCTGGCAGTAGTGAGGGCAGCAATGCAGGGCCAACTTAAATGTCTCCTTAAGAGAGCAAAATTAGTGTTGATTTAATTAGATACTGCAAATCCCTGTGCTGATGCAATTTCGTAATGAAACCTGATTTATAGCAATGTGCTTAATATTGTCCACATTAATTAAAGCAGAGTGTCTTTCAGGACGCATTTAAAGCTGTACATGTTTTCAAATATTTTTACATTGCTGGAAATGCATGTCCGTGGACTTGTGAGTATGTCTGGAAATGCTAATATGGAATCATGGGGAAAGTTATTATACAGGGAATGCGTTTGTATGTGTCAAAACAGTTTAATCTCTCTTTGCTCTCTGTTCTCCACCCCTTCTATTCTGTACCTTGTGCTAATGGAGCATCTGCATCCATTAACATGAGCACAGATGTGAGGACTTTTTGTGGCTTGATAGGAGGAGGGGAAGAGGGATTTCAGTGATCAAAGCATAGGAATACAGCATCCCTTTCTTAGCTCTTTGCCCTTTCATCTGACTACTAGAACTGGAATATGTTACCCAAAAATAAGCAGATTATAAGCACATGCTCTCAATTTGCATGATTGACAGAATTCAGTTTTTGTTTGTGCAGCATTTTTAAAAACCTGAAGTATATACAGTACACAGTATTGGACTGATTGTCTATGGGCTGATATAGGGAAAATTATAGTTCTTTAGACCTTTATGATGTTATGGAGGAATCTGGATCTCATTAGAGATTGACTAAATCTTTAACAGATGTGTGCTGAATAGGCTTTTGGGGTGGGTGGGAGGAAACCTATTTAATGGCCATGCCCCCCACCCCCGAACCTTTTTTGTGTGTGTAAGTTTACATAGAAGATTTTTAGTCTTATCCCTTTATATCTTTACACAGAAGTAAGTTTGCCTGATCATAGTGGGGATTGATAAGCTACAGTTCTGTGCTGTGTATTCAGGTTGCTCCACAGGAATGTTGGCTGTAGAAGTTGCAAATATTCCACCACAGAAGTTGCTGAGGGTATGAGGTAGAGAACCTTATTCACTTTGGTTTCCAAACTCAACCTGAATGACAGTATTTAGGCTGTCCTCACAACACATGGCATGGTGATGTGATGCATGGTGGTGATACAGTGAAATCTGATCACTCTGTTGTCATTTGCACACAATGCTAAGTGAAACCATGGCTTACCACAAACATGCAGCCTATTGGAGAGAAGATCAGACACTTTGCTCCTCCCTTGTTGTTCTGATGCTGCGCTAAGTCATGGTTTGGCTTAGCATCTGAACCCAAGCTCATGGTTTAACTCCAACACTCCATGAGCTGTAAAACAATGGACAAGCTTGCGGTTGTTTTGGAGAGTGCTAAACCGCGAACCTAGGTTCAGGCTATAAACCAAACCATGCTTAGTTCAGCACAGCACAACAGCAGAATCTCTGGAGGAGGAGCAAAACACAGTCACAGTCTCCTCCAGAAGCCGGCATGGTTGCTTGTTTATGCTAAGCCACGGTTTGGTTTAGTATTATGTGAGAACCAGACCTCTGAAGGCATCAATACCCTACAATGAAAATTGGTGGCTGTGGAACTTCTGTAGGATGGAGCCAATATAATTAGGAGTATCCCTTCTTTTTTAAAAAGAAAAAGTGGGTCCTGCAGCCACTCATCTCAGCACTTTTTGTAGAAACAAGCAGACCATTTATGGAGATTGTCAGATCCAATAACTCTGCTAATTTGAGATTGTCATACAAATCAGGTTCTTCAGACTTTGGCAGCCAAGTACATTTTAAAAAGAAGTACAGGGTCATTAAACAAAATGAAGCAGACCTTTTGTGAAGACATCCATGTTCGTTTTGTTATTCCATCTATTTATTATGCTGCAGCATGAGTGTCATTGCGTATGTGGCCAAGAAAGTACCACCCACGCACAAGACGGGGGCGTATCAGCAGGCTTGGAGAAGTACTAAATTTTTAAAGAAGAAAACTTAGGATGGGAATCCCCATCCCAACTCCAACAGTCAGTGACTATAGTATGCTGACTGAATGTTGAGGGAGGAAAAACAGAAAACCCAGTGAGAGGAGGAATGGAGAATTGTAGATGAGGGCCTGGCTGACTGCACAGTGAACAGGAACACTCCACGCTGCAACACTTTGTTGTTCTCATCCACTTGCATAATAATGCTTATGCTGAAATGATCATTGACCTTACTAGGGATGGAAGGATCTGTCCATTCTGGTTGCCTCCATTTCTCATTTTTCCAGTCTTAAAATCAGTTCTCTTCATTTATTTATTTAAATTATTAGTTGCCCTTTTTTACAAAAGCAAAAGCAACCTTTTTTACAAAAGCCACTTGCAACAATAATCAAATGACATTTAGGTTAAAAGCCAAATCAAATAAAACAGAAAAATCTAAAATACATCCATATTTTTAGAAGGCAGGATTGAAACATCCCACCCACTAAAAGACGCCATGGATAGTTAAAAGCCAAAGGCCTGCTGGGAAACAAAGTATGTTTGCGTGATGCCTAAAAGTATGTAAGAATGGTACCAGGTGAGCCTCTGTGGGGAGAGCATTCCACAAGTGGAGAGACTGAAAATACTCGTTCTTGTGTTGTCTCCCTCCCTCCCTTGTATGGAGGGGGCACACGGAGAACAGCCTAGATTCTGGTCAGGGTTGGTGAGGAGGTCTTTGAAGTCTTGGGCTCCTGAGCTGCATAAGACTTTATAGTTAAAACCAGTACGTTGAATTGGGCTCAGAAACTCATTGGTAGCCAGTGCAATCTGGCCAAGATTGGTGTTTTGTGCTCTGACTATCTTGTCTCAGTGAACAACCTGGCCACTGAATTCTGGGCCAACTGTAGTTTACAAACAATCTTCAAAGGCAGCCCCACATATAACTCATTTCAGTAATTTAACCTAGAGGTTACCAGAGTGTTGACAACAGAAGCTAGGCTATCCTTGTCCAGAAAGGAGCCAGAGTCGATGAAAAGCCTGCCATGCCACTTAAGACTCAAGCAACAGTGATGGATCCAGAAGTCCTCCCGTGTATCTGCTCTTTCAGAAGTAGTGTATCACATCAAGAACAGGCCACCACCCATCCATCTGGTCTAGGGAACCAGACACTAACAGTGTCTCAGTTTCATCTGGATTGAGCTTCAGTATATTGACACACATCCATTTCATTACCAAAGCAAGACATTGGTCCAGCTCATCCACTGCCACTCCTGTAGACGTAAAGGAGAAGCAGAGCTGTGCATCATCAGCATATTGTTGACTATGTACTCAAAGACTTCAGATGATCCCAACCAGCAGTTTCATGTAGATGTTAAACAACATCACATGTTCTTTAAATTAATATTTTCATTTTTGTGCATGCTTTCCCTTAATATATGCATTTTTGTAAACCTTGGTTGGAGAACTTCATCACAAAATATGACTGAGTATAGAAGGATAGCTGTGTTTCAGAAAGAGGGAATTTGATAGATTTGGCTTTAAATGTGTACTTAATCAAATTCCTCCTCTATTCCTTGTCCTCATGTTATTTTGTGGTTGAAAGGTAGGTCTGTACAGTGGTACCTCCGGTTACAAATTTAATTCGTTCCAGAGGTCCGTTCTTAACCTGAAACCGTTCTTAACATGAGGCACGCTTTCACTAATGGGGCCTCCCGCTGCCGCTGTGCGACCTCCGCTCGCATCCCGGAGCAAAGTTCACAACCAGGAGCATATACTTCCGGGTTAGCGGAGCTCGTTACCCGAAGCGTTCATAAGTAGGACGGTACGTAACCTGGGGTTCCACTGTAATGTAATTTCTCTTTCTTTCTTTGACACTCTATTTGCCTCTGCTTTACATCCTGAAATTTTATGTGCCCTCATCCAGTTATTAGTAGAGACGGAAACATCCTGTGAAAATGTGTATTATTTCCTCTGAGGAAGAAAGTATGTAGCTAGAACTTGTACAGTCATCACGTTGTTCTCTTTGTGCAGGGTAAAAAGTTTCTGCAGCTAGTGGCTTAACTAGATCCATGTGCACATTCCCGACATTAGGTTTAACGGAATCTATACCCTATCTTAGAGACTTTTGACAGCACAGACCATCTGTTTTGCCATGTGCGTGCTGGGCTAGGTTTGCATGCAAAAACATGTTTGGTGCAGAAGCTTTCTACAGTGCATGAAGATCTGTAAATGACGTCCATCACTTCCACTGAGGAATGATAAAGTGTGAAATGCTCCCAGCTAGCTTTTAGGTGAATCACCTTACTTCCATAGCCGTTCATGAGATAAGGTGATTCTGTGCTTATCCTCATCTGATCTTTGTAGAAAGACTGCCTCTATTTCCACACAAAGAATGTCTCACTTACTTGTGGAAATGGATTCTTCAATTGATGTGGTTTCTCATTTTTCTCCCTTAAAGGGATTCTGCTTTAGATTCAGGAATTCTTTGCTTACCTCATCTTATAATTAGCAGCAGTGCAAATATTGTGTGAAACAAAACGTAACATTTGCAGGAAAAATGTCAGGTGTGGATTTGCTATCTAATAAGATTTGACTCATTTGCCATATTGATTTGTTGGATAGTGTCAGAGCCAGATCCAAATTCTGTACTTGAAATGCCCCCAACCCATTTTCTGTGAATGTAAATTGCAAAACAGGATAACAAGTAGGCATTTGCAATAAATGTTGAACTACATTGGCAGAGAGCAAGGAAGAAAGAAGATGTATTTGGGGGGGGGGAGCAGTTAGGGCCGGCAGTGGAGTTGGGAGCACTGGAGAGGTTCTGCGAGACCCAAGTGCTATTTTTCCTGATAAGTGAACATTTGTCCTAGCCTCTTCTGTTCTTGATTCTTTGGGTGGGATTCTACTAAGTTGTTGCATGCATGGTGTGAGGTCCACTCATGCAACCCTAAGTCTTCTCTGGCTGGTTGGAGGAACCTCCAGAACAAGTTTAGGGCCACACAGTGTGGAGGGGGGGAAAGTTTTGTTGCATGAGTGGAACCTCATTCTGCGCTTAGTGATATGTGGTACTCCCCTTTTTAACTTGTGCCTTTTTGGTACAACCATGAAAGTTAGTACAGTGGACTCTCGGGTCGCGAACATGATCCATGCGGGAAGCGCGTTCGCAACCCACAGCGCTGCATCAGCGCATGCGTGGGTTGCGATTCAGCGCTTCTGCGCATGTGCAAAGCACGATTTAGCACTTCTGCGCAAGCGCCGAAACCTGGAAGTAACTTGTTTGCGCAACCCAAAATCGCACAATCCGAAGCGTCTGTAACCTGAGGTATGACTGTAACACTAAGAGCAACCAAGTAAATCCAGGATTTAGCTGCACCTTTTAACCTTTGCTTTTGGTTGGAGGGGAAAAAAGCATCCAGTCCAATGTGAGATAGTTACAGACAAATCAGGGTTACTTCTCTGAGGTTTTGCAAGAGTCAACTTTGACTTGAAAGAGGGATTGTATGCAGAGCCTAATCATCTGCAGTCTTGACAATTCATTTGGTGGGGACTGGGGGCAGCAAAGGCTTACAATCCCCGACTTCAAAAGAGGTTATCTCCTTTGCCTAGTGCTTTGATGTGCATTAAGTGATGTCTGCAAGATTTATAGCTTGCTGAAAACTGAAACTGAAACTGGTTCCTCCTGTTTGGAACTGCTTTCTGATCAGCCAATGGTGAAGCCAGTGGATGTAATCCTCATGATTTGATTCCTTAGCGCTCACAGACCTGATAATATTTTGAATTATTTATTTCTATAATACAAGGGATATGCAATAGTAAGACATACATATATATGAGATTGAGTGGTTGGCTTAAAAGATGAGGCTAGAGCCTTTTAAAGCTTTTGCAGAAATAACCTATTGCTAATTCAAAACCCACATTCCTCTTTACATTTGAGGTGGTTATTGGGAAAGGGCGAGGATAAAGAGCTCATCGTGGCTAAATATTTTTAGGTCTTGCTGATTTTAGTGTGGGGGCGCGGTGGGGAGAGACTAAGCCCTTTTCATTCCAGCTGGCCACATAGCAAAGAACTTCATGTTCAGCAAAATTATGTGATAAAAAGCTTTCTTAAGTTAAGGAAAGTACAAATTTGTTTTTTAATGCTCTGCTGTGTAACAAGCACGCGAGATCAAATACCTCCGGTGTAGAAAGCAACCCCTTTTAAGGAGAATGATTCTAGACTAGCTCAATCGTTTACTAAAAGCCAAAGTCTTGGTTCATGTATTGGGCAGGAAATCCAGATAGCTCCCCTTAAGCTGAGATCATGTCCAAAGGGTCTTAAGTGGTGGGTGGTGACTGTGGAAGGGGACTAGCTGGTGGTGGCACCTCAATTTGCAGTGTTGTATCTAGCACCAATTGCCTCATGCTGTGTTAGGCATTAGTGCCTAGACTGGAGTGTTTGGTGCCATTCCAATAGTTGTCCCCTCCCTCCCTGGCCCAACTTTTATCTTTTTTAACCAACAGTAAATTTGTTGGTTCTGTTTTAGATCTTATTTAATGCTGGCGCTGTTTTTCTGTTGCTGATGTTCCACTGGATTGTATTTTATGTGAATCAAGTTAATCTTAGTTTGTTCCTAGAATTTATTTGCAAACTGTTTTTGAAAATCTTTAAAATTGTAAGGCAGGGTTGTATTTTATTGCAAGCACATGCTGAATGTGGCATAGGGCCCAATCCACCAGGGATTTTGTTTGTTTAAGCTCTTGAAAAGCTGTTGTTTATTCCATTTAGGGCACAATCTAATTCTCCTGAGCAAACCTGTGGGCTGGATCTGTCAGTCTCCTCTTCTGTATGAAGTGCCTGCCTCATTTTGGCTGCGCAAACAAATAAAAATCTTTCTGTGTCCCCCTCCCCCCCAATAATAAAGAACAATAGAGGGGCTGAGGCAAACTGATAAGTTTTTATTTTCTAAAAACTTTGTTTACAATAGAAGGAGCTGATTTGCTTCACGTATTCCAGTTTTTCTTGTGCAGGATGTCTAGAAGAACCAGTTAGCCTGCATATTGTGGACATTTTCTTTTATTTATGCACAGGTAGCATTCTCTTAGGCTGCAATCCTATACCCACTTATCTGGAGCTAAGCTGTATTGAATTCAGTTAGACTTATCTTCTGAGTATATAGGATTCTGCAGTTAAATGTGTAAAAGAATGTTTGTGGCCTTTCTTTGCCCCCATCCACCTTGCCCTTTTACTCTACATACAGTGGGGTCAGTTGCTCAAAGCCTGGACTGGATGATGGAGAGTTGCCTAGAAGCAGAATGGTTTCTTGGAGGAGAATTGTTATTGCAACCTGAGCAAAACCAAGAAGAAATATCAAGAAGCCCCAAATAATTTTGCAGATGGCCTGAAACTGAGCTTTAAGACCCAACTTTTTACCCATCCCCAATGTGTTGGGATACTCTCACCAGCATCTGCACAACTTGCCCTAGACCCTCTGCTCGTTTTTTGAGGTGACCCACCGAACTGGAGACTGGAAAACTGTGTTGTCTGAAACAACTTTGTGTCTTAAAATGACTATGCCTTTAATATTTATTGAAAGCATTTATACCAAGGTGCTAGACATTACAATAAAGCAATCCAATGCGAAACAAAAAATGGAGTATGCAGTTAATACGATCCAGTAAAAGCAACCTATCACAATTACTGTAAAGTAACTGGGAATCATTCAATTGGATTTGGAGGCCATGGAAAATTTAAATAATTAGATTATGTTTTGAAGAGCAATTAGAAGCTCATTGCAGTATACTGTCTTTCAGTGGAAAGTTTATTTCATAGGCTGGGGACCACCATGCGAAAGGCCATCCACCCCAGGTGTAGATTATCTGAAATAACACTTTCTCCCATATAGACCTTCCTGTACGTGTAAGATTTTCAGGGGAAGACCCCATTAGTTGTGCCACGGCTTGCAGAGTTCGTTTTCTGGCAGCTTGGAGGACAGCCTTCTCCGTGTCCATGTTGGCCCCCAGCCTGTGGAGGGAACTCATCTCCGAAATACATCAAGCACCAGCTGTGGTGAGCTTCCATTTGCTCTTTAAAGCGTATCTATTCACTCACTATTTACTCATCATTTACCTGATCAGTACGCAAAGCCTTAAAACCTTGTCCTGGGTGCAGATTGGCACCCAGGCCAGTGCCAACCTTTGCTTTCAGGCGTATCGCACAATAGCTGAATTTCCCTGAAAGCCTGTATTTGAAGGCTGACATTTTTGTGAGCTGAAGCCATGTGATGTGAAAATAGCCTCCTTCTGAGCAGTGGGCGGCAAGGAGCAGCTGGGGGCGGGGTGCAGTGAATAGCTTCACCATTTTCTGTTCCCATTCTACTGTATGTGAGGTTATGACTAATCGGTTACACTGCAGGGGCATAAGGCGACTTCCAGTGGGTGATTCATTCTCCAGGCATTTGTCTGGGCTCTCTGTCTCTCTCTGTTTTTCCCTGCCTCTCCACTTCTGGCAGAATGCAGAGATGTATTTGTTCAGAGTCGGTAGCTGAGCAACAGGGAAGAATATAGCATGGATTTGGAATATGATCTATGAAAACTTTAACACAAGGAAGGGACACAAATAAACTTTGGCATCTAAGTAATTCTCACAGCGAAGAACAAAAAAGAAAGAATTAAGACTCTGAATTGATCCTTGGTAGCGAGAAACTGCCGATCTTGCAAGAAATAAACAGGCTGATGTGGGAGGAGAATTCCACCCCACCCCCAGGACATTATTCCTGCCGGCTATTTTGTTTTTATTTATTTATTGCAGATTTTTTTTTTGGCCATAGGCTGATTCATTGAATTTGAACTTTGCTAGTAGGAAAGTGGGGCAGAGGAGAATAATATGTCTACGTTTCCTTGGGGCATAATTAAATCAATACGCCCATGCTAGTTGTGGTAGCTTGCTGTATGAGATTATAATTCTTTATCGGGGGGGGGGGAATGTTTAAAAATATAAAATAAAATAAAATGCATTGTTAGATAATGGCTGGGCAAGTGTTCTAGGGGAAAGTTTCCATGTAATCGTGTATATGCTGTATTAAACGAGCCCTTTCTTTACCTTCATGTTGCATTGGTATAAACAAGAACAGTCGTACCTTGGAAGTCAAACTGAATCTTTTCCTGAAGTCCGTTCGGCTTCCATAACGTTCGCAAACCAAATTGCGGCCTCTGATTGGCTGCAGGAAGCTCTTGCAGCCAATCAGAAGCCGCGGAATCCCCGTCAGATGTTCGGGTTCCGAAAGAACATTCGCAAACCGGAGCAATCACTTCCAGGCTTGTGGCATTTGGGGGCCAAAACGTCTGAGTTCCAGGGCATTTGACAACCAAAGTACGACTTTTATATTTTTACTGCAGTTTTCTGAATAACTAGAATAAGCAAAGTTCACTTAGCTGAAGTGAATTTTTATTTTAAAAAATGGTTGTATAATCTGAGGCAGGGGTGGAACAATCCCTCTATAGGCTTTAGGATTCTCCCTAGACTATGCTCGCCACCCTTCCAAGCGATTTTCATTGCTTTGCTGGGTGGAATGTGTCCTTCAACTTTGACAATGCCTCTTGCTTGCCTCAACGGAGGTTACAAAGATGTGTGTGCACCTTCCGCTTTTCTATGGCTGGAATGTAGCTTCCTGTACAAAAGGTGAGAATCGCATCCTCTGCTCTGGCCGCTCTTGAGGTGTTGCCTATAAAGGAATGCAGCCCTTGGACTGAGGAAAGGTTCCCTGCCTTTGTGGAGATCTGGCTGCAGAATACTTGCAGGCATAATGTACCTGTGCTTGTTTACTGAGTTCCCTGAGACTTGCTCCCTAGTCAGTAAGTTCAGGATTGCAGCCATACTCCCATTTTCTGCTTGTGTGTTCCTGGTGGATTATGCAAACTGTTTGAACCAGTAGATAGGAACATAGGAAGCTGCCTTATACGGAGTCAGACTCTTAGCTCAGTTCTGTCTACTCTGACTGGCAGCAGTTCTCCAGGATTTCAGGCAGGGGTCTCTGCCTTCCCTAGGTAAAGGTAAAGGAACCCCTGACCATTAGGTCCAGTCATGACCGACTCTGGGATTGCGACGCTCATCTCGCTTTACTGGCCGAGGGAGCCGGCGTACAGCTTCCGGGTCATGTGGCAAGCATGACTGAGCTGCTTCTGGCGAACCAGAGCAGTGCATGGAAACGCCGTTTACATTCCTGCCGGAGCGGTACCTATTTATCTACTTGCACTTTGACGTGCTTTCAAACTGCTAGGTTGGCAGGAGCAGAGACCGAGCAACGGGAGCTCATCCCATCGCGGGGATTCAAACCGACGACCTTCTGATCAGCAAGTCCTAGGCTCTGTGGTTTAACCCACAGCGCCACCCGCGTCCCCTGCCTTCCCTACCTGGAGATTAAACCCGAGATCTTCTGCATACAAGACAGATGCTGTGCATTGAACTACATGGCCCTTCGCTGATGCTGGAGTGGCTCTTGGCAAACAATAGTAGATGTTACCTGCACTGTGGTGTTATATCCTCTGGCAGCTATGAAATGCCTTAATATATTGTTGACTGATACATGTATGCTTTAACAATGGTTTTGTTTTAACATGTTGTTGTTTTTATGCCCTTGGGCTCAACAAAGAAACTTAATTAACTTGGAGGCTATATAATAATAATTAACCACCGTTACGTAACTGGCAGTGGCAGCAACTGACAAGCCTGTGCCTGAAAGAGTTTGCAGTCTTAGGGTTAGAGTGGCGGTGAAGGACTGAACATATTTGTAAAGGAAGAATGTGAGCACAAGCCGAGACATTGGGAATAGAGAACCTGCACACCCACCCACCCACCCACCCACCCATCCCGCAGATGTAAGACTCCCAACCCCAGTCTAAGGGTGATTTTCTAGACCTGCTACACTGTTCCATCCCTACAGAACAGCCATACTGCAAGAAGGCCTTAGAATTTCAGGAAATATAGGTGGCATTAGATGCTCAGGAAAGAGGAAGTCTAGCATGTGGCTCTTGGGGGATTGACAAGCCCTCAGTGTGGCCCTTTGAACCTGAAAAATGGTCAGCCGCCTCTGATGTTAACAAGGGGTTAGCTTGCAATAGTGCAGTTTGTAAGCAGTGGAAACTGGGATAGGACTAATGTTTCAAAGCTGAGTGTGAACTCTGGCTAAACCTTTGGTATAGATGGGAACATCAGTGCAGGCAGTGTGGCTCTCACCTCCCACAGAATTCAAAAGAAGAAGGGAAAAAGGCATTGTGCTCCAATTACTCACAAAATCAAGAGACTTAATGGGAGCACAGACTCTGAAATCTAATGACCTGGATGGATAGATTTTGGCAAATGCAGTATTCTGCCCCAGTAGTATGCTAGAGCACACTTTTTTGCATTCACTAAGCAAGATCACCATGCTTTCATCTGTTTTTCACAAAATGCTGCTTTATTTTTCAGGATCAGCTTTAGTCTGCTGTTAAAGCAGAAGCTGGTTTGTCGTTTGGCCCTCCCCATGTTTCCCCTCTGCATTTCGAATCATTTAGCAATGTTTTATGGACAGGAAATAGGAACTTCTGGTTCATACACACAGCTGGTTTAAATAAATCTCAAACCAAAGGGAACATGTGGAACTCCCCCACCCCCAGATTGTATCCAAGGGATTTCTGCAAAACTCAGATCAGAACTTGTGCAGTTCCAATGGAGTGTTTGTTAAGACTACAATCTTTGTAAGGGGCATTTTAAAGACTTTTAGTCCAACTTTCAGCTTGTCAAAATGACCAAATAAAGGGCTTCCAAATCAATACAATGTCCTGAATTTAATCTGAATCTGTTGTTTTTATACAATTACAATATGCTAGCGAAAGAGAACTTAACCATAATCCACAGCGATATGGTATGCAAATATTTTTGGACGTTTTAAATATTATTTTATTTTTCATTGTGTTGCTTCAGCATTTTGGCGTTTGCCACCCTTGAACCTCTTTGGGTGGAAGGGTGGAAGAGAACTTTTAATAATAATAATATTAGATCAAACAGGGCATTCTTAAGCCTTAAAATGGGGTTACTTAATTAAGCAGCCCCCTTATGCTGGCGGGATTGTAAGGGGTGAGGAACATATTGGCATATGTGGTAGGGATGTAACTATGTACACAAGTTCTAGAAGCAGGTTGTAATGGAAATTGGTATTATTGTTGGCATGCAGGTCACCCTAGATGCTAAGCCATGTATCTTATACCTTTTTGTTGCTGCCAGTGAAGTCTTACTTTTCAACAATTAATTCTATATCTGTTGTTGCTGCTCATCTTGTGATCTCTCAGGGTGGAAAGACGCATCTTGTTATCTATGGATCTATGGTTTTAAAAATTTGTGTTCATTGCCATTTCTGAAAACTGACTCTGAAAATACGTGCTGCCAGGGGTGTTGCGGACCCATCCAACTTTGCTTCTGCTTGGGAACCAGACAATCTCATGGTTGTCAAATTCACACTAAATATGAGTTTATTTGGCAACAGTCATGAATATTTGGTATGTTGGGTACAGATATGAACCACTATGTAATTTATTTTATGCCAGTCATTCTTTTTATGCTTTCTATGCTTATTAGGCTTATTATTTTATTATCTTGTGATCCCCGTTTTTATGACTGCTTTTAAGTACAGATAGGGTGAACCTACAGCATCAGCAGCTGGCCACAATCAACCTTTGGGAATGTTATTCTCTATTAGGTAGCGCTTTTAAAGGAAGGACTGGTTCTGTGATGTTTTTATTGTAACAAGCTGTACGTGATTTTTTTTTGTATATATCTTAATTCTAATAACTAATTTATTAAAGTTAAAAAACAGCCAAGGTTTTTTTTTTTCCTTAGTAAAAATTGCCCCATTAAGTTCCAGCTCAGTCTCAGAATAAGGCCTGGAAACAATTGCATGGGCATGATAACAGGGCCTTAGTGGCATGGCAAGACTTACAAGTTTCTCATAGCTGCGCATAGAGAGTAGTTTTGCATATAAAGAGCTCCAAGGATCAGTCCAAACGCAAACAAGGAATTCTGGACAGGCCACAAGAGAGGAACAAACCAAAACCAAAACCTAGCAGCCCCAAATCAGTTTGATAATCCATATATTATTTTCCTTGAAGTACCGTATTTTTTGCTCCATAACACTCACTTTTTTTCTCCTAGAAAGTAAGGGGAAATGTCTGTGCGTGTTATGGAACGAATGCCTACAGATGGCGGGGGGATCTGCTGCAGTCGTGAGCAGAGGATCCATGGTTCCCCTTCCTTCCCTCCTCCGTGGCTCGCTTTGAAACAGCAAAGCGGGAGAGGAGCCGCTTACACAGGTGTAAGCGGCTCCTGTCTGGTTGGCTCCTTTAAATCAACCGTGCTCTCTGTCCCTCTCTCCTCACCACTCAGCTCGCTAAATAGCAGCAAAGCTTTTCAGCGAGCTGAGCCAGGGAGGAGGGAGAGAAGCAGAGCCTGCTTGTTTTAAAGGAGCAAAGTGGGAGAGGAGAGGAACCTTCTTCCCTTATACCCCTCTTCTGCATTATTAGCAGCATCCTTCTCCACACACCCCACGCATGTTCCTTCTCTCCTTAAACCCCTCTCCTGCATTATTAGCAGCATCCCTGCATGAACCACAAAAAACATACATCCACTGTTTCGTTTAGAATATTTTTTCCTTGTTTTCCTCCTCTAAAAACTATGCACGTTTTATGGTCAGGTGCGTGTTATAGAGCGAAAAATACGGTACATCTCTGGTATGTTTCCCAAGCAACACAAGGGACATCAGGGATCAGAAATGGCCCATGCAGTTTAGAATCCTGGAGGCAAAGAAGGCTGTGAGAGTCCCTATGTCCTAGGAGCTGCTGTTTATTTGCATTTAAATTGTGCACATCTTCCAAGGTGGGGGAGTGTTACCATTCCCATATTGCAGATATGGGACTGAGGCAGAGCTCATGGCTGCGATGAGGTCTGACCAGCAGATTGCCTGTTTCAGAGTTTACACTCTTAGGCATTGCCCTGGTCCTCAACTCAATAAGCTTCATGTTAGGAACTACATATTGGCAATACATGATCCTGAAAGGTATCACTTGCTTCAGAGGTTGTTTTACTGACTTATCAAAGGAGTGCAGTTTGTATTTCAGTAGGCAGTCATTCAACAACCACACTAGAGATGTAATAGTTCCTTTTTTTTAATGTTATGTTTCTGGGGTTGAGACCATAGCTCATAGCTGGAGCTCAGAGTTTGCATTCAAGAATTCCAAGGTTCAGCCACTGGCATCTCCAATTAGGAAGTAGGGGTTGATTGGAAATACGACTGCTAAGCAAGGTAGACAGCACTGGCCTAGATAGACAAATATGCCTGAGTTTGGACAATTGCACCCAAGCTTTCCAGTCTGAGATATAAATGAGCTTTGTTACCCATACACACATATCTCCTTCTGTCCTCTCTTTGCGGGAGTTAGTCATTATATCCAGAAGTCTCCAATAAGCCATGGTTTCCCATTTTGTCTGAATCAGGAAAATACAGTTAGCAGGTTTGGAACAGGCCAGGCTGATGGTTTTAAGATTCTGGCTTGTTCTGAATCTGTTGACCATAGTTTCCTAGTTCAGACAAATGAAAAGCTGCAGTTAATTGGAGAATTGTTGGTTTAATTACTGCATGACACACAGAGAAGGGGTTGCATGTGACGGCACAAAGCTGTGGTTCCTATCTTGGCTTATTAAGTCAAGATGTGATTGTCCAAACCAGGCCATTGTCTGACCTGTTATAAGGCAGCTGACTCTGTTCCAGAGCATCAGATTGGGCAATACTGTGTGTATCAGCTGGGCAGAAACACTTAATGTGGCCTCGTCCAAATTGTCGCTCTTGGTAACTACATTCTTAAGCAAGGAAGTGCCTTGATTCATATAAACTAGGACACATGCCCAGTTCACTGGGAACAGAGGGCTAGATTCTAATGTTCTCTATCAGTGTGAACATACTTTTGCTATGAAATCAATGACTGTGCAAAGGATGTTCTTTCCCCTCATTAAATTTGCAAGAGTGCAAATTGGAGGAAAGTGATTTTGGTGCATGCACGGCTCAGTTCTGGGGTTTAATCTGAGATTTCAGCCTGTTCACTGAGCTTTGTTCAGAGCTTATAATATTTAGAGTGATGGAATACGCAAGGAGAGGCGTGTGTGCTTGGCAGTTGTGAGAGCCCTTTTTCAGAGCAGAACATGAATCAAGAATTGCATAAACTGTACTCCCTAATTCCCTAAACCAAAGTCTATTAGATCAGCTGTGGTGTGTGGAAATTCCTCCCCCATACCCGCTTTGCATCTGAGGAACAGTGCAGGCAATTAAACCCTGAGTGGATGGGCTTAGCTAATTTAATGTGACCTTGATGTGAACTACATTAAGAAATCTCTTTTGAGCACAACATGAAACCTAATCATTTTAAAAGCATCTGTCCCTGTGACACACAACTGGAAGAGGATGTCACTTTAAATTCTATGGGATGCTGCTGGGGCACATGATTATACAAATTACTGGGAATGTTACAGCTGGGGAAATAACTGCTTATTTGTTTGGGATTGTTGTTTTGTTGCTGTTTTGGCAAAATTCCTAGGATTGTGAGCTCACCCGTTAGATGTGGATTCGCATTGAATTTTCTTTTGTCTTTAGCACATTATGTGTGGGTGGGGCTGGGGGAATGATAATGCAAACCATAACAGTTTGTATGTAAGAGAGTTACTTTGTATTTTGAAACCACCTCCCCCTGCATAATTACATTTCATAGGGCTGTAAATTAGCGGTTTTTTTGTAGCCTTTGGGGGAGGATGCATAAGAATAAAATCCCTTTGGAGAGGGGCAGTGTAAAAGCAAATAGTATTTGGCAGTTTTTATCCAAATTTCAAGGGGAATCAACCTACTGGTGATTTTCAGTTAATTTTAAAGTAATAATTGAATACTTCTTACTATTGAGAGCGGAATGGAACAAAGATAATATATTGAAGGTTCAGAAGAATGCAGAATGTATGTTTTTTAATGCAGTTTCCTGTGTCTGCATGGGAACATTCAGTCACTGTACTTACACTTTTGCTTACCATTAAAAAAATGCTGTTTCCCCGTTTTTCAGAGGGGCAAAGCAGCTATCATTGATGCTATCATTGGGCTTGGGATATTTCACTGCCACTGATGACCAAGCTAGACATTATGCAAGAGATCCATGATCAGGATCTCCTGTGAATTGTGTTTGTACTACTAATTAGGAGATCCAAGTTGTTGGTTTGAAGACCAGAGAAGTGCAAACATTTGAGCCTCCCCCACCCCTTTCTCAATCCAAACTAAATGTGTTGGCTCTAAGTGGAGAAAACTTAAAGGTACAAAGCTAAGTGAGGCTGCTAATGAGAGAGAGAGAGAGAGAGAGAGAGAGAGAGAGATCAATAATTCCTTGTAACATCACAGATTCCCTGTAGCACATGGGTAGGTAAACTAAGGCCCGGGGGCCGGATCTGGCCCAATCACCTTCTAAATCCTAAAAAGCGTGTTTTTACATGAGTAGAATGTGTCCTTTTATTTAAAATGCATCTTTGGGTTATTTGTGTGGCATTCCCCCCCCCCAAAATATAGTCTGGCCTCCCACAAGGTCTGAGGGACAGTGGACTGGCCCCCTGCTGAAAATGTTTGCTGACCCCTGCTGTAGCAAGTCTAGTTTGGCCTAGGGACGTAACTCCCATTCCAGTGGGCTGATGCTAAGAGGGAGAGCCCATAGCTGTTCTTACATTGCTCTCCTATTTAAGGGGGGGGGGAATATGTAACTGTGTAATCTTTGGGTGATGAAGCAATCTGCCACATGGAATTTAGACAATAATGTAATTGTGCTAATAAGCTTTCCAGCTGCTTGTGTTAACCCAAACATAGTTAGCTGTATACATTCTTTGTATCTTCCCACACGTAATTAGCTGAATAAAAATAGCTGGGGAGTATGTGATAATGGTAGGAGATAGAAGAGCTGAATCTGCCTGCAGGGAAAGTGTTTCCATTCATTGTAAGGCAGCCTTGTAAATTAGGCTGCCGTCCAAATCCTGCTTACCTGGGAGTAAGCCCCGCTGAATTAGAATTTGCTTCCGTATATGCTTAGGAGTGCAGCCTTAGTCTACAGGCTTCAGATATTTGCATTCCTGCATTTAACATGTGGCCTAGCAGAAAGAAGAACAGCCATCTTTCCTTGCATACAGAAATCTGGAGATGATTCTCTCTGGCCACAAGTGAGCTGCTTTTTGCACACCTGTTTTTAGTCTGATGTGTTTCCATATTTGCATTGCTGTTTGGTGCCATCAGTGAAGTAATAGAAGGCAGGTCCCTGTCCTTAGGAACATATCATCTAAAATTCAGTGTGGGGGAGAGAGGAGGAAACAGGGAAGTTAGCTTAAGCTTTGCCGCAGGGTGTGTTATCAGAGGGTGTGGGAACTAGGGGGTCTTGTGTTAAAGGCTTCATGAAAGAGATGGATTTTGAGGAGGTGTGGCATCCCTTAGGACATGCGTAGGCAAACTAAGGCCCCGGGGCAATCACCTTCTAAATCCAGTCCCTGGCCGGTCCGGGAATCAGCGTGTTTTTACGTGAGTAGAATGTTTCCTTTTATTTAAAATGCGCCTCTGGGTTATTTGTGGGGCATAGGAATTCGTGCTTTTTTCTCTCTTCAAAATATAGTCCAGCCCCTCACAAGGTCTGAGGGACAGTGGACCGGCCCCCTGCTGAAAAAGGTTGCTGACCTTAGGAGGTCTAGAAGGCCTTAGGAGCTCTAGAAGGCAAACAAGAGAAGCGAGAGGGGGATATAAGAGCAGAAAAGGAAGACAGAATTATTGTGCTACCTTAAATTCTACTTGCACTTGACACCTGTAATTGAAACCCTTACATTACTACTCATAAGTATGTTGAGGAGTATAAGTTTAAACATGGAAAAATGCTGATTTGCGGGTTTTGCTTTTCACTGAGGGTCCCTACAGTTCTATGATTCTGTAATTTTACTAAGTAATAGAGTTGATGCTTTACATGTTATGAAATGCTTCTCTGAACTTGGATTGTCTCTTATTTATTTGAGGAAAAACTATAAAAGATTGGGAATATTCCTCCTGGCCATTCTTATTATTCTGAACAGTGTTTGGTCTTGTCCATATGTTCACGTCAGCAACAATTAATCATCTTGAAATGTTCACAAGGATCTCCAAAAGGGTTGTCTGTGGACAGGATTTGTGGGTTGCTACGAAACTCTGAGGGTGATGAAAGGTTGTGTGTGTGGCCACTGTTGGTGCTTCTGAAAGTTGTGAAACTAGCCTACAGCCATTGACCAACAGAAAATCGTTAGAATCTGCAACTACATACATATAAACACCACATTTCCCTGCTATTCCTAACTGGCAGGTTGACAAATCCTAAATTGTCTGTTATGTGAGATTTGTAGTGAAATGGAAGAATTGTACAACATTTAATCGTCTTGCAAAATATTCTATAGCAGTCTTGCAAGTTCGGCTAGAAAAGATACTAGCCTGCAAGGGAGACGCAGAGATCTAAATAGAGACCATTGTCTGTGGCGCCACACCCCTTTTACTTGTATTTCTTTTTGATTCAGATTTGTCATGGCCAGTGGCTAGTACAATAAAGTTATTTGGATTGGGTTGGATACTAGCCTGCAACCAATTTTACTAGACTGCTTGTCCATACATACAGATACAAGTCATTTGCAGTACATAAGTAGTCCACTCTCCTCCAGTTTGCTTTCTTGGAGCCACTTCTTGTAAAATGTCAAAAGGTAAAGGACCCCTCTGGATGGTCAAAGGCAACTATGGGGTGTGGCGCTCATCTCGCTCTCAGGCCGTTGGAGCCAGCATTTGTCCGCAGACAGCTTTCCGGGTCATGTGGCCAGCATGACTAAACCGCTTCTGGCGTAACAGGACACCGTGATGGAAGCCAGAGCACATGGAAACACTGCTTACCTTACCACAACAGCAGTACCTATTTATCTACTTGCACTGGTATGCTTTCGAACTGCTAGGTTGGCAGGAGCTGGGACAGAGCAACGGGAGCTCACCCCATTGCGTGGATTTGAACTGCTGACCTTCCGATCAGCAAGCCCAAGACGCTCAGTGGTTTGGACCACAGCGCCACCCGCTCCCCGCACTTCTTGTAACAGGTATGCAGGTGGGTGGCTATAAAACAAAGCCTGTTTCAGAGTGTGCTTAATTGGCCCAGTGAGAAACCCACACATAAAACAAATTGTGTACTGGTTGCTTTGTATTTGCACAAGCATCTAGGGTAGTTCTTTTTGCAATTGTTTTTGCTTTGTTTAACCTTGCATGGCCAGATGCTCTTGAGATACAAATGGATTATAACTGATCTGAACAAAATGTGGCTTCATTTTTCGTTTTCTTTTTAACACTGGCAGTAAGTCTGTTAGCATAAAAATTGGTCTGGTGTTGCCTCTGACCTTCCCATTGTTGTGACTTGCAGAAACGTGGCAAAGTATTTGTTTCTTTTCTTTCTTTTTTTTCCTGCCAGTGTGCTGGACTGCAGCTGGAGTCTGTGTTGTAGAATCTCCTTGTCCTCTAGTATGTCTCTGACAAAGCTGTCATAATAGAATATGGGGTTCTTGGCGTTTCTGAAATTGCAAGGATGGAGAGGATGCATTGACCCTTCAGCTTCATCTGCTTATTTTGCTGTAGAGTAGTTCTTTATCCCTCTTGTTTCACACCATTTCGGTCATATGCATCCCTCCCCCACCCCAGCCACATGAAGTCATGGGATACTGTTAAGTCTTGCATTGTATTTTAAGTGTACTTCATAAAGGAATGCCCTTTTCCACATTCTGTTTCCATTGTTCCTTCTTGCAATGGGGGTCAGCCACTGCCTGTGGCGGCTCACTCTCATTCCCTTTTGCCTCTGGCTTCAAGACTTGCTGAGTGGAGCCACGCTGTCTTAGTTTTGTCATTGCTTTTGTGGGTACTGTACATAATGTTAGCTTTTGTTTGTCAGATACGGGCCTTGCACTTCAGTAAGCACTGAAAGCTTCCATTCACTCAAAGGCATGGAGGCAATCCAGTGTTTGGGTGATTTCCCTCCCCCCACTGCATTATAGCACTGCTGAAAGGAGTTAGAGAGCTTTCCATTTGGTGGCGAAGCTTGCCTGAAGAGGCCCAAAGCTAATTGTTTGTCTGTTTAACGAAGACTCTCTCTTTGTTAGCAGCAATCAAAATTCTGAAGCCTTCCCGTTGTTGTAAGGTAGCTTGGCCTTCCTGTACGCACATTGCGAACTGTCGTGATAACACTGGACCGCCCAGGATAGTAATAATCGAAATTGTACGTCATTTTTATGGCGTCATTCTGAGGCTGTTGCAGAAATGCTCCACTGCTTCTGTGGCTTTAAAGACACGATCTGCAAATTGATGGGAATAGTTGGAAGGGAGGCAATGTTGTGAGGCAATGTCTTCGCTTGTGAGGTGAAACAGAAATGTGTTTATTGCAAATGAAAAGCTTTCCCTTCTCGACACCATTCCAAGATGTTATTGGTGCACAGTGCACTGAAAAAAACGGGCTGTCATTGTATCTGCGATTACTGTAATAACTCTTGTGGTACCTATAGCTTTCCCCCCTCAAATTCCATCTCTGAATGCAGAGTTCCACTCTTCTGCAGGCACAAAGCAATGTTTCCACATAATAGAATTTTTCCTAGTTGTCTGCTTTCAGTCTCCATTTTATATTTTTCTGTTGCCTTTTGGGGATCTACAGCTGTGATTTGTTCCCCATTGTGATTTGCCACCCCTAGAGCCTTTGAAGGGGGGGGGGCGGTGTATAAATGTATTTCTATTGTTACACTTTGCATGGAAAAAAGTGACTTCGTTTTGTCCTTCCTTACGCTTGAGGAGCAATGGGTCTTGACTTAAAAGTGCTGCAGAATCTTTTATGGTTTGCCTTCAAAAGACACACATGCTGGCCTGAAGTGTGTTTTCTTCCCACACTATATAGAGAACAAGTTAAGTTCAGATGCATACTCAGGAAGCTGCCCTTTCCCCCATTGGATCTACCAGATCATCTCCCTCAATGTTGTGTGTCTCTTCTGAGGCAAATACAGTGGTACCTTGGGTTACAGACACTTCAGGGTACAGACGCTTCAGGTTACAGACTCCGCTAACCCAGAAATAGTACCTCAGGTTAAGAACTTTACCTCAGGATGAGAACACAAATCATGCAGCAGCAGCGGGAGGCCCCATTAGGTAAAGAGGTACCTCAGGTTAAGAACAGTTTCAGGTTAAGAACAGATCTCCAGAACGAATTAAGTTCTTAACCTGAGGTACCACTGTACATTGCCAGCTTTGCTACTGAAATGACGGAATGGAACCTCCTGGGGCTTCTGTACACGGAATATGTATCGCTCTACCACTGAGCGACGGCCTTGCCCTAGTGATTTTTTTTCTGCCCCTTCTCTGTGTTACTAGTGGGCACTGGCTGTGGTGATGTGGCAGATCTTGCTCCGTGACAACTCTGGTTCACACAGATGAGTGTTGCTATAGTTGCAAGGGTGGATCTCGTAATGAGAAAAGCCAGCATGTGAGAAGAACTTTCAGCTAGCCACTTATCTGATGCAAAATGAGAATTTATCCTTGATATACTCCCAGTGAACTGGGTTCAAGAGTTTGACTTGCCAGTAGGCCACTTAATGGTCGGGGGGACATAGCTGCCAGTGTGGTTTAGGAGTGTTGGACTAGGGCCCAGGTGACCAGGGTTCAAACTCTCACTGTGCCATGAAGCTCCACTGGATGATGTTGGGCCAGTCACTGCCTGTCAGCATAATCTACCCCACAGGGTTGTTGTGGGGGTTATATGAGGAGGAGGGGGAACCGTGTACACCATCTTGAACTCCTTGGAGAAAAAGATGGCATACAAATGCGATAAATGATTAGGACCTTTGCTCTCTGCAGAAGTGATTTTTTGTATATAGCTGTTCCTTTAGCTTAAGAGACTTTGCTCATGTGTGTGTGTGCATACATGTTGCCAAATATCAATGTTGTTTCATGTCTCTAATTTTGAAGGTTTGTGTAGAAGTGGTGTTTTGGCCTGATAACAATGTCTTGCTGCTTACGGGTGGCCCCCAAGTGCTGCTGAGCATGCCCCAAAATGACACACACTGCTAAAGGGGCCATGTTAAAATTCAAGCGCAGCTACGAATTAGAAGCCACAGCTTCCAATTCATTTCCGTCTTTACAAGGCCCTAGAACAGAGATTTGATTCAAATCAGGTATTTTTCTGTTTGATGACAGCATTTGCCACCTCGGTATGTGGAAATCCATTGTCTGCTATCCCTTGCTTTTACTGAGTGAAAATCCTGCTATGTTTAGTTCCAGTAAGGCATCTGCTTTGTTTTGCTTTCTTTTCTCTTACACCTCAAGCCTCCAGCAGCCTGGGAGTTGTTCCCTGTACAATTTGACAACTTCTAGTCTCTCTCTCTCTCTCTCTCTCTCTCTCTCTCTCCTCCCCCCACTTTCCCCTTGATTTGCATGCTGATGAATGAGTGGTTTGTGCCTCAAGTGAAATGGGGATGTATATGCAAAACAGCCAGCAGCTGTTCCTAAAGAATCCAAGTTTATTTTCCTCCCTGTGGTGTGCGTCTCCTTGCCTTGTGGACAAGGACTCCATGCTGAATGAGAAATTCAAGTTCTGATAGCAAGAGAGGCTTTATGGATATAGTTCACTTGGTTACTCTTCTTTCCTGGCTCTGTAGTTTAGCCAGCACACAAAGATTCACTGGATAATAGCTCTTCATTGTTGCTGCTGCCTGCCAGCTTCTGTTGCAATTAAGGGGTAATCTTTTCTAAATGGTGCTAAATTAAGCTTAAATCCCTCTCTCATGCCACATTAAGAGGATGAATCCCTGGTTTTCTAAAAAGAGCTTATTGTTTCGGACAGTGACCAATCCAGTAGTCCAACAGTGGTCTTCAGTAACTTGTGGTAGAATTCTCAACACACACACACACACACTCAAGGAAGAATTGCATAGGCAATCAAAAGACTCCACTATCACAAGAGAAATATCTCATTTGTCTCTTGTTTTCAAACTTGGGGGAGGGGAGATTCTACACAATGATTAACTTGCTATTTAGAATAATAAACTTATCTTCTTGGGTGACATAGATGTGAGCTTCTGTGTAATACATGCCTCATCACATCTAATTTTAACCTAGGGGTTCATTTATCTCGTTGTAAAGGTTGACGACTTGTAGCGTTTGCTGTGGATAGTGTCCTTGGGTGGTATTTAGGTAAGTTTTACTCAGAGTAGACTCATTGAAACTAATGACTGTGACTAAATTAGGTCCAGGAATTTCAGGTTTGCTCTGAGCAAAGCTTAGTTGAATACCACCCCACGAATCCTTGCCATCTGGCTCAAAGCTCATCTGCCCACCCCTCTTGGTCAGCCTGCTGGAATCCACTCCCTCTTACCTGTGGATGAGTGATAATGGTGGTGGTGGTGGGGTCTTGGTCAACCCTAAGTTGGCCTGCCAACCTACTTATTTTTCCTAATGGCACATGCAGTGGTAAATGGGAGAGCGGTTATATTAAGGATTGGTCAGTAAATGAATGGCCACCTTGTTGGTTAAAAATAAAGCTGCTAGTGTACAATTTCTGTGCACTTTGATTTGTTCTAATGGATACGACACACAAGCAGCTAATCTCAATCGAGGCTAATAATATTTTATTTGGACGCATTTTAACAGGTTCCAAAAGAAGGCCACTGGACTACTGTTCCTAATGCAAGTCTGAAGGCCTCTGCCATTCAAGGATTGCAGCGTTAATGTTGCTAATGTTTGAGCCAGAACTGTTTTAGGATGGGCTCCAGTTGGCAGCAGAAACAGCCTTTCCAAACTGCTGAGCATTCATCAAGGGTAGTTAATGTAGTACCCTCCAGTTGTTGTGCTACAATTCCCATCATCCCTAACCACTGACCATGCTGACTGAGGCTGTGGGGAGTTGTAGTGCAAAACCTGCAGGCCGCCATGTTGGCTAACCTAGGTATACACAAATGAGATCATTGTACTGAGCAGAAATGGAGGGACGCTTGGCAAAGTGCCCCACTGGCAATGTGAGGGTGCTATGAAAGGATCAGCTTACAGAATACTTGTAATGCAGATCCAGGGAGCGTTGCTTAGTTTCAACAGACTTTGTGATATTGTTGTGTAGCCAAATCAGATTGGAAATTGTGATAGCATCCTTTTCAATGCACGGTCTTTGATTTATTGTGATCTCTTTCCAGATACAAGAAGTCCTGGTTTTAAAAAAAACAAACAGCAACACACACATACACACGCTTGTGCCAAATCAGCTGCCAGTTTGGTGGAGCACAGCCAGAACAAATTTTAATTGAGAGGGGAATATTTCAACAACACCCGGCATCAACACACACTACTCTCCTACAGACAAGGGAGAACATTGGCTCAGCTTTGCTACTACAAAGCAAAATACGGTTAATGCTGGGAAGCGAGGTGGAATTATTATGGAAAAGGGGCATGGGCATAGCCAGGATTTATTTTAGGGGGGAGGCAGGCTTTATGTGTATGAGGGGGGTGGGCAGAACCGAGAGATCTGTGATGCTATTGGTCAGTTAGTTAAGTATTTCTGTTTATTTACTTGATTCGGGGGGGCAGCTGTCCCCTTGAAGCCCCCACAACTACGCCCATGAAAAGGGGAGAAGGATGGTGGATGGGATGCATCTCTGAGATCGGCTTCCAAGTTGCAGAATGTAGTTTACAGGGAGCTGTCTTTATGGCTGTACCAGTAATAATAATACTGACACAGAAACTCTCTGCCGTCTGGATTATGAATGGACACTCAGCATTCAGATATAGATGATATCAAGCTGTCTTTCAGTCTAAATTTTTAGCATTCACGAGTTGCAGCTATATCTTGATAACACTTACTGTCTGGCCTAACTGGAAAATAAAATGCTTTCTGAGAAGGTGGCAGGAGGTGTGTTGGAATCAATAACCCCCGGGCTGTGTTTGTGTGTGTGTGTAATCGGTCTAGTGCTCCTATAGTCAATTAAAACAAAATAGACACAGGCTTTTTATTAGATGTGCAGACCAGCAGGCAATGAGGTCCTTGGCTGAATGCTGGGGGTCCTGGGTAAATTTAATTATAAGAAGTTTTCAATTAGTTGCTGCCATCTGTGACAAAAACCTAGTTGAACTGCTTGTAGCTGGAGATAATACATTAGCAATCTCTCACCAATATGCTGTGCAGCCCATTCTGAAGAACGGACTTGAAAGGCTGGCGTGCCAACAACTATGCATCAGATTTAGGTCACGGTTGCAGTAGGGCAGCATGTTGTTAAGTAGCTTAGGCGAAAAAGGTAGCTTTTGATTTACAATTGTTTATAAAAACATGGGCTAATACTGCTGAGCAAGAAGTACAGAAGCAAACTAATGAGCATAGACATTGTTTAACTTTCTTTTATTTCCCTAGAACGGTATAGCTCTGCTTTAGTGCTGGCTGCCTGCAATAATGGAAAATAAATGGTTTTTTAAAAAGGGTTTTTTAAAAAGAGAAACAAAGGAGATCTGAAGCCACCCTTTTGAAAGTGAGCACCATTCCTGGTGCTAGTTATGGTTCATATTATACTTGAAGAGAGACACAAGTGAGGGGTAATGCAAACCATGGTTTATCCCACTTTATAAGCCAGTGATTGAAACAATGGTTTGAAGTGATTTTGCAAGCTGTGGTCAGAAGGGATCCTCGTTTGCCTTTTGCAACTTTGCATCAGTACACGTAAAACAGAGGGGAATTGTTCCGAAGAGGGAATAAATTAAGTGGAGGGGAGGGGAATAAGTGTGCCCCAAACTAGTTTCTGTTTTGCAAAGCATCATTTATAAGGATCCAATGTTTTATCTGTAGTAGGTTGTAGTCTGATTAAAATTAGGGAGCCCTTTTAAGTACACCATTGAAATGAAAGCATTGTGTTAGTGTTGCACAAGTGCAGAAAATTTTAGAATCTTACTATAGATGGCTAATACCCATGCATGCTACAGAAAGATAGGGAACAATGTCCATTGTATCTGGAATGAATGTAACATTACATGTAGTACTTAATGCTGTCCAGCAAATAATAGAATTGAAAGTCATACACACTAGCAAAGGTGCAGAATTCCTCCTCTAGGCTTGTGGAACATGAGGATTTGATACCTTAGCTCCATTATCTTGGAGAGCATGCCTGCAAATGCTGCTAAATCTGATTTTAAGCTCTGCTCATGTTGTTTGACGTGATGGCTTCCTGTAGGGAACGACTTCCAAAGTAGGCAATAAAACAATATTTACTCACAGCTGACTGCAATAAGGAGTTTATTTTTAGCCACCTTCACCACAGAAAAAAACAATAATCGGGTTTAGATAAGGCTTTTAAAACTTGGACTGTTTCCCTTGGTCCATTTTCCATTTATGTTTTTGTAACTGATTCCACCCTACCACCCCAGTGAGTGATAATCCTAAACAATTATTTATACACTGTCTAAAATCCTAATTCTGTGGGGCAGGTCTGATTTGATTTCTATATTGGTCTGTTTTTCAGTGGCCTTATATCAGGTTTTTGTGTATGTCTTTATAATTTGGATATTCTATCAGTAAAGCTTTGAGTCTCCAAGTATCTTAATCAGTTCATTGTTACTGAAGGTTGTCAGTGTCACATAAATTGTGTGACTCTTTTATGACCATATACCTTCCAGGAAACTGACCAAGCATGTGCTGGGTAATTGCATATAACACATAACTGTGGCAGATGTATTGGGACTGGCCAATGTCATACAACAGGACGTAAGGTCATTGCTACCTGGACCATATGGTTGCTCTGCATATCCCAGTGTAGCCAAGACTGCAGCTGCCTTGCTTTTGTTGTATGCTCTGCCACAGCTTATGACTGTATTTTGTACACAGGCAAGGGATAAGTGGCCACTCTAGAATGAAGTACACTGGAAACATAATCCAGCACAAATTAGCTTTTCTTAACGATGATGAGGATGATGACAATAATAAGAAAACAATATGATTAATTTATTAATAATTTATTAATCAACTTCTACCCAACCATCTCAAGGCAATGTACAATTAAAATAGCAAAAAAAATATTTAAAAACACAACAAAATCAGATACACGTAAAACTCAAATCAATATAAAAAGCAGATACTCATGGCAAGGACCCATTTATTCAGCTGGGAAAGCCTATTGGAACAAAATTTTCTTCAACCGTTTCTGGAAAGTGCCTTCCCTGCTGAAGACATTCCCACAGGGGAATTGCATTTACGAATTTGTGGGAACCTTAAGTTGTTTGAAATCTTCCAGTTGTGAAGATGATCCTAGACGTAATGAGTTGATGGCTGTTTCTGATCCTTTCTGGCATGGACAAAAATATATTGGGAGCCTGAGGGCCAGACCCTGTGGAAAATCTGGGCACATAGCTGCCCTAGCCTGCTTCCTGCTCTGTGCCGCTCAGCTATGTCAAGAGCTGCCTTCATTTTTGCTGTGTTAACCGCTTGACCCAATGTTCAATATTTTCAGCTCACATATGAAAGTTTGTATTTCCTTTTCTTTTGAGCAGCTTCGCCGTTTCGTAGCGAGAATAAGTAAAGCAATACACTTTAATATATTGAGGTTAATTCAAGTTGTGCCATGCTGCTACATTGTCTGATATTTTGCTCTGCAGTTGAAGCTTCCTCTGAGCAAAATCTGTCCATTGTGCTCATTGAAAACTATGTAGCAGCTTTGATTACCATTTTCCTGTGTGCAGAGAGAGCACAGTTTAGGCATTATTCGTAGAAGATGACTTCACTGTTGCATCAGCACTGCCTTCAAACCCTGGCAAAAAGCACTTTTGTGTTTACAGAAGCAAAATGGCATCAAATTAGGGCAGTGAAAGAGAAGCTGCGTTTATTGCGACTTCTTATGCTAAGGCCTCACAGGAAGCTCATAGATCTTGTTTCTTAAATGCAAAGGTGATCTGAGAACTGCCTCTTTATCAAACATCTACAGAAGTTTATACCAGGGTGGGCATCTGTGCAATGTAAGAAGCTGTTGGGACTGATGGTAAAAACATTCCTTTTTAATATACAAACTGATCTTTTGAAAGAGAGAAAAAAACCCTACACTGCTGAATATCAGCCTTGTGCTGTAAAAATTCCAACTCCCAAGCAATTAGAAGGGTAATAGCAGCAGGGCATCTTCTCCACAGCAGGTGAATAGTTTTGCTGAACTGTAATAACTTCAAAATTGCATACCAGGCTTTCTGACCTGAATCATTAGTCTCTGTTCTAAGAGCATGACAGACCTCTTGTTCAGCAGATGTAGCTTTTTAAAAAATAATTAGCATCACCTTTGATAGCTGCGTTGTGCCATTGCCTTGTTTTAAAGCCTGGTTTAGCCTGCAAAATGGATCCCTCTTCTTCAGCTAACTGTAAAGCTAAGTCTGGAAAACAGGAACTTGATTCTATTTTTAACACAGTGCAGGCCACTCGCTGTTGTTTTTGGACAGGTACCAAAATATGGCAGTTCCCACTGGCACCATGATATTAGAAAGAGCTGAAATGTTGAGACACTGAAACATTTAAATGTGATTGGGAGGTTAGAATTTCAGTTCAGGTTATTGTGCGGTTTCACCTGCTGGACTTCAGGTTGGATGCTTCTCTCCCCCACCCCCCTTACCTTGCCTTTTACTGTGCTCCAGGTTCCCTTTTTATGTCTCCATCATTAATATCTTAATTTATATCTTAATTAATATTAAGATATAAATATCTTAATTAAATCTTAATTAACATCTTAATAAATCTTAATTAATATCTTAATAGATATCTTAATTAATATATTATCATTAATAATATAATACATTAATATCTAGTACATATAGCCCTCCGTAGTTAAGATTGCTCAACCTTTTTCCTGGCTGCATATGAAAGGCAAGGCAGAACATCCTTATCTGTCCTCTACAATACTGTACAGATAGACCAACATCACTTGTATGGGACTGAACAGAATAAGAATCTGTGGAGGCAGCCAATAGGATTTTCAAAGGTAGTTCTTTAAAGAAAAGGGAAAGAACTTGGCCAGCTGTAGAAGAGGGTACAGAGAGTGTACCAATATACGTTAATGCTGGAAAGATGCCTCTGCATTCTCCTGTTAGGCATAAAACTGCTGACATTTCTCTTTTCCTGTCCAACATTGTTCTGTATTTCCCCTTAACCCTTCCTATTGTTGTTCCATATCATTAATAAATCTTTTTGACTTGCGATTTTGTGTGTGGTTATTGCACAAAGCACAGAGATCATCTGAGGAAATCTGGGATGTCTGCATTTTCATAAATATTTCCAAAGGCTCTGTGTTTGGAGCACGATCAATTTCCTTTTGGAGAAGCAAGGCTGATAAAGACCCCTTTGGGGGCCTACTTGTGTGACTTTTTCTTGCCTCGCCCGAGAGCCAGGATTCTGACCTCAGCTGCTTCAAGGGGGACATCACATGTGCTAGTAATGGGACCAACCAGGACATCAAGCATGAGAGGGATGCATGAGACTTGCAGTAACAGACATGGGTTTCTGAACCTACTTGGATGAAGAGACAATCTGCGTCAGAACAGAATAACCAAAGGCCTATCTAGTCTGACTCCAGCACCCTGTTCTCATAGTGGCCAACCAGATACCTATGCGAAACCTGCAAGCAGGACCTGACAGCATTTTGTTCTCCTCGAGTTTCTAGCAACTGGTGTTCAGAATGATTCCCTTGGTTTTCCCCTGCAAAAAGCATTTTTGACATGACAGCTTAAAAATAGCCATCTGCTATTAAGTAATGTCATATGATCCTATGATTTCCTTCTGCTTTCATGGTTAGTTCTGCTGGGCAAAAATCAGGACATATGAAAGAAACTACTCCTTCCTGTTTTCCATTTTGTAACTAAATGTTGGCACTGCTTATTCCTTGGAGACCTCTGACCAAATATATCTCCAGAGAGAATTATCCATTTTGTTTTGTTTTGTTTGGAATGACCTTGACTCGCCGTTGACCAATGACATCACCATCAGGAAGGCTTTGTAATGCAGGCTGCAAGTTCCTTCACACAGATGCTCTAGATATTAGTAGCATTTAAATGGATTGCTTTTTAGTCATGTTTCTCAGCCTCCCAGTCAGCTTGGCACCAGTATAGGATGTCTGTGGCACCTGGAGCCTGCCTGTGGCATGAAATGGAAGCTGGCAAAATGCCTTGGGTAGCTCCAGAAGGGGGAGGCTGGATGGGAAGAAGTAAGAAAGCATTTGCAGGATCAGAACAGTCAGGGAAACGGATCAAAGAGGTCACAGGCTGAAGCCAGGTAGGGGAGAGTAGCTGAAGGAAGAGCTGACAGGCAGCTTGGGAAGACCGAAAAAGGAAGAAGACAGAGGAGGGACAGAAGGAGAACTGAGAAAGAGAACTGTCACAGGCCAGCATTAGGGATGTGGGGTGGGAAGAGAGAAGAGTGAATAGGCAAAAATGCAGAGAGCAGAGGTGCAAGAGAACATGGCTGGAGCAGTGTCAGTTGGGGATTGACACCCATACCCAGTACAGAAGAGAGCTGGGCTGGGGGGCAGGTGATATCCAAGGGGGTTGTGGAGCTGGGGAGGGGCTTAAGTACAGAGTGTATTGCTTAGTTTGCTGGCACATTATGATGGTTCAGAAAAACAGACTTGTGGGGGGTGGGACAGGACATTATCAGTCAGATGGGCGGGGGTATAAGTAATAAATGATTATTATTAACATTTCCCAAAAAACTTCAAAATTGCTATTCAGTGCAGCCTTTACCATCCCTTTAATTCCGCTGCCCCTGCTTCTGAAAGAACCAAAAAATTCTAATTACAGTCAGCAAAATTATTTGGGGAACCTTTAATTTTTCTCCTCCTCTGCAACTATTTTGCTATGTTCTCTGAAGATCTCTGGCTGCCAGTCTGTTTTTAAGCCACTTAAAAACAGCTCAAGCAGCTGTTGGTTTAGCAGTTTACTCCCAAGCAATCTTTGAGCTCCCCAGGATAGCATTTTTTTCATTGTGAGTAATGTGGTTGTGGGCAGCCAGTCAGTCCTGTCAAAGGGCCATCAAGATGATTTCCTTCCGTTCAACCTCTCTCCTGCCTCTTCTGGCCTCCTGAGAGCAGGGCGTAAGGAGGCACATGGCTTGCAACGGGAAAAAGAGGAGCTGAAAAGATGCCACGCTAAATGCCCAAGTGTGTTTTGGCATGGAGGGCTCACTTGGCATGTGTGTGACAAGGATCTCATTTCCAAGGCTGTGAATAACGATTACAGCCTCAACTGTGTGTAACAAAACCAAATTGCCACTCCAGTGGGGCAAACAGTGTTTGATTTCCTGTTTCCTGGTCAAAAGAGTTCACTTTGTTCAAAGAGGAAAAAATAAATGCTGACAAATGAAGCACCCTCCTTGCTGTGACTAATGTCCCTTGGCTCTTGATACCATGTAGTTAATCGTAGGATCACATAATTTCTCACTTTGGGGAATGTGGCTGATTTATGCAGTGTTTGTAAAACGTTTCAAACACAGAAGTGAGGCCTAACATCGAAGCTTGCACTAACTTTTTTTGGGGACAGCTCCATGCAAGCAATCTGTATGTGCCTGAAAAAACAGCAAAATACCCACTGGCACCTTAAAAGACTTAACACCTGTGAGACTAGACATCCAGTGTGGTGTAGTGGTTAGTGTGTAGTACTAGGACCTGGGAAACCAGGGTTCGAATCCCCACTTTGCTATGAAACTCACTGGGTGACATTGGACTAACCATGGCCTCTAAGCTTAACCTACCTCACAGGATTTGTTGTGGGGATTAAATGAGGAGGGAGAGGACCATGCACACTAGGTTGAGCTCCTTGCAATAAGTAGTACATTTAATATAGCATAAATCATGGGTAGGCAAACTAAGGCCCGGGGGCCGGATCCGGCCCAGTTGCCTTCTCAATCCAGCCCACGGACGGTCCAGGAATCAGCATGTTTTTACATGAGTAGAATGTGTGCTTTTATTTAAAATGCATCTCGGGGTTATTTGTGGGACATAGGAATTCATTCATTCCCCCCCAATATACTCCGGCTCCCCACAAGGTCTGAGGGACAGTGGACCGGCCCCCTGCTGAAAAAGTTTGGTGACCCCTGAATGTACTCCAGCTTAAGGCTACCCTCTAGCAAATTTGCCTGACTAGTTTGCAAGAGAAATAAGACCGCCCAGTCAAAAGAATGAAGAGAATCACATTGGTATTGGGGAAACCATCTCAATAACTGAAACTGACAACACACCAGAAGATGATTCCAACCAGTTTGAACAGCAACAACAAAAACTTTCTAAAAAAACCAATAAGGATGGTGACAGGGAATTCTGTAACTTGGGTGCCATCACTGAGGCCCCATCTACGCCAGACATTTAAAGCAGTATCATACCACTTTATATGGTCCTGGGAACTGCAGTTTGTTAAGGGTGCTGAGAGTGCTTAGGACCCACCCCCATTTCCCTCAAAAAGCTACAGTTCCCAGAAGAGGGCTTGTTTGTTAAACCACTCTGGAAGTTGTCTCTCTGTGAGGGGAACAGGAGTTTCAGAACCCTTAACAAACCACAGTTCCCTGGGTTCTTTTGGGGAAGCCATGACTTTTTAAAGTGATATGATAAAGCTTTAAATGCATACTGGAGATGGGCACTGAGAGAAGGCCTTTGGTCTCAAAAGCAATGATTGGAGCACTGTCAGTTGAGGGAACTCAGATTTCAAAATTCAAACACTTGCTCAAATGACTGTTCAATAATCCAACCAGAACTGCAGAACTACATTTAATAATTACAGGGTTGGTTAGAGGAAGGGAGGGTAAGGGTAGGACATATATTACTTTGCGTGATGATGGACACAGGTTATACTTTGCTATCACGTGGAAGCTGGTTTACGTTACTCCCATGTGCAAGTTGTTCTAGTGTAGGAAACCATTTGCCAGCAGCAGATCATCCTGAGGTCAAGGCAGTTTTCTGTATGCCAAAGGAGCTACCGTATTTTTCGTTCTATAGGACGCACATTTCCCCCTCCAAAAATTAAGGTGAAATGTGTGTGCGTCCTATAGAGTGAATGCAGGCTGCGCCGCTAAGCCCAAAGCCAGAACAGGAAGACGGAGCACTGCGGAGCGCTCCATCTCGCTGCTCTAGCTTGGGGACGGCTGCCCGCAAACCTCTGCAGGGCAGCGGGGTGCCTTCATCCCGCTGTCCTGCAGAAGCTAGCAAGGCTGTTCCCAAGCCAGAACAGCGAGACGGAGGGCTCCGTCTCGCTGCTCTAGCTTGGGGACGGCTGCGCACACAGCCTCTCCAGGGCAGCGGGGTGCTGCGCTCCAAAGGCTTCAGGGATCTTTGAGGCTGGCGGTGGGGGAAAGCAGCACTTCCCCCCACCGCCAGCCCCACAAGCTCTGGTGAATGTACCTTGAACGCACCTTGTTTTAGAGGGGGAGAACAAGAAAAAAAATTTTTCCCTGTTCTCCCCCTCCTATGGTCCGGTGCGTCCTATGGTCCAGTGCGTCCAATGGAGCGAAAAATACGGCATGTTGATTTGGGGCATTTGCTGTGGTGCTTAGGAATTCTCTATAATTGTACCTTTGAAGTGTAAAGGTAAAGGGACCCCTGACCATTAGGTCCAGTCGCGGACAACTCTGGGGTTGCGATGCTCATCTTGCTTTACTGGCCGAGGGAGTCGGTGTTTGTCCGCATACAGCTTCTGGGTCATGTAGCCAGCATGACTAAGCTGCTTCTGGCGAACCAGAGCAGCGCACGGAAACGCCATTCACCTTCCCGCCAGAGCGGTACCTATTTACCTATCTACTTGCACTGTGTGCTTTTGAACTGCTAGGTTGGCAGGAGCAGGGACCAAGCAACGAGAGTTCACCCCGTCACTGGGATTCGAACCGCCGAACTTCTGATTGGCAAGCCCTAGGCTCTGTGGTTTAACCCACAATGACACCTGCGTCCCTCACAGGTCAAACTAGCTGTGACATGGCTTGTTTGTTGAGGGTTGCCTCTTTGTGGTTGTTTTTAACTTTTAGACCAGCTTTACTGCCTTTTTCAGAAGTGGTCTGGTAAATGTTCAAGGGTTGGGTTGGGGGCTGTTTAAAAAACAAAACAAAAACCTTGAAAATATTGGCTGTGGCTGAATTCTTACTGCCTTTCACAACCCAAAGATCTTCTCTTTTCATTCTGGTCACCTAGAATTTGTGAAGTTTCTTATACATGCACATCTAATATAGTCCTTTGGAAAATGGAGCAGAGTGCAAGACCATGGCTTCCCCCCGCCCTCTGATCTTGTTTGGATTCTAGAAGACGAAAATGAAACTGAGGCTCAGCAGGGACAGTTTAATGTGCTAATATTCCTTAGTGCCCATTTCTGAATCCAGCTTATAAGGGTCGTGTTTCTGGATTGCTGGATTCCTTTCTTATTCTTCACCCTTAAAGAAGACGTTCGCTCAAGGCCTAGTCACTTAGCAAGGGCAATGGGGAGCTCCTCTCAATAAGACTGCTTTATTTTTAATGCTTCATCCTGCTTCCTGCACCAGCACTTTCTCTTGGGGCGCTTCTTTCCTTGACTGAATTACAATAAATGCCTTTTAGCGGCATTTATCGTAATCACGTGTCCATGCCCGTTAGCTTCCAAACACAGCATTATTGTCAAGGGGGGATGCTGTACATGGTAATGTAAATGTAATGGGGAGAATCCAGCCTGCCTTGAAACGCGCCTTGTGAATGGGCGAAAGCAGCAATTAATGTCTCAATGTTGGTTCATCTGTTGAGTACAATTAGCTTCATCTATCAGCCTTTCACTTCAGAGAAAAGGGCAGTGTGGCATTTATTAAAGGACGGCCTTGTTCTGCTTGACATTTCAGAGCCGCATGTCACTGGGTGTCTCAGCTGGAGGAATGGGTGAGACTGGGGGACACAGCAATGTATTTGTGGGACTTGGATTGAAACTGGCAGTGCCTTGGAGATGTGGAAGCGAATGTAGACCCTCTGCTTTAGAAGTGGTGGTGGTGTGGGGAGGGACGTGGCTCCCAAGTGTGAATGCTTTCCCTCTTTTTTGCTTTCTAGGAAAAAGTTGCTAGACAGACATCTCGCCCCCTCCCTACCGCCCAGCAGAGCGCTCCATGGGCTATTAGTGATGCCCCTTCTCACACTTCCAGCAGAAGTGTTTAATTGGAGCCTGCTGTGAGGCGAGCTCTGATTCCAGGAGGCCTGCAGTGTGATAAAGGTTACATCATTTCGCTGCCACTGTGGATTGTGATAACATGTTGAGCTCTTTTTACCCCCTCCTCCTCCTCTACACACACACACACACACACACACACACACACACACACCCCTTTATCTTCTTTATGATACACACAGGGAAGGAGGGTGACATAGGATAGCGCTGTTGCTTTTCAGTGCAGCAAAAGTCAGTGCAGCAGATATTTTGGATGGTGCAGCCTCCATCAGGTGGGGCAGTTTGGGGCGGTTCATACAAATGCATTGTGTTAAAATGGCAAATTTGCAGACAAACAGAAGTGGCGTTTGCGATAGCCTCTTGAGGGAGTTGGGGGAGGGCCGCAGCAAAGTCATAGAGCATTTGCTTTGGATGCAGAGTCTGCGGTGTTCATTGGCAGCCTAGATCTTCTTCAGTTGCCTAAAGCATGCCTCATGGAAGACTCTCTCTTTCTCTCTCTCTAGGTGTGGGAGGAAAAGTGCTTGGCTCTGCAAATTGGGAAGAAGTAGGGTAAAGAACAAAATGTTTTATTAGGCTCTTAAGTGCATACATGGTGTTATTTTGGCACTGCTTAGATTACTAGTGGCATTGGGTTCAGCTGCTGGGGATATAGACAGCATCCTCATCCTTAATTCCTGGATCACCTTCCAGGCTTCCCCCCCTGGGCATTTTATGTGGATTTACTTCAGGTATTCCCTGTTCGCATGCTGTCTGAAGGTGTATCTAAGCCTACACTTAAATCCACATGCTTTACAGGAGATCACAAAAAAGAGAGAAAGAAAAGCAGGCGGGTTTTCTCCAAGCTTTTCCTGTGAAACCAGCACCTTCTCTCATTGAATACAAAGTTTTACTGTTTCTGCATAAGCCAGCAGGTCTTTGCACATAAAGGGAAAACAAGCCTCTTGAGCACAATGCCTGTGGCACTTATTACACTAGCATATTCAAATACAGATTCTCCAGTCATGTAGGTGGAATCCTAAGGGCTTTTTGACACATAATACAGCAGCAAACTTGGATTCAAGACCAAGTGCACACTTGAAGAGCTGCACTCTGATGAACATACCTGTCTGACAGGTATAAAAAGGCCCTAATGTAGATGCTTTTTGTTGATGAGCTGATAGCCCTGATATTGAATAATTGGCATGTGATATTGATCATCCTCTAGCTGGTATAATCTGGAGTGAGAAACCTCAGGCCAAATGCAGTCTTCCAGATCTCTCTAGTTAATCCTCAGGACTCTTCCTCTAGCTCCGCCCCTTCTCAGGCTACACCCTCACCAGTCTTGCTCCATGCCCTCCTCAAGCAGTACTGCATCCTGGAACTACAAATAATAATAATAATAATAATAATAATAATAATAATAAAATTTATACCCCGCCCATCTGGCTGGGTTTCCCCAGCCACTCTGGACGGCTTCCAATAAAATATTAAAATACAAGGTACATTCTTTCACCTTTGGTGGACGTGCCCAAGGATTAAGGCTTTCTGGGAGATGATTTATAATGAAATAAAAAAGGTATTTAAATATACCTTTCTGAAGAAACCAGAGGCCTTTCTTCTGGGCATTGTCGGCCAATTGGTGCCAAAGAAGGACAGAACCTTTTTTATGTATGCTACAACAGCAGCAAGAATACTCATCGCAAAGTATTGGAAGACACAAGATCTACCCACTCTGGAAGAATGGCAGATGAAGATGATTGACTACATGGAATTGGCGGAAATGACTGGCAGAATCCGAGACCAGGGAGAAGAGTCGGTGAAAGAAGACTGGAAGAAATTTAAAGATGATTTACAGAAATATTGTAAAATTAAGGAATCTTAGAAGGATGTTGGATAGAAACTAAGAGGTTTTTAGCTGTAATGCTTTAAGAGCTATGAAAAAAGGTTTACAATTGGGCAAAAGTTTAATGGTAAGGATTTGCTGAACTAACAAACTGAACTGGAATACAAAAAGGGAGGTATGAGGAGGTCCGGGGAAATAAGTCTAGGGAAGATAGGTTTGGAAAATTAATGTCTTTTTAACTGTTTTATTTTGTATGTTTCTTTTTTATCCTTTATTTTTTTGTTATACTTTAAAAAACTTTACTCTTTTTTCTGTATAAAAAAAAAAATTAAAATACAATAGTCCTCTGACACAAAACCCCACATATATTAAGTAAAATAGAAACATCGCCACCCAGCCTCAACCCCACTCACCTTTCCCCCCTCCACCTCTTTCCCCCTTTTCTTCCTAATGTCTCAACAAATGAAACTGATCTGTAAAAAATGTTACTTGAAAAAAAAAAGAGAGAGAGACATTTCACATACTTTTGTAAACACGAGAAAAACCTGATGGATCAGGCCAGTGTCTCGTCTAGTCCAGCTTCCTGTTGTCACAGTGGCCAACTAGATGCCTATGGGAAGCCCCCAAACAGGACTTGAGCACAACAGTCAGCACACAAGACTTGACTAATGCTCAGCATTTCAGGAATTGTATACACATGTGTGCAGAGGTAATCCTCATTGAGTTTAATCCCGTGCACACCTTTTTTTGAGATGAAGCCGCCACATTTAGCACAGTAGGGTCTTTCTTTGAGTAAGCATGATTGCTGCTTCATCCTTGTACCATTTTGTAATCAGAAGAAACAACAACTTTGAATGAACTTACAGTGGTGCCTCGCAAGACGAAATTAATTCGTTCCGCGAGTTTTTTCGTCTAGCGAATTTTTCGTCTTGCGAAGCACGAAATCCCATAGGAATGCATTGAAATCCAATCAATGCGTTCCTATGGTCAAAAAAAGTCCAAACAAAGCCAAATTTGGTACAACAAGAGTTTATTAAGTGCTCTTTAAAGTCACACATACTGTAAAGAGCATTTCAAAAATTGAAGGAACAATAAATTAAGTTTCTAAACATGACAGAAAAACATTTTAAAATCAACAAAGTGTACAGTACATTTTCTAAGACTCTGGGGGACAACTCGAAGAAGGTTCCTCTTCCACTCTTTGCTTCTTGCTGAAGAACCCACTCCTCAACTGTTCCCCCAGCCACCCACCACACAGAAATTCAAATCCAGAATTTTTTTTTAAAAACAGCAGAGTGGCCCAATGGTCACAGAAAATCATAAAAATGCAGAGAAAAACCACACAAGCTTCCAGATTCTTGCAAACCCCTCCTCAACTGTTCCCCCAGCCACCCACCACACAGAAATTCAAATCCAGAATTTTTTTTAAAAAACAGCAGAGTGGCCCAATGGTCACAGAAAATCATAAAAATGCAGAAAAAACACACACAAGCTTCCAGATTCTTGCAAACCCCTCCCCAACACCAAGTCCTTGAATTCCAAACACCCCAACCCAAAATTCAAAAACCCCCAAAAGTTTTAAAAGTTTAAAAGAAGTTTTGGAAAAGCTTCAAAAATCACCAAAGTCTTCAAAAACCTCAAAAAGGCTACCACACCGCGTTCTATGAGTTGCTCCTCGAAGTCAAGTCGCAACTGTATTAACGGTGTTAAGAAAAAGGAAACAAACTTGCAAGACGTTTTCGTTTTTCGTCTTGCGAAGCAAGCCCATAGGGAAATTCGTCTTGCGAAGCAGCTCAAAAAATGGAAAACCCTTTCGTCTAGTGAGTTTTCCGTCTTGCGAGGCATTCGTCTTGCGGGGCACCACTGTACTTTTTTTAAGAAAACCAACACCGCCCTATTCTGATAATTTTTGCTGAGGAGGAATGTTTGGATGTGAGTTTTCAGCTGGAGGTAACGAGTGATTAGAATATGCATATGCAGGGCGTACACTAAAGCCTGATTTAACAGCTTGAGATGATTCTTCTTCTGGATGTTACTGTGCCATCCCCAGATTAGTCTTCAGTTTATAGAGATTCATGTCATCGCCATGCTGCTGACCAGTGTTTGACCCCATAGCTATATCATCCTCTTTATACATGAACCTCAATCCTTCTGTTCTTTTGAGAGGGTTACAGCAAGGTTTCAAAGAATCACACTCGCTGGAAACAAATATGTAAAGTCAGAATTGGCTAGAATTATTATTCTCTTGGGGTAACTGCTTCCTAACTACTTAATTATTTGGGGGGGTGCATAAGAAGGGGGAGAGGAGAGGGAGCGGAACATTTTTTTAAAAAACCTGTTATAATAATCCCAAACTGAAGACATGAATCTGAACTCAAATTAATTTCGGATCTGGATTTGGGCTGGGGGAATGACCTTTGTATTTTTAATCTATTTCTGGGATTCACTCAAATCCCGATCTTTTCAAGATTACAATTTATATTTTCTTATAGGCTTGAGATTTGTATTTTAACCAATTAAACTGCATTGCAATGGCAAGCCTGAAAGCTTGTATTTTTACCAAGAACAAAGGGTTAAAGACTAAGGGTGATATTCAACTGAGTTTGTGGTGAGAAGGGGCTAGGTTTATGTCTTTTTGTCACTGTTCCTAGGGCAGCGGTTGTTTATTTTTATTTTTATTTTTGAGAGGGGAGGGGTTAGTTGTGCTGCAGGATAGTAACGCTGAATAATTTCGGGACTCTTGCCCTGTAACGCTGCAGGCCTGCTTGGCTTGAGTTGTCTGGTTTATTAACCTTAACAAATCATGTGGAGGCTGCTATGAATTATGCAGGACAGCCTGACCCATTTGCTGGCAAATCTGTTTGCAGGGCAAGGCAGGTCACGTGCGGTCTGTGGGATTGCATTGGCAAATAAAAGCTTTCTAGCCTCAGAGGTGCTCAGTGCACCCTTTGCCTTAACAGTACATCTATTGTTCAGCCATTAGGAAGTAATTGTTTCGGGGGGGGGGGAGCGAGGGGAATGTTGGAAATATGCCATGCCAGAATTCTGTAAAGCCTTCCAGGTGTGATCTGGTCAGGTGTCATGTCTGCCATCAAGCATTGGCTCAAAATGCCTGGTTTTGGTGTCAGTGTAGCTGCTTAGAACAAGAAAAATTGCTCTGGAGAGAGGGCGGGTGACGGAGGGAACTAGTATGGGATTCTTCTGCTTGCTATTCATTTATAGGTACATTGTATACATTTTGGCAAAGGGCAGTATCCTGACAAATCGGATCAGGCTCATGTATGCCAGCAAGAGAGAAAGCGCTGCCAATACATCTCACGCAAAGCCTAAGTATTCTGTCATTTATGCATAACATAGCCTGCAAATTTTAAGTCAGTGCAGTCACAAGTACTGTCAGAGATAGTTTAGGGAGATGGAGGGGCCTGGAAAGAGTGTACCAGACCATCTGTCTCCTAGGGTCTCCACGTGTGTAAGGGGGCAGGGAGGAATTACTGCAGCTCTGTGCATTCATTGTAAAACAAAACGTGTATGTGTATGTCTGTCTCCATCTCCCCCAGCACCCTCTGTGCAACAGTGGCGGAAGATCACCCTGTGCTAACTACAATGAAAGGCGGCGTTATTTCTTTATGGATTCTTTGAATAAAATGGATGTGTCTTGAGTTCTTTGGCCTCTAATTATTGCACTAATAAGTGGAACGGGATGGCTCAGGAGACTGACTGTTCTTTCGAGCCAGATCCGTTTGCCTTTAGTCAGCTGGGACCAAAAGCAATTACTCGTTGATGGATGGCTAGTGGCCCATGTGTGCACATTCAATGGCTTCGGGGAAGTTGCTTGCAGACAGATGTCCGCACTGCAACAAACTCTGGGGATTAAATTCAGCCGCAGTCTGACCGTCTGGGGCTGGCTGTATTTGGGTCTGGAGCATTGCCAGAAAAGCACAGCAAGCCCAAGTGACCTAATGATATGGCCTCTTCTTTTCCAATGCATTGTACTGTACAATCAGAAAACCTGGGAATCCCATTTCCCACACCCCACCCCTTCAATACTTTGTATATAAAACATTAATAAAGTTGAACCAGAAAGTAATGTTACATTATAATATATTTGTGCCAAGAGCATTGGAAATAGGTTCCTTGTATACATCCTGCCTCTTGAAGCTCCAAGTAGGACTAGATAGGACATTTGAGATACACTCCGTACGAGAAATTCAGAGAACACTTGTTTCTGTTCTCTATTCTTTTGTCTCTACCTCCAATTTATTTTCTACCATGCTGCCTTCCATTCTTTCTTCTCATTCCCTCTGTCTCTTCTCATGGTTGGCATTTTCTCCGTAATCCTACATCATGTTTCTGTTTCAAACTGGTTCCAACCTGAAGTTGTGTAGGCAGTTGGTCTGTATAGTGAAGTACAGTGGTACCTTGAGTTACAAACACTTCGGGTTACAGACTCTGCTAACCCGGAAGTAGTACCTCGGGTTAAGAAATTAGCCCCAGGATGAGAACAGAAATTGTGCAGTGGTGTCGCGGCAGCAGCGGGAGGCCCTATTAGCTAAAGTGGTGCCTCAGGTTAAGAACAGTTTCAGGTTAAGAACGGACCTCCAGAATGAATTAAGTTCTTAACCAGCGGTACCACTGTACAGGTACATTTCCCAGGTGTGTTCTTCATTAGCTTGCCATAAGGAGCTTCAGAATGGCAGTGATGGATCAAGGGTAGGTATATGGCCTCACATTCTATGAAGCTCATGCTGTGGTGATGCCATTTTATGAACTGTGCTGCACATGCACTGTGTAACCACTTAGAGTTTTTGTGGTTTGTTTGTTTTTTACAATCAAGTGGCATATAAATATAATGAAATTGTTGTTGTTGTTGTTGAGTCATTTAGTCTTGTCTGACTCTTTGTGACCCCATGGACCAGAGCACGCCAGGCACTCCTGTCTTCCACCGCCTCCCGCAGTTTGGTCAGGCTCATGTTTGTAGCTTCGAGAACACTGTCCAACCATCTCGTCCTCTGTCGTCCCCTTCTTCTTGTGCCCTCAATCTTTCCCAACATCAGGGTCTTTTCCAGGGAGTCTTCTCTTCTCATGAGGTGGCCAAAGTATTGGAACCTCAGCTTCAGGATCTGTCCTTCCAGTGAGCACTCAGGGCTGATTTCCTTAAGAATGGAGAGGTTTGATCTTCTTGCAGTCCATGGGATTCTCAAGAGTCTCCTCCAGCACCATAATTCAAAAGCATCAATTCTTCGGCGATCAGCCTTCTTTATGGTCCAGCTCTTACTTCCATACATCACTACTGGGAAAACCATAGCTTTTACTATACGGACCTATGTTGGCAAGGTGATGTCTCTGCTTTTTAAGATGCTGTATCTTTTTAAGATACAATGAAATACAAATAAATAAAGAATGCAGACATGGCGAGGCTAGCCTTTTGCCCTTTATTTAGTGCTCTCAGCCATTTTAGAGAACTTTTAAAATTATTCTGGATTTTTTTTGGGGGGTGAGGAACGAGCAGCTTAGAGGGAAACGTTCAGAAAATGTTGAGCGCAGAAAGTCCTTCTGTATAATTGCAACGTCGTGTCTGCTTTATGTCAGAGGCGTTGTTGCCTGACTGCATGAATAAAAGGTAAGTCAGCTTCAGACTTAAAAGGTGTGGCTGCTGTTTGCCTCCTGGTGACATTAGTTAAAGAGACGCATGATGTGAACATCGGCGCAGTCAGCACTTCTCTGCCCTAAGATGGGGAAATTCTGACGTATTGTGCATCAGCTTTACCTGATGTAATCAGGAGTGGCAGGAAAGGGATGTGATTTGGCTGTGGTTACACCTTTCAGGTAACATCCAGTTTGGCCCACATATATATATATATAGTGTATTATTTATTTGGAAGATTTATATCCCATCCTTTAGTCCAGATGTTCCTCAAAGTGCTTTTCACTGTATCTATAATAATACACCCCCCCAAACCCATATAGCTCAACAGCCCTTCTTTTCCTGGTCAACAGATGGGGTCAGAGTGTGCCTCTCTTCAACTCTACAGTGCAAGGGGAGCTTGTAACTAAAGCTGAGTGTTCTTTTGACATGGGGGAGAAGGCTGCAAACGTTCTGCTGCAGGTCTTTTCTTCCTGGCTGATGGATAGGGAAAGGGTAGTCTTCCCTTGCTGCAATGTTCTTCCTGGGAGGCAGGGGGTGCAACTACTGGAAAACCTTGTTCCCCTGGCTTAGCCCAGAATGTGCTTTCCTTCTGTTCTGCAGATCCACAGCAATTTATTTATGCCTTAAGAACTATTCCCTCCCATGCCTTAGTTATTCAAATATCATTATGATCTACATTCACAGTGTCAGCTCCGTCAGCGTGTATAATGAACTCCTGTCTATCTGAATATTCATTATATGCCTCCATTGCTAATTGCATTTATTTAATAGATATCAGAGACAGCTCCCACTTTTTTGCAAGGTGGGCATTCTCCTTTAATTTTTGAAATCCACTTCTCTTCTTGTTTAATGCCCTGGATCTTTTTTAATGAATATATTGATGGGGGAAGCAACGAAGGGGATTGAAACAGATTCAAAATGCCAGCAATGATATTACCAGATCAAGAGAGAGGCTGTGTCATCTTCTTAGTGTGTTACTCTGAGTTTAATCTGTGAATTATTTTTCCCTCCTGACATGCAGCATAATGGAGAAGATAAATTTGCATATTGCTAGCTCCACCTGACTACTAGTCCTGTCAAGAAACACATCAATAATGATGCACAAGGTCACAGCAGGATGCATAAAGTATTCCTAATTAGGCCATAATTGCTGTGCTGGAAAACTTATTAAAATAATATAGTAGGAGGTATGCAAATTGCTTATTCCCCCCAAACCCCTCCCTACTAAACACCAGCCACTAAAATGTTCTTTAATTGCTATACTGTTTTTTAACATGTTGCATATACACAGTATTTAAGTTTGTGTTGGCCTCCCTATGGTTCTGGCAGATGAATAACCAGCGGTTCCAAATTGGCAACTTATTTTGTTTGCAAAGTTAATTTTGCTCTCTTGAAAATACACCTTAGCATTTAAAATATTTCATCCTAAGGCTCCACTGGTATGGTTAAAATTACAATGGCAGCAGAACTGCTTGCTCAGCAGGTGTAAGAGAATCACAGGCAGCTTTTGAACAGAGAGATCAAAACTGGGCATCAGCACTTACCCCCTCATGGTGTGAAAATGCAGCTGTGGTAGCAGCACCCCAAAACTATCACTGTTTTGTATAGATGGTAGAATCAAGTGTCCCCCATCACCACAATTGTACTAGGCTTATACTAGGCTACAGTTCATAATATTCTTCTCTGGTCAGATCAGTGTGTGTGTATGTATAGGGAACTAGAGGATGAGCCGCACCGTTGGCTGCCTGGCCATTTTATCACCTGCCTCAGTGGTAGAACTGATGGGCACACAGTTCACTGTTGACATGCAGAAGATCGAAACAGGGCATAATGTGTGTATGACTAGAGCCTTTTTCAAGCATTAATTTTCACGCTGAGGCCAAGCAAGGTGAAAGGGGCTATGGGCTGTGTATGGGCATGGTGTCTCCCTTAGCAATCAGCCCTTTAAAATCAAGGGAGAAGTCACAACCCGCAGGGAAGGCTGCAGAAGTTAATGCTTAACATAGTAATAGTGGCAGTGGGGGCAGGAGCAAGGCAGTGCTACTTTGGGGGTGAAGCCAAATACATGACCCCACAGCCATTTTCACCCTGCTTGTCTTCTACATGCGCGTAATGTGTAAAGAGGCCTTAGGGGAGGCAGACTTTTGGTATGCAGTGATTTCTGGAAGACCCCTGCAGAGTACAAACAGCATAATGGAAAGTGATTAGAGGGCTTCTGTTCTAGTAAGCAGCGCATAACTTTTGTAAAATAAAATAATAAAAGAAAGAATTGATGGTTAACTTCGTTCTAGCTATAAAAAAACCTGAGCATGTGGGAAGGCATTTGGTCTGAACGAAAGATATGCATCTGTGGCCATTGGCCTTGTGAAGCTTTTGATATGCAAGCTCACAAGTTAGGAGTTTCAGAGCAATGGGAATGTTTTGTTTACACCTGCCCTGTGTGCGGCAGCGCAGACCTTTTAAAAAATGACATAAATCTACATGTGCAACTTGTTGTGTGCTCTTGCATGTGCAATTTAACAGAATCATATTATTGTGATGAACAGTTACCTTTGTGGCACAGGAAACAAGAGGTGTCAAAATCCATAATAGCTTCATGGGGAAAATATCGACTGTGTAACCTGAGATCAATCTTGCACTTTATTCAAACGTTCAGAAATGTCAATAAAAATTTAACGGTTGGGGTTTTTTGTTTTGTTTTTGCCTTGTTTCTTTAATTGCAAGGAGAAATGTTGAGGTGGCTGTACAGCAAATGTATTTGAAAGGAAGAATGCCTTGCTGAAAGGTCTGAGAGTGTAAACTGCCATGGCAACAATTCTTTACAAGTTCAAATGGGTCGATAGGAATGAGAAAAGAAAGTCCTTATGATAAGCATCTGATTTATGAGCTTAAAAGGAAAGGCAAAGGTTCAGCCAGCATGATATCTTAAGAACTGAGACCCCAGGTGCCACTGTGGGAGGCAGAAATCCTTTATATTGTATATTTATAACAAAACCAGACCTTTTCATAAAATGCGTTGGATTTGGAAGCAGTCTCTCCCTCCTCCCCCAAATATAGCTAGCATTTCACGAATTTGAAGAGGCCCAACACCCAGGAAAAGGCATGCTGTAAAGACCTTAAAAATAAAAACAGCCAGTTGTGTAATAACAAATGCAAATTGTGTGTGAGTGTGTGTCTAATAGTGAGTTTTAACTCATATACCTCAATAATAGGAAGATGCATAGTATTTGCATGTGTGCATCCATACACTTAAGTGTGTGTGTGTGTTGTAAGGTAAAGGTAAAGGGACCCCTGACCATTAGGTCCAGTCGTGACTGACTCTGGGGTTCAAAAGCACGTCAAAGTGCAAGTAGATAAATAGGTTCCGCTCCGGCGGGAAGGGAAAGGCCTTTCCGTGCGCTGCTCTGGTTCGCCAGAAGCAGCTTAGTCATGCTGGCCACATGACCCAGAAGCTGTACACCGGCTCCCTCGGCCAGTAAAGCAAGATGAGCCCTGCAACCCCAGAGTTGGTCACGACTGGACCTAATGGTCAGGGGTCCCTTTACCTTTTACTTACCGTATATATCAAGGACTTGTTCAAGAAGTACTTTAGCTTCCTCAACAAAAGCTGAAAATTTGCAGGCTTCATCCACTTTGGGAATGTTCCTGTGCCTGGAAATTTTATTTGCTTCTGATGAAAGGAGGAAAAGTTACACAGATTTTAGATTACCCATAAAGGGCGAATAGGAAACATAGCTTTATGCAGAGTGACCTGGAACACAAATTGAAGATTGAAGCAGACAGAGTACATAATGACTCAGAAACAGGTAAAAGAAGTCTCGATACAGATAACAATTTACAATGTGATTGATTTTGATATTAGAAATTGATTTGCGTGTTAAGGGGGGATTATAAGTTTTTGTAAACTTTGCTACACTTTTTTGTAGATTCTTATTTCAGTTATATTGGTTTGCTAACACCCTAACATATATAGAGATCTCAGTCATTCTAAGCTGCTGTGTGCAGTTGAAACTCATTTTACAGTAACATGCACAGATGGCATGTTACTTTCTGTCTGAAATGTGACGCTTTTTAATTTCCCTAAGGACTGATGTGTGAACCTGGCCAGAATTTCCTCAATGAGTATTTGTCTCTGGTTTCTCTAATTTGCTTATCTGAAATCAGATTCAATCTGATAGGAGCAATGAGTGGGTGGCTTGCATACAAGATGGCACAGACATGTTCAGTCATATGCTTTAGTCCTGTTTGTTCAATAATTACCGTATCAGCGAATGCTTCCTATCTAATATACTGAAGTAATTAAATTCTGAGGCCTACTTCTTGCATGTAGGAAATAAATTTCCTCCTGTGATGACAGATAGGGTCTGAACGGCTAGGACATAAATGGCCATGGAAAACTTGATAGATCATTAAACAGGGAGCCGTGTTTGGAGGAGGAGGAGAGATCCTGGGTTGCCCTTGACCAGGTTGAAAATGCAGCATTCGTACCAGCAATCTTTATATGAAATGAAAGAAAGAACTGGCATGTTGAACATACCAATTCACTCCAAAGACTCAAATCTATCTTGGAAGCCAGTAGTTGCAAAGACATATTGTAGTTCAAAGACAGCATTCATTTCAGCTCTTACACATCAGTCCATCTGTCAGGTGGATCGCGACGAGAATATGGCTCCTTAAAATGGTAGGACAATTTGCCTTTATAAATACAGTGGTACCTTGGGTTACAGACGCTTCAGGTTACATACGCTTCAGGTTACAGACTCCACTAACCCAGAAATATTACCTCAGGTTAAGAACTTTGCTTCAGGATGAGAACAGAAATCATGCAGCAGAGGCGCGGCAGCAACGGGAGGCCCCATTAGCTAAAGTGGTGCTTCAGGTTAAGAACAGTTTAAGGTTAAGAACGGACCTCTGGAACGAATTAAGTACGTAACCAGAGGTACCACTGTATATTAAAATTATTTGAGCTCTCTGGAGAACTAATTGCAGGTGTCTGATAACACACAAAGAGGTAAATTGAAACACATCTTGGAGCAGATTCCAACTTGGTCATGGGGAGAAAAATAGCTTGTTAGCAATGAAGTTGTAAAAGAAAAAAAAATATCCCAACAAATTTACAGTAGTACATGTGAACAGTATGTATAGATTTGGTTTAACAATAAGAGTTCCTAATCATTATACATCTATAGCAAAAATAATTGCTGTTGGTAATGGGGCAGGACTCTTTGAGCAAGTAGAATTGTAAGAACTGTTTTGCATATTAATCATAGGATTCTTTGATCACCAACTATGTGCTTTATGCGTGGCCAGTATACTTCAATGTGTACTTTAGGTTTCTGGTGGCATGGTGGCCACCCATGTATCACAGCCCAATGTTTTTCATGTTAGCCTTTTGATTGGTGTTCTTCAGAACAATTGAGCCAATTTATTTGAAGTTTATTAAGGTAATCTAGGGAAGCTTCTAGTTCAAAATACTGTATTTTTCGCTCTATAAGATGCACCAGACCACAAGATGCACCTAGTTTTTGGAGGAGGAAAACAAGAAAAAAAAATTCTGAATCTCATAAGCCAGAACAGCAAGAGAGATCGCTGCGCAGCGAAAGCAGCGATCCCTCTTGCCGTTCAGGCTTCTGGGATAGCTGCGCAGCCTGCATTCGCTCCATAAGACGCATACACATTTCCCCTTACTTTTTAGGAGGGAAAAAGTGAGTCTTATAGAGCAAAAAATACGGTAAGTGCTGGGCTGCCTGAAATAGAGGGAAATGATGGACGAGAGAGCCCGAGGAAATTACCTCAGAAAGCAGCATTGTGGCTTGTTCTGAAATGACACCAACTCCTATATTTTAATGTTATTGAAGGAAATAGGGCTGTTCAGACCAGGATATATATGCCTGTAGATTCTGCATATATCCTTATGCAGAAATCTCCACTCAATTTATGGTTTTGGTACATGACCCTTAGAGCATTTCTGTGCCACATCCTCAGATCTGTAAAATGGAAATTATAGTGATCCAACTGACAGGGATGTTGTGATGATTTCACAAGTGTTCATACTTGATTGTTTTAAACAATTACGTACTTGACTTACAAGGTTGCCATTTTGAAAAATGGGAGTTCTCTTTAGCACAAATACAAATCCTCACCTCACAACAAGGAGATAATCATGTTAGAAAAGGAAAAGAGCACAATGTTATATCCAACCAGGTTGTCCCATTACTGCAAGGATTCCTACCTGTGCAAGAAGACCTCTTCTTTTCTCTCTGCATGCTTCCCCAATCTGTTTTGGGGTTCACCAACCATCTGGAGAAGAGTTGGGGCATGCAGGGGTGCATGAGGAGGGGAGTGGAAAGGAAAAGGGACGGCTTCACTGGTTACAACTCAAATACCCCATAATGTGTGAAATACAGCAAGTATTTTTGTTTCTGCCCATTAACAGATTTGGGGAGACTGATGTACCCTTCAGCTTCTTAACCAGGGTATACTCAATGCACAATAAACATTCATGTTGCTAAAATTATTCATTAAAGATCTTTCTGATTTCCCCCCAGGCTTTTGGTCAGGCTCACACTAACCACAAGAAAGTAGCAGCAGATGGAGAGAGCAGGGAAGAAACCTTGATTCAAGAGTCCGCCACAAAGGAAGAGTACTACATGAAGAAAGTCATGGAACTGCAGACAGAGCTAAAGCAGCTGAGGAATGTCCTTGCCAACACCCAGTCTGAAAATGAACGCTTGAATTCTGTTGCTCAGGAACTGAGAGAGGTGAGAGTTATTGGCCAATAATGCCTGAAGTTCAAAAGCTCTGAGGCTGTCTTGTTATATTCCCTTGGAAAGCCATGCCTATTTATGTTTCTGATAGACTCTTCTTAAATTAGGCATACTGGGGACTTTCAAAGGCATTTCTCTATCTTCCATTCAGTTCAGCAGGGCCCACGAAGTTGCTCCTCAAACTATATCTGTCCATATACATAAAAACGTAAGGCTGTTGACACACTGCAGTTTGCAACTGCAGTATGAGGTACAGCAGGCAAGTGGCCAAGCCAGAAGCACAGTTGGCAGGTGGCCCAAGTGAACTGTTTAAGTTGCTCTGTGAAGTGCCTCCTTTCTTTTTTAAAAGGGGTTGGGGCAAGAGGGGATCTGCAATGGGGTGGGTGTGCTGTGAAAAGAGGGGATTTGGTCAGATGTGACGGAAGGGCAGATAGCAAAGGGGTAGGTCTGGTTGGAGAGCAGAGCAAGTAGGGGCGGCAGCCCCTAGTTAAAATCTAAATGTTAAAACCATGTCACATTAAAACAAATAGTTTTAAGGTTTCCTAAAACCTGCATACAAGTAGCAGTAAGCTAAAAGTAGTAATTAGATGACCATCTTGCATGCCTGGAGGAGCAACAACAAAACTTAATTTATCTTTAATATGAAAGGATGTTGGATTATTGGGGGTTTTTTGTTCTGTTTTATTTATGAGCTTCATATGTTGTTTTTGAGGTTAGCCTGCTGTGAACCCCTCTAGAGAACATAGTTGGCTAGGCAGTATCCTAGAGGTGGGAGCTGTGAGCTACAGCACCTTTGTTCTTTTTTATTATTAACTTATATATTAATTGATAATTAATTTATATTGATTTTTCAGTTACTTATTCATATACATATTCCATTATTTTCCATATATATAATATAAGTCAAAATACATACAATAATCCCATATCTTCCCCAGTGACTTCCCACCACCTCATTACAGCTTCTTTTATTCTCTCTCTCTCTCATCCACTGTGTTGTTATTCCTGTTTCTTCTTTATTACATCATGTATCTTATCTAACTATTATTTTATTTTTCAAATTTTAATTTAAACATATCAAGGATTTTATTTGAGGACAGCATTTCTTTAGATATTCCTTTACACCTTCCCACTCTTTTTGTTTTTGGTGATTCCTAATTGCCACTTTGTTCTTGTGTCCTCTCTGAACGTTATGCTGTTCGCCATATTGAGGAAGCATTAGCCACATTAAATAGGAAGAAGCTCTTTTGATAGGGCTATGGATTACATGTTGTATCAAACTCTAAAGTTTTGTTAAGTAAATGTTTATTTGCAGATATCTGGCTCTGATTCTCTCTCTGTGTGTATATAGATATAGATTGCTAAAACTATGACTACAAATAGATTTTACTTCTTTAACATGTTTTACAAACATAAATTATGTTTGGTCGATTTTTCATTTCTCTTATGCCCCTCCCCGTCTTATTTTCTTCTGGTGAAATGAGGCATTAAATGTAGAAACGGGAACATGTTGGTTCCCCCCCTCCACAAAAAGCTGTGTATCATCTGTAAAGTTGACTGCTTCAGTTTCCATCTCTTGGAAACAGTGTGAAACAAAAGTATCAGGTTATTTCAAACTTTGTATATATCTGCTTGAAGTTACAGATTTCATAAGCTTCATCCTCCTCCTGCAACATATTGAGCGGTTTAATCTTGGTTGTTTTAGTTGAGAGAAACCGAGAAGCACCTTAGCAGGGAATGCAAGTTTTATTTGAAGCTTTTTCTTTGTATGAGATTGTGCGGCAAAAAGTGCTGAAAATAAGTGGGGCTGATCTTTAGGGAGCTGTTGACACTGCGTGAAGCTGTCTTCATCAGCACTGCATATGAGGACAGGCTGCAGATGAGATATCTGTGTAATGCAGAACAGAAGTCTCTCCATGGCAGGAATGAGTAAGATCCGATAGAGTAGTTTCTGATTCACTGGCTGGAATACCCCAGAAGTGTGGAGGGGGAAATGAAGGAAGATTGGGGAAGGGAGCTCTGCTCTCGGTGGTAATCTTTGCATACAGAAAAGTCCTAGGTTCAGTCCCTGGCATTCTGAGGTAGGGTTGGAGATGACTCTTGCTACCAGTCAGTATAGATGTGTTGCCCCAGTCTTGGACACATATGTATGCAAATATGTAGTGCCCCCCCACCCATTTTTTAAAACAAAAAATAATAATGTATAAGTCTAGGCTGTGCCTCATTTCTTTGATAACGCTATGGCGAAAACCTCCCATTCCTTCAGAAGATAATGTTCAAGCAAATGTGATACACCTAGGATACGATTGGAGGCAGACAGAATGGCTCAGTAATAATAGTAGTAGTAATTATAATAATAATAATTTATTATTTATACCCCGCCCATCTGGCTGGGTTTCCCCAGCCACTCTGGGCGGCTTCCAAAAGAATATTAAAATACTGTGATACATCAAATATTAAAAGCTTCCCTGAACAGGGCTGCCTTCAGATGTCTTCTAAAAGTCTGGTAGTTGTTGTTCTCTTTGACATCTGGTGGGAGGGCGTTCCACAGGGAGGGCGCCCCTACCAAGAAGGCCCTCTGCCTGGTTCCCTGTAACTTGGCTTCTCGCAGTGAGGGAACCGCTGGAAGGCCCTCAGTGCTGGACCTCAGTGTCCGGTAGAACGATGGGGGTGGAGACGCTCCTTTAGGTATACTGGACCGAGGCCGTTTAGGGCTTTAAAGGTCAGCACCAACACTTTGAATTGTGCTTGGAAACGTACTGGGAGCCAATGTAGGTCTTTCAAGACCGGTGTTATATGGTCTCGGCGGCCGCTCCCAGTCACCAGTCTGGCTGCTGCGTTCTGGATTAGTTGTAGTTTCCGGGTCACCTTCAAAGGTAGCCCCACGTAGAGCACATTGCAGTAGTCCAAGCGGGAGATAACCAGAGCATGCACCACTCTGGTGAGGCAGTCTGCAGGCAGATAGGGTCTCAGCCTGCGTACCAGATGGAGCTGGTACACATCTGCCCTGGAGACGGATTTAACCTGTGCCTCCATGGACAGCTGTCCAAAATGACTCCCAGTCTGCGCACCTGGTCCTTCAGGGGCACAGTTACCCCATTCAGGACCAGGGAATCCTCCACACCTGCCCGCCTCCTGTCCCCCAGAAACAGTACTTCTGTCTTGTCAGGATTCAGTCTCAATCTGTTAGCCACCATCTATCCTCCAACCGCCTCCAGACACTCACACAGGACTGTCACCGCCTTCACTGGTTCTGATTTGAAAGAGAGGTAGAGCTGGGTATCATCCACATACTGATGAACACCCAGCCCAAACCCCCTGATGATCTCTCCCAGCGGCTGCATGTAGATGTTGAAAAGCATGGGGGAGAGGACAGAACCTTGAGGCACCCCACAAGTGAGAGCCCAGGGGTCTGAACACTCATCCCCCACCAGCACTTTCTGAACACGGCCCAGGAGGAAGGAGCGGAACCACTGTATGACAGTACCCCCAGCTCCCAGCCCCTCAAGATGGTCCAGCCCCTCAGAATGGGTCATCCGCCACCGGCTCTCTAGCTGTCTCAACGATTGTTTCATTGCCCTCAGATCCGTGGAAAACCACGGGGCTGTTATTATTATTTTTTTTGTACCCCACTCATCTGACTTGGTTGCCCCAGCCACTCTGGGCTTCTTTCATTTTGCCTTAATTGTTCCCTGCTGCCTCATGATTCTGTACTGCAATAGTATTTGCTTTTGCCTTTTTGTCAAATTCTAACAGGAAAAGCCACTTTTCCTGCTTTGTGGAGCCTTTTTGTGAAAAAGTTAAAGAGTTTAGTAAGCAGATGGTGGGGAAATCAACCTGTTTGCTGTAGCACTGAAGTGCAGTCTTTCAGGAAGAAGCTTGATGGTCCATTTTGCAGAGTAAGGAGACTAAGGCCCCGATCCTTAACCGCGGGAGGGGGTTAGGGTTTAGCAGCATCGTAATTCATGGTAGAAGGCATGGTAGCATAAGCATAACTGCTGGAAGTGTGCCTGCTTGCAGAAGTTGGCATGGAATCTCAAAATGAGGTGGAGCAGGGCTGTCTATAGATTTGCCTGATTCCAAGCTGATCCAGTTGCCAGACAGGGGCCTGGGCCTCTGCTATGCCAGCCTGGTACTGATTTAGCAGAAAATACCCAGAAATCTGCTCTCCATCACATCCAGCACCTCCCTTGACCAATGCAGGTGTCAAGGCTTAGGATTTGATGGTGGAGCCAGTGTTTGCCTATTATGGTCCTCTGGCCATGGTTCCCCAGCCAGAGCTAGGACTGCTCTGTTCGGTTTCAGAGCAATACAAGTCTGGGCAAGAGGAACCCGAGTTAAAAGGAACCACTAAACCAACATCAATCAGAGAGCAGCATTTGATCATTGCTTCCCTTCCTTTAACATGTCAGAACGCTTTTCTATGACTGACAGTTGCTAAGCTGGTAACTTAGCCATAAGAATAGCTCTTCTGGATCAGACCAAAGATCTGTCTATTTAGTTCAGTTTCACGTTGCCTACAGCAGCTAATCAGATTCCTTTGGAGCAGAGGAAAAAAGAGCCTTCTCCCAGTATCCAGAGGCAGAACTCACAACTGTGCACATCACAACTCAGCCACTGTAAACCTTAGACGTTGGGCATGGTTGCTTCAGTGCTTTTTTGTCACAGTTGCAGGGCCCTAAATACTAGGGCACAGTCATTTCTGGTTGAGTTGCACATGTTCTGTGACATGGCATGTGCTAAAGTTTGTGTGTGTGTGAATGCATTTTTAAGACAGCTGCCTTTTTTGTGTATGCATCTTCAAACCATTGTAATGATTGAAAGAGATTCTTTTACTCCTGCACACAGAAACAATCTGCCTATTTCTTAAGGCATTATGATCTTTTGAGACATACTATCTAAAAGAAATCACTGCAGTTTTCTTGGAAAACTGTTTAGCCAGTTTTCTAGTTTGTTCTTGTTAAGGCTTGTTGATACAACATGAGTGTGGTGTTGCCATGAGCTAGCTCAGCCTCTGCCTCCTGGAGATTCTCTTGAGACTACTATGTACCACTAATTTCCCCATGTCATCTTTTGGGAAAGGTCCATCGTATAGTGACAGACTCATGGTTTGCATTCAAAGACCCCAGTTTCAGCTCCTGAAAGGGTTGGGAAAGGACTCCTGTCTGAAGCCTTCGAGCGCCTCTGCCACTCAGTGTTAAAAATACTGTACTAGATTAAGGAATGATTCGGCTCTGTATAAGGCAGATTCCTATATTCCAATGGGCACATGTAACAAACACAACACAAGATTGTTGATCTCTGAGGTGAGCCATGTGGTTTTGTAGGTGTGTGTGTAGACACCCCCCCCCCCAATCTGAGCTGTTCCATTTTTTAGAATGGAGTGAAAAACCAAATACTTTATACAATTTATACAAGTCAAATAAGCTCACCAGCCTCTCCTAATCTGTGACCAAATCATCTTTAGAAGAAACACAGTTCAAAGACCCAATACCTCAGTTCATTCAGTGGTATTGGGAAGGTACAAGCAATTTCCATTTCTTTTTAAAAACCATAAAAGTGGCAATTTTTCTGAGGCTGCCTTTGAAGAAAGTTCCTTTGGTACTTTCTGTCTGCATTATGGCTCATCTTGGCTAGGCTGAGCAGCATAAATAAACCACATGTTAATCTTCAAAATGGAGTTTTCTGATTATAATGATTTCAGTACAGCCCTCCCCCCCCCCCACTTTTCAATCATGGTTTACATTAGCAATCAGGCTTTTATTCAATAAAACTGTCCCGGAGCTATAAATTCACCTAAAGCTATAAAAATCCATTTGGTTATTTACAGAGAGCAGACCAGCCCTTTCCCTTCTCCCAGATAAAGAACTTTAGGGGTGAGTGAAAGAAGGTAGGCAGAATGAACGAATGGTGCGTGTACTGGGGAATTAATCCAAAGCTGAGTGTTCTCCTTCCTAGTCTTTAATTTTGTGCCACTGTAGCATGAACGAGCTTTCTAGACTGTCTTCCTTCTTCAAGCTGGGATTCCTATGATTTTTGTTTGACTGCAGCAGCCAGTTTGAACACATTAGAAGTCTTCAGATGTTGGTCATCTGCCATTAGTCTGTTCCCATGACACGTGAAGACTAGAAGGAAGAGTTGTGCTGGTTGTGGTTTCCTTTGGTTAAGGTTTCCTTTGTATTTTAAATGCTCAGGATTGGCCGTTTTGAACCCTGCATTGCTTTGCTTTGTAGGACAAACAAACAAGCTCTTTCAAGCTGTTTCTCTGCTCCCGCTCCCCAAGTCCACTTGCTTCCTGTTGTCATGCAGCAATTTTAACCCAGAGTTTATGGCACAAATTATCCTCCACAGTCCTGCAGCCAGTGGTCATGTCGTCCACCTGTCTCTCCCCCCCCCCCATGTATGGGGAAGCATCACTGTCCTTTGTGCTTAGCTCTTGCTGCCTTGCTCTTGCTTAGCTCTTGCTCCTCTTGCTCCCTCTCCCTACGTTTGCCCTTCAGATGTTCATGAGCAGTCTTCAGATGTACATGGGGAGAGGATTGTGCTCTCTCATATAAGGTGGAGTTAAATATTTTCCCCTTTAAAAACTGCAAAATTCCCAGCAGGGTTCCCCGCATCCTGAGAGCTTACAGCTTTTAATTTCACCTTTAAAAAATACAAATGGAACACAAGAAATGTATGGCTGGGGGAAAGAGAATGAAGAAATCTTGGGTCCCAGTCTATTCATCCAGATTTGTCTGACTGTATATAGGATTTCTCCCCCACTGGCTCTTTTATCTCCCCCATTCAACCAGTGTTATTTTCAGCAAGTGTTTATTTTTAGGTGCCAGCTCTGTCACCATAGTAGCCAGCTAAGCTTGTTGTTAGGCCCCATCTGCCTACATTGGCTCTGTCTGGTGCTCTTTTCTATATACACAGTAGCCTAATTGTTCCATATCTCCAAGTTCCCATAAGCACCTGCCTTAACATCATTACTGAGGGCAGAGTATTCCTAAAGTCAGGGGCACACTTCTATTCCCCAATGGGATTTATAGCTAAAATGCTGATTAGTCCTTTGTGTGTTGTTATCCTCTCGTCTCTCAGAAACTGTTATACTAGTGGTTTTGTGTGTGTGTGTGTGTGTGTGTGTGTGTGTGTGTTTAAGGACAGGACAAAACTTACTTTCCCAGCTAGGGGGTTTCTAAAGCTTGCACTATGAGCCAAGCCTAAGTCATATGTTCTAAGCAGAAGAACTTGCCTTACAAATACCACATTTTTCCATGTATAAGACTAGGCTTTTTCCTTAAAAAAGAATGTCAAAAATTTGGGGGCGCTTTATACACAGATACATCTCCCTCCATTTTCTTAAATCGGAGTCCCCCAAAATAGGGGGGATCTTATACATGGGGGCATCTTATAGACGGAAAAATATGGTAGTTCTTGTTTTAAAAGAAGCCTCTTTACATGTATTAATGTGGGTATTCTTAAGGAAGAGTCTGCATAGTGGGATAGTTGGTTCATGAATACTGGCCTATTAAATGAGTGATAGGTATGTATGCATTATAAAAAAAGGATATTGTCCCTGCTTTGTTAATGTTACCAGAGTGTTGTCCAAGCTGAAAAACATGACTGAAAGGACATGAACAAATCTGACTCACTCCCCTGATAATTCAGAATAAAAGCCCAGACTTGTTGTAATTGCAGCACAGCAAGATGAGGTATAAGATGCAAATGAATCATATGTGCAGAGTTGACAGGATTGATCTCACTCCCTGTTCCAAAGATGCTATCGAAAGAAAACGGACTCTATTGTTTTGTTATTGGTGTTTTTTTTTTTAAAAGAGCAAGCAAGAATAGAAGTGAACAAGATAATAAATGCTGTAGCATGGTGCAAGAGGTATTTGGCAGCTAACACAAAAAGAGAGGAAAATAATTCAGGAAGCTGTCGTGAAAGTGCACGTGCAATGTAAGAACAAAGGAGAGGGTAGACTACCAAATGGAAGGGTGTGGGACAGCCCTGAAGCTAAATATGAAAAATTCATTAAGCCCCATGCACAATTTTGGTCACATACAGTTCCGTTAGAATGGGGAGGAACTGACATTTAAGATGCTGTTAGATTTGCAGTAAACCACTCTATGCTTTTCGGGCTCTGTACCCCGAATCAAGGGGTTGACCCTCAAATATACCTAGAATTTTGCAGAAGTCAATGGTTCACAGATCTCTGCAGAATATCTTTTAAATTTAACTTTGACATGCATTATTGGCACCGAGGGCCTACTTAGTGACTGCTCCTAGACTGTGGAACTCACTTCCATGGGAAGGTAGCTTTTAAATGGTGTTAAGTATGTTCAGTGCTGTTTTTAATTAGTTACTTATTTAACTGATTGTTTATATTCATTGTGTGCTTTTAGTTGTACTTATTCTGTGAGCTGCCTTGGTTCTTGAACTGGGAGAAAGGTGAGTTATAAATAAAATAAATTCAACATGCATAAGCACAATGAATTTCACAACTCATATCCAACATAAATATTAGAATTTAAACCCCATTGCTTTTCATAATAGGCATTGGTGACTTGTGCTGACAGGATTCATACAAAGCAGAAACTTGTTGGCATCTGTTGGTCTCGATAGACAATGGAGTGCACCTCCGGGGGTGAAGTCAACTGCTGCATTAGCAGCACTGAAGTGACCTCCCTGGAGTGCAAGCCCTGGCTGTGTGTATTATGGCCCTGGGCTGCCCAGACAACAAGACCCTCCTCTTGGCCTTTCTGATGTGATCCAAAGGAAAGCAGAGCAAAACATCTGGCAACCAGCTTGGCTACAGGATTTGCTAGAAGGAGGAGTACAAGGCACCATCCAACCATCTTAGGGACTCTACTCTGGATTTGCAGAAACAGGAGCATAGTTATTCGGAGTGTGCACCGAGCACAGTGTTCAGTTCAGTTTGGCTCTTCAAAATACAACCTGCCTCTTTGTCCCAGGATTTGTCCATATCTAGCGAAAACCCCTACTAATTGTGCTGCTTAAATACCTACGTAATATAAAGCTTAGATGAGTCACATTTTCAACATAAGCAATTGCAAGCTTTACTCAAGTATGTTAGGGCATGTACAGTTGAAGCACCCATTATTACATAATCAGTGTGAACAGGATCCAGTATCTTGCTCTTCTTTCCCATGTCTGTCACCTTGCCTTCACTCAGCCTTCCCTAAATGGGTTCCTTCCAGGTTTTTTTGGACTACAAATTCCATCATCCCCAGCAAGCCTGATCAGTGGTCAAGGATGATGAGAGCTGTAATCCAGCAACATCTGAAGGGTCCCATGTTGGAGAAGTGAACATAGGTGGAAAGGTTACGTAGGTGGAAAGGTTAACCACAGCTGAGCAACCAGGGTTTCAGTTTAACTAGGTTTTGAAATCAGGGTTACCAGGTGATTTTGAAGTGTAGCTAAATTGGAACCCTGCTTTGCCTAAACAGATCCTACATCTTGTTTCATGCGACGAAGGGGTTTATAATAGGTTAAGTACATCCCTTGAAAACTACTTGTCCTGTGAATTGGCTCTTAGTGAACATGAAAAAGAAGTAGGTGGGAATGAGATTATGCAAGGCAGATATATTGCATGTCTGGAATGTGTTTGTGATGTGGCAGGAGATGATAGTACTTCATTAAATGCCCACTAAAATAAATAAAGTCATCTGAAAGGGCACTCAGGCTTTAGCAACAGCAGCCGAGCTAAATGTGGGGTGGGGGTGGTAGCAAAATGAGAAAATTGGTCAGGGAGAAGAAAGACAGGGATCATGTAACACTATTGTGTGTGCGAAGAGGTGCATTCCCAGGAAGCAAAATGGACCTAAATCCACCCTACTGGATGGGTCCGGTAGTGCAGCAGGCAGATAGTTGTGTATGTGACATTCTATGAAGTACAGCTCAACATAGTACAGATAGCCTCAACATCTCTGTTAAATTTCTACCTGCATATCTGGTGGGGAATGTTTATTGGGTGCTCGGGATTTCTTAGGTCACAAAGGGAAGGCCTTCTCTCCCTGCTGCCAAAATTGCTCAGTGATTTAGCTCTCTTGTTGCCTTGACTTGACACTTTGTCACTGGGGCTAAGAAGCTTCATCAGCTAGAGCTCCCCACCCTCCTTGTTTGTGGAGTGGGGCTCTCTCACTAGGTGATTAGATTTTCTAAATTATAATCCTGTAATGCAGTTATTCCATGAAATTGCCTTTCGATTTAAATCCTTTGTGGTTGTTTTACACATTATGGTATCATGTTACACTCTGTTATTACCCTCTTAATAAACAGGCATTCATATTTTATTTGAGAAATTTATTCGCCCGTCCCTCAAATGGCAGACAGGCTGGGGGACCAACTGCAGGTAACAACTGATTAAACACACATTCAAATGATGTGCAATTGCACACACATGCATGATGCTGGACCCGGAAATAACTTGAAAACGTTACTAAGCACACCACTAAAAGGACAGAACGGGGGGGGGGGGGGGCATAACCGGGCAGGGCACTCTTATATGCGTTCTGCCAACCTGCGGGGAAGGGGCCAGGAATGAAACCCCAATGGTTGCCAATGGTATTTAGTGCAGTGGGAGATACGAATTGCTTTATCATTGCTATTGTTTTGTTATTGGTATTGTTATAATTTTGCCAATAAATATTTGTTTAAAAAATGCATTCTTTGGCTGTGCCTCTTTGACAAAACTGATGGCATGCCATACCTTCCCTCCTTCCTTAAAAAAAGGTTTAGTGCACAATCTTCAAAGCATTTAGATCATAGATATATTGCACAGCAAAGTTATAGGTGCATTTCAACTAAATTTGCCTGGCAGCACTGGTACAGTGTTCAAATATTGTCTAGAAGGCAGCCCCCTCCCCTCCCTTGCTGCCCTCTACTGCCAATGTATGCTTATCAAAGCTATTCATAAAACACAGATTAGATAGAAGCTTTGTGTCCCCAAGGAACTCACCATATCAAATTGGGTCTGCGGGACTTGTCGCCCTTACCCTGCATAGTGACCAAATTAGGAAGATCAGCATATGGTCTCTTCTTTGTTTCCCCCCCTCAAATGCTTTGACTTTAAGGCACCACGAAGAACTGCAGGATAAATAGGCAGAGCCCCTGCATTTTCTTTTGTTCGTTGCAGGAAAATTCAGATGTAGAGAATGGTGGGACTCCAGCCCCACTGCTGGGTGCTCCCTCAGCATACTGTGGGCTGTAGCAGATGGCAGCTGTTGGGTTTCTCACCTTTTATCTTTATCAAAGCTGATTTTAAACTGACAGTTTTTCTTTTCTTTTGCTCCCCCTCTACAATAATTATAAGAATTTTCTATTTCACTCAATGAGAATCTATCATTTATCATTTGTAGCCCTTTTGAGAGCCCATAATGGGGAAAAAGCATTCCAAAGATGATGAATTGTCATGGAAATGCGCTTGGTTTGCTTTGCATATTATTTAAGGAGGCATCTGTTCCTGATTTGCTTTATTGATGTTGTGCATTGATATACTTGAAAGAAAGATATTATAAAGCAGAACATATCTTTTAAAAGTGACAGTGTAGAAGGTCTTGACATCTAACAGAAATCTGGAGATACAGCCTGATTTTGAAGTGTACAAGGTTTTCAGGAAATTTTGGTTTTATCAGGGCAGACACAATTTAATGTTTCGGTTTTATATACTAAATGAATAAATCCGTTCCCCAAGTGTATTGAAGTTCTTTAACCTGACTGTATTCTATTATTTGAGAACTCATACCATGCACGACTGAAGATCACTTAACTTTTAATTAAACCATTATGTTGTCAAAAGCCACATCCTGATTTGGGGGGGGGGGGGGCTCTGTGTGTTTTTAGCTGTAGCATACCTTGACTTTTATTTTGACCTTTAGTCTGCTAAAGAATAAACTGTATACCCACCCCAAAAGAGCCACAATTAGGCTGTTTCAAAATAGTGTTTTGTTAGTGTGGGGGTGAGGAACAGATTTCAGGGTACAGAATATCAGAAGCAAGTGAGAAACAGCAAACATCTGAGTGTAGGTGCTCCAATATGTTTAATAGTACTTGACACACAACAATACTTCACATAATGATGTTAATAACATTTCTAGTAGTTTTAATTATTGAATTAATTTAAAAGTCCTGAATTCCAGATCCTGAAAAGGTTCGCTGTAGAAGAAGCTTGTCAAAATGTAAAGCAAACTGCTTCCCACCTCAGCAAGGTTGTCCTTTTTAATTTTGTCCCAGTCTCATATTGAATTATCCCTGCAGATTCATGGAGTAGATGAACCTAAATCTAGAATTTACTAGACCAGGGATGGGGAACTGTCACCTTCCAGGTGCTGTTGTACTAGAGCTCCCATAATCCCTGACCTTTGCCCTTGTTGGCTAGGGTCAAAGGGAGCAGGAGTACAACATCATCTGGAAGGCCACATTCCCCTGCCCAAACACACAAGTTCCTCTTGTTTTTGAAGGTGGCACCCTAGGCTAGTAATACATTTCTAAAGATTTTTCTCCTTTAAAGTCATGGCTCAATTAATCTCAACACTAAGTACATCACAGTTTTAGTAGTTTTATTTACACATTCTCCTTCTAACTTTACCCTTTCCATCCTCCTTTTTTGTTCTCTAAAGCACTTCATGATTTACTACCATGACTGGGGCACAACAGAATATTCTACTATTATTTTATAAAAGTCTGCTTTCCAAAATGCAACTGTGCATAAAAAATAAATCAATTAAAAAAAACAGACACTCAGCAGTTTTACAAAGGTTTTGCCTCAAACAACTTCATAAATGTAGCAGATATTTAAATATTTATTCGCACAGCTGAGTTTATGAATCCCAAACATCCTTTTCCTGCCCTGCTTTTCACAAAAAGATTCTGTAAGATGGGCATGCTTGAAGAAATAGGATTTTATTCTACTTTTTCAACAAGGAGATATTGGTGACTTTTCTCTCTCTTCAGAATTCAGGATCTTGCTAGAAACTTAGCCTGTCTATGCATGAGTACCATGGCTCAAGGTGTGTTCTTTATTTGTGCACAAGTTAACTGGAACTGTTAAATCACAGTGTTTTAGAGGCCTTTCTTCAGATATTGCATTGCAGTGCATGTGACGACCTTTCCCACTTCCTTCAGTTAAAAAAGAAGGGGAGTGTGTGAGGCCCAGTCATGCCCACACTTCAGACTGAGAATAATGTCACAGATAGGCATGACAAGTGCGCACAATGCACTGTGTGGGGAGTTCCAAAGTACCGGTTGTTACTAGCACACTAAAAGTTCTGACAAGAGTTGCAGTCCTAACTACCTGGAGGGCACCAGATGGAGAAGGCTGGACTAGAATAACTAACTGCATCTCCTCTTCTTCAGTGCCGTAACTACATTCAGTTTTCTATTGACTCTCCTTTGTTTTTGTTTTTCCAAATGACCCAGAAGTAGTCTCACAAACATGATAGACCCTGCCAGTTTTAATTCATATTAGTGGTGTTGACATCGTTTAGATTGCTCACCACAGTTGCAGCCACAGCTGAGACTCCTAAATTTGGAGGCATTCCTCCCCCCGTCATTCTGGATATGGGATCCAAGGATCAGGCATAAGCTTGACTAATCCTCGCCACAAATGATCAATGCATCCATCACTCGAATCTGAATATATTCCTATGCAGACAGTTAACCTAAATATCTGAATATATTCCTATGCAGACAGTAAACCTAAAATTAAAAGTATATTTGGAAAGCTGGCATATTACTACCGATATTTGTCCTGCCATTTCTGCATAGCATTATTTTCCTGGGAGGGTGGGGAGGGAAGGAAAAGACACTAGAAAATATCCTTGCTTCCATTAAATAAAAATGTAACATTTGTTATGAAGAAACCTGTTCAATTTCCCCACAAATGATGCCTTTCAGCTGCTGTACAATTTGGAGAAACAAATGGGGAGAGATGGTAATTTGGACAGACATTAAACAGTCTCAGGGTATATTTTTCCAAGGGATTTCCTTTCTCTCCCCATTAATCAGCATAGGCTTCCCACAAAGACCTGCCTCTGAAGGAATAAAAGATTCTGGGATGTTGTCTTACGAAAATAGTACGAATAAATGTCAAGGAAAGCCTCGCCCTCCTACCCCTGGGTTACAGTTCTGGACTCAGTTATTATCATTTTATGACTACTTTAGGCTATACATATGATGCCCACCCCCAACTGCTCATTGTAAAAAAGATGGGCCACTAAATTGGCAAGGTTTATCTGAAACCACAGTCAATGGATGACCAATAGATGCCATCCCTCAGCAATATTTTTGTGGGTGTTATTCCTGCAAGGCCTTTGCTGATGAAAGATTTCTTTCTTGCTTAGTTTAAAAAGAAAACAGCCAAACGAAATACCTATTTTGCAGATATGTCAAAAATGAAAAGGTTCTGTTAGCCCTACTGCTTTAACCGAATTCAAAAATCACATTAGTGTGAGAACTGGGTGATTATATCATCCAGTTCTGTGGAACAATATCCATTTCTCTTATCTACAAAACTTCTAGTGAGCTGACACCTGAGCTGGGCAAATTCAAGGGCATGAGAGGGCAGAATTAGTTAACTATTGGAGCACCACACTGCAGTCTCAACCTTCCTCTGCCTTTATGTTCTTACCTTTCTACACCATAGAACAGTTATGTCCCATCTTTGAAATTCCCTTTGTCATGCCTTGTTGTTTGTGGCATTCTTGCTTTTGTTATATTTTTTTGTTTTTCAGGCAATGGTCCACCGCTCTTTGCTTCTTGCAAAAGTGGGGGGACCTGTTGCCCCCCTACGTTACTGGGCTCCCACCAGCTCTAGCCAGCATGCCCAATAGGGATAATGGGAATTGTAGTCCAGGAATCTCTAGAGGACCACAGGTTCACTCCTCCTGCTTTATTGTGTTGCTGCACACATCTGTCACAATATGGGTTAGGCAGGCATGTGACACAGCCCTAGGCAGTCCACCAAGCCCTTTGTTCCAGCTCCTTCTCCTGTTCAATCTCGTCTTGCAGTGAAGAGGAGCAGAGAGCTAAAGGAAGATGCTAGATCCAGCCACCGTATCCAACAGTGTTGGCAGGGCCTCCGCTTCCTGCAACCACTGCCAATTAGGTTGGGTGGCAGCTAGAAGTTTGTTTCCTTTCTAAAAGAGAACCAATTTCAACTTGCCGTAACAACATGACATGCTCATTGAGCCATACTGATGTCACTACTGTCTGTATGCTTCGTTTGTCACTGAAGACAGGGTGGCTGCTTGATGGCTTAACATTGACTCAGATCCCAATAGGTGTGCCTCATGGTTGTCCCATGATTGAGGCAGGCAGAAAAACTTGGGAAAGGACTAGAACAGCCAAATATTTTGTCAAAGATTGCTAATTTTTTTGTAACTTTACATCCCCATATGTTAGGTTGCCCCCACTCTGTGAGATCCTATGTTAGGGAAGAAGCACATCATCCTGGAAGTGTCACAAGCATTTAAACGCCGAATTGTTGCAAGCAGGATTTGAAATGGAATCCTTGATCTTGCAAGTCACAATCGCCTTCCCTTCCCCTAGCAATTTAATTTTGGGTGCAGGAAGTAGATAGCAGATGATCCCAGACCCAGCTGTAGGGTCTTCCCCTTGGCAGCAATGAAAAACAGAGTGTCAGGATCCTGCTTTGCTTCACTGGCAAGGAAAGAGACTCTGCCAGGGCTTGGGGCTGGCCACTGCTTTCACTTAGCTCAAGGTAAGCCAAAGGGTTTTGCAAATGTTCACTTGCAATGATGATAAAGGTTTGACTTCTGGTTGAGCGATACGATGCCCCAAATTCCTAATCATCTCCTAATGTTCATTCATAAATCTAAAATGTATAACTAGCAGTCACATGCACAAATAGCTAGTTGCCAATGTAACACCATGTTAAGATGTGTCTTATCTCAAAGAGACCCTTTCCCTTTATTTCGTTATTGTTTTAGTGCAGTGTTTGGGAGACGTTTTCAAATCTTACCCACTTCCCCTCTTTGGTGCATTAATTCCTGCCAAACACTCTCTGCTGCAAAAGATCTTTTAATACCTTTTCCAATGTTTTGACTTTGAAATGTTATCTGGGTGGCGGTGGTGAACTATTTGTTGGTCTCGGCTCCAAACTACTCCCCCCCCTTTGTATGAGATAAAATCGATTTCTGGACTTTTTGCACACAGGACATTAATGAGACATGGCAGCTGGTAGGCTCTGAAAGCCTGAAAGCAAGATTGGTAGCAACATGCAACATTGCCGGTGCTGTAAGATGAACGCTGTGCTCCATCTGATTCCAAAAGGGACAGGCAGATCTGGTCACTCAAGAGTTTGTGACATTCGTTGCCCAAGAAGTGCCCCAAATTCTAAATTTAGAATCTAAATGAAGACCAAACAGCACAGTGAAATAAGTAAAGATTTTTTATTTTTATTTTTTTGAATTACTGGTTTGAAATCATTTGGCTTTTCTTATCTTGGGAAATGTCAGTTTGGAATCCATTTATTTGTCTTACCAAAGCAATCTATAATGACTCTGTTTTTGAAAAGTAATGTCCATGAGCAGCTCCCTCTGTTCCGAATAAATTGCCTTGTGCTTTAACTTGCCATCAAGGCCTGAGATTTAGTTGCTAGCTGGGGATTGCAATAAATGTGCAGTTAGCTTTCTATGGGTGGATTTAAGGTATATTTCTTGGAGTGGTAAGTCTTGATTTCATTTATGTCACCAAAATGTTGAGTATAGTGAGAATGCAATTCCTTACCCAGTAACACAACCAGATGTAAATGAATGGAAATTCAGCAGCACAATTACAACAATCCTTGCCTGAAATGTGTTTGTGTGTGTGTGTTAGTGCACTTCTTCCTACTTAACATGTTATATGCATCTTTTACATAGTGTGTCATGTGTCTTAGGTAAGCAGAAACACTTTGCCAATAATGTACCTTGTACTTGGAAATTTCGACAAGGTCTTGGCTCACTTAATTTGCCCCTTTAAAGTTTCTTGGCATGCAGTAAATTACACAGGGCACCATTTTCAAGATGGCGAAAACATTTATGTTAATTCCCTTCCTCACTCCAGAAATATCTGGATGTTTTAAAATTGTGATCCATCTATGCAAAATAGTCTTTCCTGGAACAATTGCAACAGGAAATTTACAGTTTGATATATTCACGGAGGAAAAAGAGATGTGTAGTTTTATTTTGAGTCTTCCAGAAATGTTATCTAAAATCACGTATACTCTTAGAGGTATGAACCTCTGTTTGGATTGAAAACATTTACTAAGCTTTTAGGCTTAGTTGTAATAGAAAACTTTAAATAAACCAGAGAGCAGAAAAGCAGGAGAGGGAGTGATTAAACAGCTGTAAAAATGTGTAGAAATAAAACGGCAGCTGTGTAGGAAAACACGATATTTTTAATTTCTGATGTTTGCTGAGAAAAGCTCTTATAAGTAATATTACTTAATAAGTAATATCAATGTAGCAACAAGTTCTTCCAATCTCTTCAGTGAACACCTTTGAGACAGCTGAAGGCTGGCACAGTCTTACTGGGTCACTAGTTCTCATACCAGTAACAGGCAGCAGAAATGGGGGCAGGGAACACAAACTGCGGCCTCCTCAGAGACATTCAGCTGCCTCTGGCCTTTCTGAGATGCAAGCCAGCTGTTCTTCCTTCTTCCATTACTAGACACACCACATGGAGACTGGTTTCACTATTTCTTAACCCTTTCTCCAAGCCCTCCTGAACAAAAACAATCTCGTTGCTGCAAGCCTTCTTCCCACAGTCCCAAGGGCGTTACCCTACTAGATGACTGATAAGCAGTGGAAGGGATATGTGGAACTTCTCAACCACCCAGCAGCAATGAAATCTACCCCATCTCTTTCGCTGCCACTGCCTCCCAGACTCCACTTCCATGGAAAGTTTTTACTCACATCAGGAATAAAGGAGAGCGCCTTTTCCCGAGATAAGCAAGCACAGAAATAATTATTAAACTAAAACAAGTAAAGTTAATATGATGCGATTTGCTTAGAGAACAACAAATTTTTAATGCGCAATTTAAAAGCAAACAGATAATCAAATTGTAAAACGTAAAGGTAGCTGGGCTTTCTGGTGAGAAAGGTTTCGGTAACGATATCAGGGCAATACCTTTATTAGGCAAACCAAGAGTAGGGATTTAGGTCGTTAGGTGCAAACCTGTAATTTCTTTTGAATGGATATAGATTGTAAAAAAAAAGTTTATTATAAGAAACTTGTAAACATATGGATTGTCAAAAGTTTATTACAAAAAAAGGACAATAAAAAAAGAAGTGCTAGTATTTTGGGACAGGGATCCACTAGAGCTGAGTGCCGTTCTTTGATTTTACTTCAGATTTGCTGGTCTGTGGCCATTCTGGCTTTGAGTGATGTGTGCACTGTGGTTTTGCACAGCCTTCTACATTCTTGCTGGCTGCTCTGCTCAACGTTCCCCATTGAGCACTGTTGTCTCCCAGGACTCTGCATACCCAGCTGGATAGTGTGAACACTTTTTCCTGGCCGCCGCCTCCTCCTCTTCCTCCTCCTCCTCCTCTTTTTAACTGCAAAGTGATGCCAGGCAATGTACAAAGCATCTACAGCTGTGCTAGAGCTACATCATAGCCCTTGGTCAGCAGTGGGGAATGTCTGGCTTCAGCCTTATTTCAGCCCTTCAGCCCTTTGCTTTTGGCCAGTGAGGCTGCTTTTAGCTAACCATGGTCACCTGTGTAGCCTTCACTTTTGGACCAGCCCACTGGGTAGGAATGCGTCTCTTGGACTAAAGAGGTTGCCCCATAGAGGTTAAAGTGTGGAATTCTCATTTTCAGTCTTTCTCTACCTTAAATTTTAGATCTCTTCCAGGTACACCTTGAATGAGGCTCTGTATGTTGTTACATAGCTCCGAAACATGGGTTGTGCTCTTTTCGTTGACTGTATCTGTTGTAGGCGCAGTGAAGAAATTTGTTTGTTTTGCATTTGAAAGCGCTCTGACCTGATTTGCCAGTCGTGGACTTAAATGTCGATCAGAATGCAGCCATCAGTCATATCTCATACTTCTCTGAAATTTACAGTGTAGTTTCAAAACCTGCAAACAAAAATGCACATACCCAGGGAAGATGCATGGAAATGCCATTTAAAAATGTGTATTTTAGGGGTAGCATGCATAAGATGTATTAAAACCGAGTACTGTTTAAATGTGATTTTTTTAAAATCCGCGGAGCGAGGAGGGAACAGGCCTGTGATCGAGCACATGTGAAACTGATAACAGAACAGAAACGAACTGATTCACCCTTAATATATGACTATGTGGTCAGCCCCCAGCTGTGCAGGTTGTGCTGCTCTATTTTCTTCTCCTGTGGGACCAGTATGACTGACTTGCATGGTTTAATCCCAGCCTGAGTGACAGCTATTGTTAGCTTTATTGGATTTGTTGCTCACGTTATTCGGCTTCTGTCCTAAACAACAAAGGGCTTTAGGTCAGATTACGCTATTACCACAAACATGATTTCTTTGTAACCCTTCCTTTCTTACAAGTATCATTTTAACAATTGTGCTATGTTACTTACCAAGGCTGTCAAAACACACACACGTACAGAATATGATGCAGGGTGCAGACGGGGAATGGAGGTAATATTTTAGGACTGCAATCTTGGTATGTTGCAACTCACCAGTTGAAGACTTGTGGTCCACAGCTTTCATTTTTGCCTCTTCTCCCCACCCCCCACCCTCCTAAATTGGTGAGAACGTTTAACAAACAATTTACATAAGTCATGGATTCATAGGAGCGTCACAGGTCCATTGGCTTTCTTCTCTGTACTTAAATTGTATCTGACAGATGCTCCTTTACTCCACATTTTAAACCTCAAGAGAAAGCGACTCCACATTTTCTCTGGTCAATTTTGTTCTCTTTAATAAATAAAGAACAAGCCATGCTTGCTTTTAAAAGCACTAGTTAGCATCCATCCTGATTCTACGAGGTCATGTTGTCTCCTCTTTATAGCAGCCTTTTAGAATGTTTAATGGCCACTTTAAAGAAATTGCTAAATGCGGACATACAGTTTTTAAATTAGCACTTGAAGCATATGGCCTGTTGAAAAGATGCTCCTTTTAAAAAAAAAAAAAAAAATCAATTTCTACCCCTTAGGGGCTTATACCCTTTATGGTGCTTCCTTTTCTGGGCAGGGGAATGAGAAAGACGCATGGTTATTTTGTGAAACATCTGATGATTGATTACAGTCTTTGAGACTGTAAGTTTTTGTGGCAGAAGCAAAATGTAGTCAATTATTATTATTCAGATAAATCAGAACGTGGAACTCCAGAGGGGCCGCTTGCGAGACGACATAAAGGAGTACAAATTCCGAGAAGCCCGTTTGCTGCAAGATTACACTGAGCTCGAGGAGGAGAACATCTGCCTTCAGAAGCAAGTGTCAGTCCTGAAGCAGAACCAGGTGAGTATTGAAATTGCCATATCTTGTTCTCTGGGCGGGGGGGGGGGGGGCTCAGATTCAGTTGTGCTTGTGGAAAGCTTGTAGCTCTTCTCTGATGCCTCAGATTTCAGCCCTCTGAACCCCATGACTAATAGCAGGTGAAGTTTGGGGGCAGCAGTGCTTACCTAACCCTCCGACAGCAGGATTTGCGCTGCCCAACAAGAGGGAGAGAGGCAAGGTGGCCACGTTGGCTCTGCCGGTGCGTTTGCTGCATCGTGCTGATCCCCCCCCCCCGTGTCCCCCTCTTCCTACTAGTAAGCAACGGTGAGTGTTTCCTGCTTCGCCTCCCCCCCGTTTTTGATGTCAGGCATTTTAGTGATACTTTCTGTGTCCTAGGTGGAATTTGAAGGGCTGAAACATGAAATCAAGAGGCTTGAAGAAGTTACCGAGTTCCTCAACAGCCAGCTGGAAGATGCCATAAGGTTAAAAGAGATATCTGAGCGCCAGCTTGAGGAGGCCTTGGAGACCCTGAAGACGGAACGAGAGCAGAAGAACAACCTTCGGAAGGAGCTGTCTCATTATATGAACATCAATGATTCCATGTACACGAGCCATTTGAACTTCTCTCTGGATGGGCTGAAGTTCAGCGATGAGACCACAGAGCCCAATAATGATGAGATTGTGAACGGCTTTGAGCAGAACTGCCTGAGTAAAATCAACAATGGCAATAATAAGGCATCAACGCCGAAGAAAAGCGAGAGCTTCCCTCCAGCGCCTAGTCTTGTGTCTGATCTCTTGAGTGAGTTGAATATATCTGAAATCCAGAAGCTGAAACAGCAGCTTATGCAGGTAAATCCTTGTTAACTGTGGCTGGAATTTGATTGTTCTGTCAGCGCAGGCATTTCTTATCGCCTGATGGAATGCTTTCTCCTCTTCTAGGCACTGTACTGGGGGTTACGCTGACCTGATTGGGGTGTGTACAGGGGAATGAAGAGGGGGGAAGCACCGTTGTACTAGTGAAACTTCGCACAGTGCAGCTATTTAGTTGAATCTGGCCCTATATATCTGAAAATTAAGTATTTATCAAAAGCCATTTATGAACAAAGTGGTTCTTGATATTATTATTATTACCAGTAGTCTCAATATCATAGCTTGTTTTGAAGCTGGTACCCATGGTACTGCTGTTAATTGAAGACTTCCTGGTTTGGTTGCTCACACCATGAAGGAAGGGTAAAGGGGTTGTGTGTACACAGGATAATAGAATTGTAGGGTTGGAAGGGACCCTAAGGATCATCTTGTACAACTGCCTGTTTGTAACTAGTACTGGAGGTGCTGGAAGTTGAACCCAGGAATTTTATATATGCAAAGAATGAGCCATGTATCCTTTATGGCAGATGTTATAGTAGATGCACTTTCAGAAAGGGTAAACATTGCTTTTTATTCATTGTAGATGGAAAGAGAAAAAATGAATTTGTTGTCTACACTCCAAGAGTTCCAAAAGCAGCTGGAGAACACCCGAGGGGCTCTGTCTGAGCAGAATGAGAAGGTAGTCAGGCTCACCGAGAACCTCAGTGCCATGAAAAAGCTCCAGGTCAGCAAGGAGCGCCAGTCAGCTCTTGACAATGAAAAGGAGCGAGATAGCCACGAAGATGGAGATTATTATGAGGTTGACATCAATGGCCCAGAGATTCTGGAATGCAAGTACAAAGTGGCTGTGGCAGAGATTAGTGACTTAAAAGATGAGCTCAAAGGCCTAAAAGCCAAATATGAAGAGTGTGAATCCAAATACGAAGAGGAGAAGAGCAGGTATGAGACTGAATCTCAAGCTCTGACCGAAAAGATTACTTCGTTGGAAAAATCTAGCAGGCAAGATAGAGAGCAGGTGGTTAGACTGGAGAAGGAACTCAAGAAAGTAAGTGATGTTGCTGGAGAAACACAGGGAAGCCTCAGCGTAGCTCAGGATGAGCTGGTCTCCTTCAGCGAGGAGTTAGCCAACTTGTACCATCATGTCTGCATGTGCAACAATGAAACTCCAAACCGGGTCATGCTGGATTACTACAAAGAGGGTAAAGGAGGCCGTACCAGTCCAGAGGGCAAAGGCCGCAAATCGCCCATCCTGCTCTCTAAAGGCTTGTTGTCCATAGACTTAGGAAAATCAGAAAGTGGGAGTGGGGACAGCAGTCCTTCGCCAGTGTCGTCTCTCCCGTCCCCAGTATCTGATCCCCGGAAGGAGCCCATGAACATTTACAACCTGATTGCCATAATCCGCGACCAGATCAAGCATCTGCAACAAGCGGTTGACAGAACGACAGAGCTGTCTCGGCAGCGGGTGACCACCCAGGAACTCGGGCCGGTAGTAGACAAAGACAAAGAGGCTCTAATGGAGGAAATCCTGAAGCTGAAATCTCTGCTAAGCACCAAGAGGGAGCAGATAGCAACTCTGAGGACTGTCCTAAAGGCTAACAAACAGGTAAGCGGTCCTGTAATTTTACACAGTTTACGTTGTCAACAAAAGGGATTCATTAGACAAATGGTGATATGCCTCCCTCCATGTATATAATATTTTTAATAGTCTCTTCACACATGCACAATACACTAAGGTAGGTACTCATTGGCGATTCTGTGTTCAGGTCCTGGTAAAGGTTCCAAACAGGTGTGGAACTCTGATGTTCTTGGATGTTCTCCGTTTCTTAATTCTCTATAATCCCATTAACTGTGACTATTTTCTTTTGCTGTTTTCTGTAAACTTTTAAGACAGCAGAAGTTGCTCTGGCCAACTTGAAAAGCAAGTATGAAAATGAAAAGGCCATGGTTACAGAGACCATGATGAAGCTGCGTAATGAGCTGAAGGCTTTAAAAGAAGATGCTGCTACCTTCTCTTCTCTGAGGGCCATGTTTGCTACCAGGTAAAAGACATTGAAACGTCAGCAGAAGTTGGTAACGGGGGGAACAAATAGAACTTGCTACAGTACCAATGTACCCTGGGAAATGTACTGATACAAGCTTCCTCAATGGCCGTGTTTGGTGGTAGCACCATGAACCATAGTCAGATGAATTAGCTTGTGCTCCTTCACTCCTTGAGCAGAGTAACAAATCACAGAGCTGGTAGCTTAGCTTTATATCCAAAGCAGCACTCATGGATTGTTTTCCCCACAAAAAAGTAGCTTCCCAGTCATGGATGGTTTGGTAGAAGCAAACTGTCAGAGCTGGTTTGAATACCACATGAAGCCAACTGCTCCATGGTTTGTTTTCCTCACTCAAGGAAGGGAAGAGTGAAGCAGGGAGGGCTTGAGCTGAATGCATAAGCACTTAGCTTGTGCACAAGGTGATCTGCCTACTCTGTGGTTTATTATGGCAAGAGTCACATCTCAACATGGCCAATGAATTCTGTGTGTGTGTGTGTGTGTGTGAGAGAGAGAGAGAGAGAGAGAGAGAGAGAGAAATTATATTGCACACTAAGGATGCAAATCTATACTAGAGAGTAAGTCCCATTGAACACAATGACATCCAAGTTTACGTGCATAAGATCGTGCTGCTAAATACACATTTTTTCTGAATTTACGCAAAAGTAAGGCCTTCAAAAATGTTACACTTGCTCAGCCTGCAACACACACAGAGAGAATCGCAGCAGTTGAATTTGTGTCTTTTTTACCACATAAAAGCAAGAAGGTCCAACAATGGCAGTCATGTGTGCACATGGGATACCTAACTTAAATAGCACTGGAAGTCATGCACAGCAATCTGTAAGGTCTTTATCCAGCACCAGAAGGCACAGCATCTCTTTTTTGAAGCTGTTTCCTAGCTGTTATGTTAGAGCTGCCTTTATGCTTACATAAAATGTATTAGGGATGCCTTCCAGCAAGGAAAAAGCAATAAATTGAAATTATGGTGTCCTGAACTAACATATGAGGATGAGCAATGCAGAGCTACAGTATAGCTGTGGTTTTAAAATATCGCAGTAGTTCTGAATGCATGCCTAGGCTCTGAGGGGAAGGGCGCTCAGTGGTTGAGCATTTGTCTTGTAAGCAGAAGGTCCCAGTTTCAATCCCTGGCATCTCCAGATAGGGCTGGGCGAGGCTCTTGCCTGAAGTCCTGGACAGCAGCTGCCAGTCAGTGTAGACAATACTGAGCTAGATGGACCAAAGGTCTGACTCAGTATAAGGCAGCTTCTTCTGCTCCTGTGTAACAGACACCAGTATGAGCCTTGAACTACAGCTTAGGTTACTGATAAAATTACAAACACATTTCAATAGTGGAATTATAAGGTGTGTAGTAACATTCAGAGTGGAATTGCCTTAGTATCTGGATCTTCATAATATATCTTTTGTCTGAATGAAGAAGTTTCTGAATTGCATTAAATTATGGCCAGCACTTAACCTACCGTATTTTTCGCTCTATAGGACGCACTTTCTCCCTTCAAAAATGAAGGGGAAATGTGTGTGCGTCCTATGGAGCGAAGATGCCATAGCCCCGCGACCCTCTCCCGGCTGGAGAGGTGACGCGCGGCTATGGCAGGAACCTCTACAGCCCCGTGTCACCTCTCCAGCCGGGAGAGTGTGTGCGCGGGGCTGAAGCAGCCCCCCGCGACCCTCTCCCGGCTGGAGAGGTGACGCGCGGCTATGGCAGGAGCCTCTATAGCCGCGCGTCACCTCTCCAGCCGGGAGAGCACCGCGGGCTAAAGCAGCCCCCGCGACCCTCTCCTGGCTGGAGAGGTGACGCGCGGCTACGGCAGGAGCCTCTACAGCCCCGCGTCACCTCTGCAGCCGGGAGAGCGCGCGTGGGGCTAAAGAAGCCATAGCCCCGCGACCCTCTCCCGGCTGGAGAGGTGACGCGCAGCTATGGCAGGAGCCTCTCCGCTGCGCCTTTCCGCTGCTCCCTGACCTGCTCTTTGGGGCTGGTGGTGGGCTTCCCCCCCGCCAGCCCCAAAGAGCAGGTCGAAAGGAACCTGAAGCCTGGAGAGCGAGAGGGGTCAGTGCACACCGACCCCTCTCGCTCTCCAGGCTTCCAAGGTAGCCGCCTGAACGCACCTTAAACGGCACCTTGTTTTAGAGCGGGAAAACAAGAGGGGGAAAGTTCTCCCCCTCTCTGTGCAGCACCTCCTGCTGCTTCACTGAAGGGGCGCTGGGCAGAGAGGGGAAAATTTTTTTTTCTTGTTCTCCCCCCTCTAAAACAAAGTGCGTCCTTTTGTCCGGTGCGTCCTATGGTGCGAAAAATACGGTAGTTTACTAGCATGAAATAAATAAATAAAACCCCAAGGAGTTTTTTGTTTTTGAAACAATGAAAATGTCACAAATGTGTGAGCAAACTTCCATGTTCTCCAGAACTATTCAGATGTTAGGTCAAGCAAAACAGGGCCAGGGTGTAGAAGAATTTAGGCATGATCTTGTTGCCCCCAAAGTCTGCAGTTAAAGCCATCTTAAAATGGAACAGGATTAGGAGTCTTGTTAGGTGAAAGACAGATTGCAGAATGCACCCAGGACTACTGGAGCTAAGAAGCAAAAACCGGAAAGCTTAGTTGGTTAGAGCATGGTGCTGATAACAACAAGGTTGCAGGTTCGATCCCCATATGAGACAGCTGCATATTCTTGCATCGCAGGGGGTTGGACTAGATGTTCCTCAGGGTCCCTTTCAGCTCTGCAACTCTGATTCTATCATTCCCCATTGCTGAAAATGTAAAATCACATACTTTATTCAGTTCTGTCTCCAGCCTTAAGAAAAAACAACACTCAGGCCTTTTTGAAGCAGAGAGCAGAAGAGAAGGGAAAGATTGTATTCTTTTATATTAGCAATGCTGAAGATTTATATGAGGTGCCTAACCATATACAGAGTCAACAGATGCCGACTTGGTAATATTACCTATTGATTGAAGGATATGTAACTCCTCAAATTACTGTGTGTGTTTGGGGGTTCACTTGCTAAAAGCACATGTCAACATCAAAATCTTGTGCTCTCTATGAAAACCTTGCATCTCATAGCCTTTGGGACACAGCAGTCTTGGAACTGATTAATCTCGATTACTTCTGTAAGTCATGAAAGCCATATACTTCCATAATCGGTCAAACATGTAAGCCAGGAACTCGTGGATCTCAGTTATAGCAACCTTCCCAAGCTGAAAGATCTATTTTGCCCCTTCAGAGTCCCTAGAAGCTGCTGCAGCTGAGATCAGTATGCTCTCTTGACATGTAAGTGCCTGCTATCTGTACGAGTAGCCTGTCCTTTGTGAGTCCAAATAATGTGTCTGAAAGTTAATACGTGAACCAACTCTTGGATGCTGGTAGCAAAAAAGCCGTGCTGCTTTAAAAGTTCTTTCTCATTGCAGGTGTGACGAGTACGTCACCCAGCTGGACGAAATGCAGCGCCAGCTTGCCGCGGCCGAAGACGAAAAGAAGACGCTGAACTCCTTGCTCCGTATGGCCATCCAGCAAAAGCTGGCTTTGACCCAGCGCCTTGAGCATCTTGAGCTGGACCATGAGCAGTCCAAAAGGGTGCGCACAAAATCTGCTTCCAAAGCCAAGAGTAGTAACCCCAGTGTAAGTCACATACGGTCATGTGGAGACAGATCCGAAGGATCTGTGCTTAATAACCAGGTGTTTTGCAGCGAGAAGTATAAGATCTATTGCGATTAAGAAGGCAAAAAGAGAGAAAGAGAGAGAGAGAGGCCGTAAATATGCATCTGATGTTTGTGCTGTTTGAATGTCAGCATAAATCCCCACTATATTAATGTTGCGGTGGTGCGTGGCTTTGTACTAGTATGTTGTTAAACCACGTAATACAGGCTGTATTATAGTGGTCTTAACTGTAACTGATTCACAAGCATGGGGAGGGGGGATGCTGTTAACAAGCTAATGATGGAAAAGCACTTGGCTGTTTCCAGAAGGAGCGACTTTGGTTTTGCTGTTTATCGGTAAGTGTTAAAGGTGCAGGCCAGGTGTACGACGCCTGGCGTTACTAACTGTAGCTTGTCTAGCGCAGATGTGATCCTTTCCCCTGGGTTCTAAGCGGTTTTTCAAACAATGGAGATAATTTCATTGGCAAGAGCCATCTCCTTGTTTAATATGCCTGCAAAGTGGTGAAATGCAGTGCTTAAAAATTAGATGTGTAATGTTGGGTGTAAAGAAATCTGTGTTTTGAACCAGAAACGAATCTAAATTAAATCTGCTGTAGCAGGTAGTTGCTTTCATTATTACCACTTAGCAAAAGCCAAAAAAAGCTTTCTTATAAGCTGTTAAGAGCTAGGACAACCTAGTAGGAAGGATGCCTTCTGAAATTCCTGGGTTTCCTTCCTTGCTTCGCTTCAGAGGGTTAACCTGTTGAAAATTGCACAATTAAAAAAGAGAGAGAGAGAGAGCGGAGATTCTGGAACGCAACTTTACACTAAAAGAAAGCAAAATTAGGATCTCAATGTTTCAGAACAGTTATGTTGTGGGACAATACCATATACTACAAAGATTTATGTAGTATCATGTTGTTGTTGCTTCTGGCAGTGTAATTTGCCAGGAAGAAGGTGCATTGCATATTGGGCCAAAGTTAGTCTAACTTTAAATCTCCTTGATTTTCATTGAGAAAGTTAAACAAGTGCTTAACTCTCTTCTGTTTCAATCAAGGAGATTTTAAAGCACGTAAGGTCATGCTCATTATTACTATATCTGCACCGTATACGTGTACAGAATTAATAGGAGTGTGTTCTAGTATTGTCAAGTTGCAATGCATTTCTCCTTAACTGTCAGTATTAAGGCTTAATAGGATAGTATTACAGAGCTCTGTCTTTTGTTCAAGCAAAAAAGAAAAAAAAGATGAAATAAAATTGCATTTTTAATGCAAGCACACATTTCACAGGGCTCTACATTCTAGGCACAGGAAATAAAAACATAACCAGTTTATTCTTGTTTTTACATAATTATGAAGTAGGTTAGTAAATGCATATTCATCTATAAAAAAGATGATTTGTCCATTATTGAACTTTTAAGGGGCCTTTTTGGCCACTTAATTTCAATAAGTTTGATAATATTTGTTTTTTTAAAAAGTGTACTTCATAATTGGTGCCTATAGAAATTGTAATGATACAAGACTGGGAGTGGGGAATGATGCTTTTTAAATTGTGATAAATTTAAGGAGCACAACAAGGCACATTTTTGTAAAGAAAAAGAAACAAAACAATTCAAAAGTGCCTAGCCTCAAACTTTATTTTAATGTAAAGCCCTGTTCATTTTGTACTCTTTTCAAATAACTTTGTATGCTTAGAATACTACTAAGAAGTAATGCAGGACAGCACAGCTGCGCCCGCTGACCCTGGTAATATTCCCCTCCTCCCAAAGCCATGCTAATAATAACAGTAATCTTGGTGTTGTTACTGCCTCATCTTACATTATTCTTTTTAGATGATTAGCAGCTTGCTTCCTCTGTATTGCCGCTCTGCCTATAAAGTAGTTAGGAGATATAGAAGTGTTACTGTAATGTAATAAGGGGAGTGTTCTCTGTTTTCCTGGCAGAAGGAAGCAGAGTGGTGCTTGGACCCCTCAAGAGATTAGGAACAAAAACAAATTGCAAAAAAATTGCAAGGAGAAAAAAAAAATTAAACAGAGAATCCGGCAGCTAGAAATCACACAATTGACATTACATCTGCCGATGTATAAACAATTCTGAATGATCCAGTTTTAATGTATTGCTGATGAATCAGCAAACACAATATTAAAAAAAAAATTGGTGTCAGAACAGCATGCCTCATACACCTCACTTTATTACTACATTTGCAGAAAACACAGCCTATTCTCCTGATTTTGAGCTTTAATAGCAGGCTTTGATATTTTTAGAAGCAGAACACCGTTTAGCAAATGTTCAATCCTGCTTTTCTCCTCTTTGATGCACAATAATCCAAAAGGCCTTTTGAACCCACCCCTTTTGAAACAAAATGCCTTGGACATAACTAGGCATTTAGAATATGGAACTATTTTGCTCCATTAGTAGCAGTGGTTGCTATTGCTTTCGCATTGATGGGGAGCTGATAATAACCTTTCTAAATATATCCTTTTCTCTGGTGGTGCTTGTAACACAAGAATACTCAGGTGGGGGTGGGGGGGAGAAAAGGAAGTTTTATGGAATCGATAGCATTGGCAAGTTTTCAAGTTCACTGGAATGAAATAGGGAAGTCTCAGTGTTTGTGAGATGGTGACAGTGTCTATCAGTGTCTGTTCATATTGCTCAAGACAGCATATTTACAGTTTTCAGCTGGCTTACTAACAATTTCCATGGTGATCTCTATGGCTGTTTTACGACCACAAAGGCTTTGCACCCTTTTACGTCTGGAGTGTTCAGAGTCGCTGTGCCTAGCTTGCGTTCCGAAGCAGCCCAGATGCACTCTGACATTTGTCAGTTTCCTGTGCCCGGATTGGTTTTAAACTTGCTAGGAAGAGAAACTCTGAATAATCCCCAGGTGATTTTCTTCTTCTTGTGTGTAAGCTTTGACAAAAGATGTTTGGGACAGGCTTCCTCAGACTAACTCCTGCTAAATCAGTGTCTCGGTTTTTTGTTTTTAAAAAATGCTTTCATTTTTTGCCCTTGTTGAGTTGGGATACAGCATGGAAAACATACTAAGCCATCACCTACCTCTACAAAGCAGGACTTTTCTCCTGGATGACTTCCTGTTCTGTTCATTGGCTGGCATGATACACTGACTGAGCTGCATGTTTCCGGAGGGGCTGCGCTATGCTTCATTGATAAGTTCCCTCGCGTACTCACCGCTGCCTACTTACCGCTTGAGTAGCATATTGATTCAGGACTTGTAAGGAACTTTTCTTCCTGCACAGCTTTTGCTAACAGTGTGCGTCAGAGCATTGTTCCAGATGCTTGAAAAGCACACGTGAGCTGCATCGACTGCTTTACCTTAGAAGACTAACAGGTTCCCCTCAGCTGACTAACGTGCGATGGAGCTCTTGCAGCACACCCCTGTGTGTATTTGAAGTTTTCCGTTCTTGAGTTGAAGAATAATGACCAGGGTTTTTTCTTTTCTTTTTTTCATTTCTAATGTTTTTTTGTGTTCTTTTTCTTTCCCCCCACTTTCCACTTTCCAGCTGTAGAGTAGCTCCCGGAGAAGCCTATTGCAACTGTGCAACTTCGTATCTTAGCCTGTGTCGTTGTGGTTAGAAGTGGCGGTAGCCTGTTGCACAAAGAATGGAAACCATTGACCATGAACCTCTCTTTCCCTCCCCCCCCCCCCCCAAAAAGGCAAAAACCACATAATTTTTAATATGCAACATGCATTGTTGGGTAATCTCCCCCCTCGCTTTCAACCATCTTTTTTTTCTTTTTGGCATATTATGTCTGGATACAAACAAACAAAGCTTTATCCTTTTAAGTGCTGCTGCAGGAAGAAAACTTACAAATGCTGAAGAAACCTCCTTCATCATCTGATAATTGCCATGGTAGCTTATTATGGCCTATTAGAAAGGTTCACATGGGTATTATTATTATTATTATTATTATTATTTTGTAACTGTCATTATAGAGCATTCATGTAAAACAACAACAACAACCAACAATGGTCTGATTGTTTAAACCTGTGCACTTTTAATATTTTGCTATTTACTTTAACGTCTTTTTATTCTTTTTTTGTAGAAGAGTTTATATGAAAAGGGGGGTGGGGAAAATCCAGTGACTTATGCGCATAGTCTCTCTCCATTTTGGACTTGTGCTTGCTGTTTTCCCATCCGCATGTGGCAGAGTTTTATACGATATTGTTTTGCTCTACGCTGTGTTTAAAAAAGAACTTCCAACACAAGCCAGGAGTTCTGCTAAACTGTATATGTGCTGTGCACCAGCAGCTTTTTTCTTTCTTTCTTTCTTTCTTTCTTTCTTTCTTTCTTTCTTTCTTATAAAATGTTAAGCTTTATCTGTTTTAAATTACTGATTTTTAACTGCCATGTTAATTGAGAAATCCAGGGTATTCAAATTCTGGGGTTTTTTCATATTGTATTATTATTCTTAGGAATAGTTCAATGTAACAAGAAGAAAACTTGACTTTGCTCTGGTTAAAACAGTTATAGGCACTTGAAAAGAAATATTAGTGTTACCTATAAATTCCAGAATGTCTGGGTTTTAGGAAAATCTTAATGGTGTATGATTGGTTAACAGAATTTTATACAACTATTATACCACTTAAATTCCAAATTGGAATTGTTTTTGTTACTACTTTGTTTTATTGTGCCAAATTGTGGTACATTTTAGAAAGACAAATTCTAAAGTTGTCAGTGCTAGGGTGTTCTATTTCAGCGCCTTTTTGTGATTTAATTGTTGCCAGTAGTGCCTTTCATAATTTTAAAGGGAGAAGCCTAGGCTAGCTTAGTCTGTTCGAAAAGAAAGGAACCACGGCTTTGGAACCTAGTCACGATGTGGAGCAATAAGTGTAAAGCAAACTCCCCTGCCGCACATTTTTTTTTTAATGGGTAGACCTACTATAGAGATGATATATGCGCAAATTGTAAAAAATTCTGTTAGTCAATGATACTTCATCATGCAAATTCAGGGGCATAGAAGAAAAGAACAAGCAGACAACTATTAAAAGACGAAGAAGAAGAAGAAAAGAAACACCCCAAAATATACTTTGCGAACCAAACGAACTTTATTGAACAAAATAAGAAGCAAGATGTATTAACACATTTGTGGTTGCAGTACAGAGGTTGTTTTGGGAATATTGGTGTTCTGGTAGCTTTGTATGGTGGTGGATCAGTTAACCATAGTATTGTTTGCAAATGTGGAGAAGAAGAAGAAGAAGAACAATGCATTTAATATTTTTTTCTCTTGCATGTTGTATCTAATCCATGGTGATTTCAGGAAACAGAAACTGAGATGTGCATCAACAAAGATGGACCTACTGGTGCTATTTGTTGAGGGTAACTTTGAATGATCAAATTTGGTACTTTTCAGGGGAGGAGAAGCCACCTTCCTTTAAAAAGAAAAGAAAAGAAAAAAAGAGTAGAAATTGTAATAATAAATGACGTGGGGAAAAGATTTCTGTTTGCTGGAAGAAACTTTATTATTCCTAGAGGTGGGGACATATATTTTCATCTTTTTTTTGGTTACAGTATTGATTCATAAGTGGTATGATTACATTTTAAAATTACATCTCTATGTGGGTATTTATTTGAAATGTCAAAGTACTGTATTATGTTTTTACGTGCATTATCTTTTAGTGGTGGATTGGTCTTCGTTTCATTGTCATATGCATGTACTCTTGCCAAGTAACCTTTACACAGACTTGGGGGGAAAGGAAGCTAATATAATTGCTTAAAAGGAAGACGTGAAACTGACTAAGGTACAGCTCTTGTGTTAATTTGATAATTTTAGGAGGTGTAGAAGACAAAAACAAATTAATTCCAAATTAATCCAAAAAGAGTGCATGTTGTGTAGGAAAGCAATCTACCTGTGTAAAGGTAGTCATATTGGCAGTATCAATAAAGGAGAAAGAAGAGTTTCTGGCTGGTTTGTTTTTGAATCGCACCACTTTTGTTTGCTGAAGTATTTCTAGACCTATTAACAGTATTAATGTACGAAGTCCTGACACATGTAGGCATGAGTCAGTCAAAGTTAATCACTTTTGAATCCCTTTTATTTCAATGGGAGAGTTTGAAACGTGTGTGTATAACACTCCCATTGAAATTAACGAGACTTAGAATGGCTTCCATCCTGCTTTTAGATGTATATCCAGGACTGGCACAAGACATTTTGAGGCCTGAAGCGAAGGACAAGATGGTGCCCCTGCAAGGCACATACAGAAACCAATTGGACTGACAGTTGAGCTTTATTCCAGTACTGGTGAAAGGCCAGTGTTTTCCACTGCACTTGAGGGCAGCAGGCTAGCATAGGGGGTACAACACAGGCCACATGGCACTCACAGCTCCGGCCACTCCCCGCACCACATCATCTGCCGCCTGAGGCAGCTGGCTAACTCTGCCTCATCATAGGGCTAGCTCTGTGCACACCAATGATTCTTGAAGTGGGCTCATGCTGCTCTTCGGATCTTTAATGAAGATGATTGCATGCTACCGACAGAGCGGCATTTCCTTCAAATACCTTGCTCAGCAATGATCGAACAGAGAACCAATATTGGTGTACTTGCTCTGGAGAGCCAGCAATAGCCACACCTGTTGAAAGGGGAGGAGCTTGAAACTCTTCAGAACATGTCAAATTTTGTTTACTCAAAGCAGGATATGCTTGTTGGCTGGTATCCATTCATTCAACCGAGATTATTCATGGCCAAATGATAGGCAATACTTGCATGAGATATGGTAATTGGTTCCAGGAATCAACTAGGTAAGTAGAGTCTCCTGTCTGTGGGTGGCACATGTTTGGATTATCTGTGGCTTGCACTTCTGAGATGCCCCTGCTACCACAATGAAACTCTCATTACTCAGAGCAAAAGCAAACCACACACATAGTTTGGGAGCGTATAGAAAGTATCGGCTGAACCAAGCTTCTTGATAACAGATCTTTATTGTTGATCCAATATAACTTGTATAAAAAAACAAGCCTTTCTGCTTTTGGATATGGAACAGAAAAGTTGTATGGATTTATTCCAGCAGCCGTGATAGCAAATCTAAATCAATGTAGCTGTTAATAAAATAGTACATTAGGAGAAACATTTAGTCCACATCAAAAACAATACCTATTTATCTTGGCACACATTTTCTCTTTCCCTTTCTTATGTTGAATTGGGTGTTTCAGGTTTACATGAAGCAAAAGGAAGGGTGTCATCAGTAATAACACTATTAAGGGTTTGATTTTAGATGCAGGTCTGATTATTGTTGTTCAACAAGGGCTTACAAGCTTGCATCTTTGCAAAGGGTAGAACTTCCGCCTGACAGATGTTGCTCTGCTTAATCTCAGGACAAGGAACCTTCTATTAACCTAACGCTTACTCCCACCTGTCATGAACAATCAACAATTTAATGCTGAGTGCTTGTTGCCTGCCTATAGTGACGCTCTTCACAGACAAAAAAAATAATCGAATTATAGTGTAGACATTTGTTATGAGAGCAAGACTGAGTTTAAAAGAACTAGGTGACTGATCTGTTGAGCTGCTGAATTCCATCACTGTTTTGTTAACTTCAGGGAATGCTGGAATTATTTGCCTTCCTGGCATGCCACATTGTGGAAGAATATGGATTTTCTGTAGCCCACGTTCCTGAGATGGCAGCAGTGATGCATTCTCTTGCCTAGGAGGATGTAAAAAATTGAATTCATTTTGGCAGTAAGTGCAAGAGTGCCTAGATATAAAGGAACCAGCACTCGTGGGCACCATTTCTACCCAGAAACAATGCACCCAGCTACCATGACATCACAAAAGTGATAAAAGCCATAGGTTGGGCTGTGCCACAAAGTTCTAGTTAAGCACATCCTTTGAACATACTGGGCAACCTTCATTGCTTTGTATCTACAATCTGCAACCAGCCCTGTACTATTTCCCTAGTACATTTGCACATATTAGGCATAGATGATATTAAATTAGATGCACAGTTAATATTAGAACTTCTTAGTGTGGAGGGTGGGGAACAATCTGAAGCTGGCAAAGAATGCAGAGGGTCTCAGCCTCCCTTCCACTTGTGCAGCCTTCCAACACTCATTTTCAAATATCTCCAAATATGGAACACCATTTCTGTCTGAAGTGACTGATAGACAGGTGAGAGGGCAGTTCTGCAGAGCAGCAAACCAAATACCTTGTCGCTGAAAGAGGAAACCAATAAAAAGGAGAAAGAAAACACATCAAGTGGAAGACAGCCACCTTTGTGCGTTCATTTATGTCAGAAACATTTTCACTGTATTATTTATTATAAGCTGCTTTGAAGCTTCATGAGATAAGTGGAGTAAAAATAGGCAGTATGACGCCATGTTTTGCAGCCACACTGTCTTGTTTATTGTCTTTTCTTAGATATGCTGTGACTACATTGTCCTTGAAGGATAGTTCTCAACCCGTCCAACACAGATAGCGGAACTAGCAATCTGCGGTTAAGACAGTGATCCTTATTTTCAAGTAAATATGGCGGAATTGGGCTATACAGCACTAGAATCAGACCACCACCATAATCCTTTCCAATGCCAAATGTGGTGGTCCAGTGGAGATAGACTTAAAAAATGTGTTAAAAGGCAGGGGCAAAATGGACTGACAGACAAAGATTCATCCTTTGGGATGTTTTAAAACTGCCACACGATTTGAAAGTGATTTCCCCCTGCTCTTGTTTCCATCTGAAATCTTGGCACTCCATTTTCTTTTACTTCTAATTCCACATAAATCCCTATTACTAGGGTATTTTATCTGGCATTGTAGAGTGCTTCACATTTTGCTATCTGCAGTTCTCACAACAACCATATACTGTAAAGAAGATCATAAATTTGGAGATATTGCAGATTGTGGGGTGGGCTTTCTAAAAATAGGGTCTGCGGCTTTGGAGTCTGGCTTGCAAAAATTAAGCTACCCAGTGCTGCTTTTTTTTAGGAAAAGGTGCTGGAACTCACCATGAACTCCCTTGAATGGCAATGGTGCCCACCTGAAAAGTGCCGGAACTGAGTTCTGGTGAGCTCCATCTAAAAAGCCCTGAAGCCACATAAAACAATTGTTTCAGCTGGGCTGCAGGTTGAGAGTCCATGGCTTGGAGACAGAGCACATACCTTGCATTGCAATGGTGTTGGGTTCACTTCCTGTCATCTCCAGCTAAAGCAGTAGTGGGAGAACCTCAGGCCTGGGGCTGGATGGAGCCTGAGCAGGCCCCTCTGGCCCTCAGGGCTAGCCATGTCGTGTACCTCTCAGACCACTCGCCTTCCTGGTGCTGCTCTATTCCCTATCCAATGCGTTTACCTGGCCCTTGAACTAAGCTAATGCCTCTTGTTTGCCGGGGTAGAAGAAGACACGGCTAGCTGGACTGTAGCCTGCTGTACAATAGTAAGAGCTGCCTCCCTGCTCACCTTTGCCTTTGGTTCCTGCTCACTGTTGACATGTGGTCCACATGGCTTCTAGTTCCCCAGGAGGAATGTGTTCCGTCGCTGAAAGTCAGAAGACCCCAGAGCTGGAAAAGAGCCAAGCCAGAGCCACTGTCAGTAGTAAATACAAAATGCGATAAACATAATATGGTTGTAAGACATCTTCACCCAAGGTTATTTATTTTGTTTTTAAATTATATTGACAGATATGCTTATTCATGAAAGAGATTAATTGCGTTTTTCTCTCCTCAAAAGAAAAAGGCACCTCAGGTTGTATAAAACTCATAAACAGGAAAACAAAACCTTCACAACTAAATCTTCAAAAATAATTTTGCATGCGCATGTATGTCCTCCATACTGCACAGAGTGCAATATTATCCCTCAATGTCCTTGTGTCATAAACCTACCAGCACTAGCATTTGCAACAATTCAGGCATTGCTAGCAGTTTATTCCTGTTAGCCTAGACAAGTGTCATTATCACCTTCTGCAAATTTATTGGCTATTCTGGGCAGTTTGACAGAACCACTTCCTGACAGCTCCTCTTTCTGCAACTGCTATTTATCACAACCAATGACAGCAGGGCTATCTATACAGGGAATGTGATACCTGGAGTCTCTTTCTCCTCTAGGTTTTCCTTCCTGTGTATCTTGTTTGCTTCCTACTCAGATATCACATCTGGCTTGCTTTTTCTAAGATATTTTTAGGTGAAAAGTGGAGCGAGTCTCTCTGTGAATGAATCACCGTACATGTTTTTCATTTTATACAGGGGGCCATAAACATGGGAGTCACCTTCCTCTATTTGATACAGTATTGGGTATGGATGTTAAAAAAATTAAATTCCCTGTTGATTGACTATTTGTTAAAACCAAGTATATACTACTTCTCATTTCAAAAAGTACAAAGGCAGTTCAAAAACAAAGCAACAACAAAATAATATAAGAATAAAAAGCAGCTCAGTAAAACAAAGTTTAGTAGTGAAGCTCACACCATTGTTTCCCACCCTAGACTTACATTTTAGTAAGTGGGAATAAAAGGACTATGATGATGATGATTGATTGATTGATTTTGTATACTGCCCTTCATCTGAAGATCAGGGGGTGGTTCACAACACAGAACCCAAAATACATAATAAAACAAGAAAAAAACAATAACCCCCATCCCACAAACACATTTAAAAGGGCATAGAATGTTGATCAGCCAAAGTCCTGGTTAAAGAAAAACATTTTCACCTGGCACCTAAAGATATGTAATGAAGGTGCCTGGTGAACCTCTCTGTGGAGAGAAATCTACAAGTGGGAAGCCACCACAGAAAAGGCCCGTTCTCATGTTGCCACCCTCCAGACCTCTCACAGTGGAGGGTCCAAGTCGGTTCATATGGGAAGAGATGGTCCTTGAGGAATTGTGGTCCTAAACCATTTAAGGCTTTATAGGTCAAAACCTCACTTTGAATTGAGCCTGGAAACTAATTGAAAGCCAGTGCAGTTGGGCCAGGATCCCTGTAATATGCTCATACCACCTTGCCCTGATGAACAACCTAGCCACTGAATTCTGCACCAGCTAAAGTTTCTGAATCATCTTCAGAGGATGCCCAATGTATAACATGTTGCTGTAATCTAACCTAGAGGTTACCAGAGCATGGATGACAGAAGTTAAACTATGCCTGTCCAGATAGGGGTGTAGCTGAGCCACCAGCTGAAACTGATGGAAGGCACTCTGCGCCACCGAAGCCACCTGAGTGAGCCTCAAGCAACAGCAGAGGATACAGAAGTAACCTTGAGCTATGTACCCACTACTTCAGAGTGAGTGGAACCCCTCAAGAGCAGGCAACCTGCCACCCATCCAGTCTAGGGAACCACCTACTAATAGTACCTCAATCTTACCTGGATTCAGTTTGTTCCCTCTCATCCAGTACATTACCGAGGCAAGACAAGAGTCCAGCACATCCACTGCCACACCTGCAGATGAAAAGGAGAAGTAGAGCTGCTCCTATCAAACTTGGGACTATTTTTATTTCATTTTTTAAAAAAAATATTTATATATCCTTCTTCATGGAAAACTCCAGGTGGTTTACAACAATTAAATAAGAACCATGCTGTACAAGAACACACCCACCCCACCAGAAAATCCACAGTAACAAAATTAAAATACTGTGAGCTAGGTAATTACAGCAGCGAATGTTTAGAAAACACTACAATATTCACCATGTCTACTCAGAAGTCAGATTGCAGCCCAGTTCTTCAGCAAGCACCTAAAGCCAGTCAACGTTTGTGCTTGCCTAACATCTAGTGCAGGTTGGGGATCTGAATGCAATTGTAAATAGACTATCAGGAGGTGCGCTTTTCTGCTCACTGCCCTTGGACAATTATTCTCAAGTAACTTTTCTCTGCTTTAGGGATGTGGGTGGCGCTGTGGGTTAAACCTCAGAGCCTAGGGCTTGCCGATCAGAAGGTTGGCAGTTCGAATCCCCCCGACTGGGTGAGCTCCCGTTGCTCAGTCCCTGCTCCTGCCAACCTGGCAGTTCGAAAGCACGTCAAAGTGCAAGTAGATAAATAGGTACCGCTCCGGCGGGAAGGTAAAAGGCGTTTCCATGTGCTGCTCTGGTTCGCCAGAAGCGGCTTAGTCATGCCGGCCACATGACCTGGAAGCTGTACACTGGCTCCCTCGGCCAATAAAGCGAGATGAGCGCCGCAACCCCAGAGTCAGTCACGACTGGACCTAATGGTCAAGGGTCCCTTTACCTTTACTTTTTTAACTTTTCTCTGCTTTACTCTGTCTTTTACAAAGCATACTGAGTACATGGATGACGAATATTTGGCCCTTGAATTCAGGATTGTTATGATGTAGCATTTAGCAGGGGGATCCTTTCTTCTGTTTCTAAATGTATTTATTCTAAAGATCTCAGAGTAGCTACTGATGAAATGACCACATACAATAAAAACAGGGAAAAATACATGAACTCCATATACCCAACTTTTAAGTTGTATGGCAGTGATATCTCAAAGTTAGGCATCAAAAGCTTGAGTAATGAGCCACACTTGGACCTGGTGTCTAATTATCAACATAGGTGACAAGAGGGCAGAAGTGCTGCAGCTGAGAACAGTTGCTCACAAGTCCCTGAGTAAGAAGGGACTTCACCCACAGATCTTAACTCCTGGGTAGGAACACACAGAACCCAACAGAACAGAAGAGTTTGGATTCGAAATCCCGCTTTATCACTACCCAAAGGAGTCTCAAAGTGGCTAACATTCTCCTTTCCCTTCCTCCCCCACAACAAACACCTCTGTGAGGTGAGTGGGGCTGAGAGACTTCAGAGAAGTGTGACTGGCCCAAGGTCACCCAGCAGCTGCATGTGGAGGAGCGGAGACGTGAACCCGGTTCCCCAGATTACGAGTCCACCACTCTTAACCACTACACCACACTGGCTCACTAGAACATCAACAGTAGCACCATGTGGCTGGAGGGAGCAGAACAGGACCGAGAGTTGAGGACAACACAGAACACTTGCCATGGAAGCAAGGTTATCAAGGAACACACCTCTGAATTATCTGCCAGCCAATAGTGTGGTACAACCCGGAAGCAGGCATAATACAGATTTTAGTTGCAAATAAGGGGGATCATTCAGAACCAAGGAAGGAGACACAGAAGGGCCAAAATGCAACAACTGAGCTCAGCAGCCCACAATACCTTGAGTGCTGATGTTGCTAATGCAAGTAAGTAATAACACTTTTACTTAGCAGGACTTCAGGACCTGGTTTGTCATTTTTCTCCACTGCAGTCCTACCTGTATTGAGAAAAGCTGCCCTGGTTAGGTTACGGCCTCCTGCTGCTATGGTTTAACAGCACAGGATTACTATTGGAAAGAAGGTGGCGAACAGCTACTTAACTGTGGATGGCTCTCTTCCATGCAGAAACTGCTAGGTACGTTTTAATACTAGCGACAAATTCAAGGAAACATTCCTATGCAATGAATTAAAGAATTAAAAATAATTAGAAGACATGCTACAAAGGGACCACTAGATGGTAGTACTGCACAAAATTGTCTTACAACAATCAATGCAAGTAGATGGAGATGTCAAGCAGCTGTATTAAATTCCCTTCTATTTGGGGCACTTGACTCCTCACTGCACCCTCATCCTTCACTGTGTCTCAGAAGAAATGTTTCCTTTGCAAAAAAAAAAAAAAAAAAGTTGTTATTTGTGTATGGTTTTTTTCAATAGGACCATGCAATCTTCTGAGATACACATCTTTCTTAAACTGTTAATACCGGGGATTTTGGTTTTTAAAGGGTGAGGCATTTTTTCCAAGCCTGGACCCTTGCATGCATCTAAACAAATATATGTTGGTTACACAATGTATTATTGAAGTTCTGGGCCGCAGCTTTTCATGTGTTGTTTTCAATTTAAACTTGCTTTTGTGTAACGTTCACTAGGTGTTAGCCAGCGGAATTCTCTGGAGAACAGAGGACCCTCTGAAAGAGACTGGTGTGCGTTTGTGTGTGTGTCTTGGGAAGGTGCTTGGGGGAAGAGAAGGAGGAGAAGTCTTGTTGCATAAGCAGAAATCCATTTAGGTGATATTGGATATTATTCCCCACTGTATTTAGAGTGTACAATCCAAGGAAGAAAGTAGAGTGGTACCTTGGGTTACCTACGCTTCAGGTTACATACGCTTCAGGTTACAGAGTCCGCTAACCCAGAAATAGTACCTCGGGTTAAGAACTTTGCTTCAGGATGAGAACAGAAATTGTGCTCCAGCGGTGCGGCTGCAGCAGGAGGCCCATTAGATAAAGTGGTGCTTCAGGTTAAGAACAGTTTCAAGTTAAGAATGGACCTACGGAACGAATTAAGTACTTAACCCGAAGTACCACTGTATGTATTTTCTGTGGCCTACAGTAGTTACCCTGCTTCTTTGAGTTGCTATAAATATTGGCAAGCTAACAAATACTGTATCTGGCATCATTTATGCCTTTCTTAAATTATATAAAATCTCTGGATATTATGCGTGTGTGCTGCTTGCCTCCTGGGCGTAGAAAATCAGCTGATGAACTAGAGCTGGACTACAAAGTTTCTGCTTTCCTGCTACAAAGGAACTTTGCTTCATCTGCCAAAATTTTATTATTTTATTTGAATATTTTAATCCGATACAGCAAACAAACAGAAGGCCTGTAAAAAGTTCTTCATTGCTACAGTGTGGGCTCACCTCATAAATCCTTTATTCCTTGTATACAATATTTAAGGGAGGGATCATCAACTGGAGGTCCTAGGCCAAATCTGACCATATGAGAAGCTTCGCTTCCTTCCCTGTTACCTAGAGTTAAAGAAAAGAAGTTGGCAACTATGCTAACAGAACTCTATGCAACTCTATGAACTCTGTCCTCCCATAGTAGCCATCCAGAAAAACTAGCTACTGACCACAGTTTTTTTTAAAAAGATGTTTACACTGAAACCTAAACATTTTTACTAGAGTGTAAAAAAGCTAAAACTAAAGGACCCCTGGATAGTTAAGTCCAGTCAAAGGCGACTATGGGGTTGTGGTGCTCATCTTGCTTTCAGGCCGAGGGAGACGGCGTTTGTCCACAGACAGCTTTCCAGGTCATGTGGCCAGCATGACTAAACCGCTTCTGGTGCAACAGAACACCGTGACAGAAACCAGAGCGCACAGAAATGCCATTTACCTTCCCGCCGCAGCGGTACCTATTTATCTATTCACACTGGTGTGCTTTCAAACTGCTAGGTTGGCAGGAGCTGGGACAGAGCACCCTGTCACGGGGATTCGAACTGCCAACCTTCTGATTGGCAAGCCCGAGAGGCTCAGTCAGAATGCTTAGGGTTGTACTGTTATTACTGTTATTTCAGTGATGAGGGATGGTTATCAGCATGAAATTATAGCATCATATGTGTGAGCTAGTGCTGTGCGTAATGGCAAGGATGAGGAGACCTCATCTGTATTTTTCTCCTCTTGATCTCAGTAGTTCAGCAGGAAGGCATCACCAGCTGCCATCTATATTGGTCATCACTCTAATCTAAATTATATTTGTGTGACCACCTGCCTTTGGCCTTGAAGCAGCCAATTGCTTGGCTCACCACTGTTGCTCTGAAGAGCAGAGGCAGCAGATGTGATAGATGATCAAATATTTGCTTTGATGGTAAATAAGAGGGTGGAGGAGACAAGAAGGACTGCATATACCAGAATGGTTGGCGTTCTCCAGGTGTGCTTAAACAAATAAATGTCAAAGTGGTTTGTTAACAACAGAAGTGCAGTCAACAAGAGTATTTTCATGACAAAGAGGTCTCTCATGCCATTTTTGAGAAAGTATGATATCTTTGAGAATGCATTGTCCTGTATCCATCTGCCTATATATATATATATATATATATATATATGATATTTATTGAAAATTTTAAAGTTACAGAAAAAAAAACAAAGAGAAAAAGAAGGAAAAAAACAAGAAAAAAACAAATAACAATTAAACAATACAAATCGATAAAAGTCAAAAGCAAAAAGCAAAAACAAAACACATAACACATCAAAATCAGAGAACAAAAATAAACCACAAAGATTTTTAAAAAATCCAATATTCCCAAATCCTTAACTGTCATTACCTTATTTCATCGACCTCCTCACACCTCCCTTTTTTGTATTCTAGTTGTTGATTGTCACAGCAAATCCTTTCCATTTTTCATAATATTCTGTCATTAAATTACCTTAATCTATTTTAACCCTATCTTACCATAAAAAACCCTAAAACTTAAAACTTAAATCTTATTTATACCAATTTCTCATAACCATATCATATTCTTACATAATTCTTTTTAACATTTCTGCTAAAGCCAAATCATTTCGTTCCAACATTATTCTAATACTCATTAATTTTAGAAAACATTCCTAAGTAGAATTTTTAAAACTTTCTTCCAATATTCATCCAACGTCTCTTCCTCCTGGTCTCGGGTTTTGTCAGTCCTTTCTATCCCATCCAACTAGTTCATTAACCTGGTAACCTTATGTCCGAGGCCCTTAAGTCTCTTCCATGTCCCTTCCGCAGATCTTCTTCATATTTATACCTGTACTTTACTTTGTCTTCTGCTCCTTTCACTCGTGGAGACTCCAGCTTGACAATATTTTTATCCCTTCTCGACAGATCAGCCCCTTTTCCATAGTCCACACTGAACTCCATGTGATATTTAAAGGCATGTTTCAAGGTCCCTCCAAAGTTGAGGATCCCCACAACTCCAAACTCCTCCCGGCCCAACGCCAGACTTGAAAAGTCAAAATATCCCTGCATAGGGGGGGTCTAACCAGCCCCCCATCTCCAAGCCAAACAAGACTCTATCTCTCCAAATCTGGCTTTTTCCAGGTTCATTCATCAGATCCAACAACTCATGTTCCTGCTGGGCCACAGTTCCCTCCATCTCTGCCTCCCAGGGTCCAGCCACAACCTCCTCCCTCATCTGATCTGTCAGAGCACACTCCTGAATTGATTCCTGAGTGGGTTCTATATAGATACCCACTACCTGTCCAAAATTTCTGATCGCAACAGTAATCAAATCCGTCTTCTCATGTAACTGTTCCAATAAAGCACTTGTCTTACAGAAAGCATGCACCAGAGCCTCCGAGTACATTGTTGTGCAAGGTCAAAAGTCTGATCCCACGGTCTTAATCTGTTGCAGCTGCAAAGCTCCCCAGTTTAGATTTAATAACAGTTTCACAAGCTCCCTCTAGGGGAAGAACTTCTATTTGTATCCATCTCTCTCTCTCTCTTTTTTTTTAAAGCAGATCTAACAACAAAGTTTCCTTTTTCAGATATTTTGTCAATATTTTGCTCCTTTTAGCTGCGAAGGAGAACAATGGAATCACTATGTTTCTCTTCTTTTAACTGTCTGTCAAAAATGTTTGTCTATAGTCAATGAACTCCGAAAAAGTCTGTCCTGACACCCCGTTCCCAGGTTCAAGACGGTGGTAAATTACTTTTCTTTACGCACTCTTCTGCAGGTTTAAACAGTCCAGAAAGAATCCCCCCTCTGTAAGGGGGTCCAGTAATTTTAGATGATGAAAGTTAATCCTTTACAAACGATTTTCTAAGCTCTAGCTTGCCATGTCTTTGCTTTAATCTTTTTACAAAGAGCGGAAGGCTGACTTCCTGTTTAGACCTTCCCGCTTCAGTGCCAGATTAAAAGGAATTTCTTGGTCCAATTTTCCGTTCTACTCACGGGTCGTTGTTTAGAGTCCAATTGTCCAAATTTAACCTACTCACGGGTAGTTGGTTTTGTAGCCAGATTGTCACAGGAAAAAGGTAGCGCTCTCCGGTAACGGCTGTGCGGCTTCGCTCCACGGAAGTAGCAGTTGACTCTCAGCACCGCGCCGCTTGCCCCGCTTCGCTCCGGAGCCCGTAATTGGGCTCCTTTACAAATTGGGGGGGGGCGTGAAAGGTGCCCGCCGAGTCCCACGGTCACAGGCTTCACCCGCCTGTGATTTTTTAAAGGGTCCCCGCTTCGCCGTAGCGGAGCAGACCCAATTCCCGTAGAGCCAGTCCCTCCGGATCAGAGGGAGTCCGCCATTACCGATGGCGCCACCCCGGAAGTCCCCATCTGCCCATATATTAACATCAGAGGAAGATAACTTTCCTGGTGGTTGCTGGAGAGGTGAGTAGTGGAGGACAACAACAATTTATCCATGCATGCCTCTAAAGAGAGAGAATTCTAGAGGTAGGGAGCAATCTCACACCCCACCAACATATGCATAACTTGCCAGCAAGACTGTCAGCTGCTCAGAGTAGCAGGGAAAGTTCCCCTCCTCTGGGGAGGTCTAGACAGCACTTGTTTGAGGCCTTCTGGAGCCCTGAAAAGCACATCCTGTATGTTCTTTATTGTATAGTCATACATTACTCTGAGGCATAGATGTGCGCGTGAGGTGTGTCAGCCACACTCTAAGGCTCAGGCAGACCCCCTTTTTTTAAGGGGGGGTCAAGAGAAGCAGAGGGTTGCAGGAAAAATAAAAAGGCTGGAACAGATCTGCAGCTTCTGCCTGCATCTGTCTCTGGTGATTGGCTCCAGCAGCAGCAATAATGGAGGAAGAGGAACTTCCTCCTCTGCAGGATTCATTCCAGCCTTTTTCTTCTGCCTGTGCACTGTCTCATGGCTCTGTCTCCACTGGAGCTTTGCTGGCCACCTTTTGCAGAGAGGTCCATGGGAGTGAGGGGCTGCTTGTGTGGTGCGCAAACAAGGAGAAAGAGGAGTCATCCAGCCCCTGGCCATCCAGATCTGTCCTGCTCTGGTCAACGTGGCACAGGTCTTCTCTGTGGGAAAAATCTCTCTTTTTTGGATTCTTGACCACTTTTGTGGAGGTTGTTATGTTGGCTTTTTGCCTCTGTGCCTCTTCCTTGTCCTTATTTAATTCTCTTGTTGTTTCCCATACCACCACTCCCTTCTTCCTTTGTTGAAATAAATAATCAATAAAAATATACGGGTGCACACCCCAATGCTCTTAAGGAATAATGTCTAAAGGCAATAACCCTTTCATATTCCAGTGATAGAAATCTTACTAATGTATGCCACTAGCCTGGCTGTGAGTGCTCCAGTAAGGAAGAAAAGTACTCCCCCTGCTGGTCTCCTAATGGATCCAAGCCTGATACTATGCAGTGGTTTTCAACCAGTGTGCTGTGGCACCCTGGGGTGCCTTGAATGATGGTCAGGGGTGCCGCGGGCAACACTGGTCTCTGTCCCTCTTTCCTTCCCTCCCTCCTCTGATGCCCTCTCATGTCTCTGTCTCTCAAAGGCTTGCATAGCTGTTTGTTGCAGCAGCCCCAGCTACAAGCTCTGCAGGCAAGTGGTGCCTCTGGGGTTGGCCAGGGGGTGCTTCCCAGGCCCCTGTGGGGCAGTGTGAGGAGGCACCTCTCTTTGGGCAAGGGGGGCAGCTCAGAGACCAGTGGTGGTAGCTGCGGCTGCCCAGAGGAGAGAAAAGAGGCTGAGGGAACACTCTACAAGGGACTGTGTTTGAAAAGCAGCTCTGCAGCCAAGGAGTGACACAACTAGGCTCCTGAACTTCACAGGGATGCTGCAGAAAGAATGTAGTTGGTCAAGGGAGCTGTGGACTCAAAAAGGTTGAAAACCTGCTATCCAGCAATGAGTTTTGCAGTAACAGCAGCAATGTCAGTGTGACCACAGTGTGTGGTGAAGTGACTAGACTATTGAATTTAAATATGAAGCCTGCCATGTGACCTAAGGCTAATTGACTGCTTTCTCTGCCTAATTTACCTCAGGAAGTCATTGTGAGATTCAAAGAGTGCTTGGAGCTTTTATTCTCTTTGAGTATTGTATACACCCTTACACACACACACACACACACACACACAATCGGTTGCATACACAAGAAGAGCCATGAGCAAGTTCCTTGAAATGGGCTATTTGTGAAGGGCATCATCAGAAGTATTAACTTATGGCAAAGAACAACATTATTAACACAAAAAGCCTGCTCAAGTCAGCTGTTTCCTGAAAACAAAATAAAAACAAAACAACAATAGTTTACAAACAAACCAGAGCATTTGAGTGCTTTACAGATAAAAATGTTTAGGTAATTTTGAGACGTTGCCACTTGCTGTTTGAAGTAAAGACATAATACTTGTGCTAAGGACAAACATCCCTATTAGGCTGAAATCCCACTGCACTGAATGGGACTGAATCAGAATAAGCCATGTATTGGATCAGACACAGCAACAGAGCCTTAACTGTCCTGTTATCTTTCTGTTATGTTTGAACTGTGGCAGCAGTTCATACAAGTGCACCCGACTGATATAGTTGCATGTGCTCATGTACCCTTGGAGCTTGTGCACAGGTGAGCTGCTCCATGAATTCCAATAAAGGTAGCCGAAACGTATGTGTGAATTGTGGACATGTGAACCATCTCTCTGCATTTAAATGAATAGGACAGCTTTGTGGGCAGAGAACTGTGTGTGTTGCCTGATCCAGGGGACCTGTGTTTATCTCCTTCTTACCCAGGAAGTCTTAATAGCAAGCAGTTGCTGTAGTATTTTTTCCAGCCTATTCCTCTAGCCCCAGCCATATCTGTTTCCTGAGCTATAGACTGCTTGACAATGAGTTATTATAAACTTGCACTCTAAAAGCCATTTCTTAGTATACATTTCAGTTTTCTGCATCCAGAATAACATCATAGAGTTTGATGTAAGTGTAACTGTGCTTCCCATTTGTGGCATAATTATAATTCACTGCTTTGCTGTTTGTTTACATGTGATAGGATCTCAGTCCAAAGAACTTCAGTAGCAAAGTTCATAAATATTCAGGGTACAACAATTTTTATTCATCTTCATGAGAAAAATTCTTGTTTAAGGAAGTGGGCTCTAATTTAAAATCCTGCCTTTTATAAATAGGGAGCTGTTGCACAAAGGAAGCACTTTGTACATTCAGTAGAGTATCATATGATGGCAAAAGCACATGAGGGTCACCCTAAGGATTACCTCATACAGCAGTGAATGAAACACATATCTCTTAAATGAAAATTGTGTCAGGAGAAACTATCTACTTTCAGATGTTGTGGTTTATAGTCTCTGATGACTCATAAAATGCAGAGGAATTTATATGTATAGATTTATTTATCATGAGCATATTTTGGGAATCTTCAGTAATGTGAAAAGCACACCACCAGGAAGAACAGAACTGTGCACAAAATGTTTTCCTTCTGGATCAATATCAATGCATTATGGTCAGCAAAAATGAATGATTATATAAATTCAAGTTGAACCGATCTTACCCTTTGTGTGTTGCTGCTCTTGTGGTATAAGGAGACAATGAAGAGAAGCTCCACGTTAAAATATTTCATTTTGCACCGGAGACTGAAAAATAAAATCTGAACTAAAGCAGCTATCCTCATTTACTGGAAATACTGTGTTTACAATGATAACCTCAAATCAAGTATCACATACCACAGATTCTATTATCTCCAGCTCTAATTGCAAGATGGGAAGTACCAGGAAATGTCTCACTTAACAAAACATGATTAGGACTGAGGTGTTTGTCAAATCATTGCTGAAGAAGTGGAAAATCATAAGAGAAACTTGTAACGCCTACCTGCATGAAATGTACTCCAAAGAATGGTCAACATGACAGATGTGGAATCCTAATACACAGGAAGTACCATGAAGTGTAGTTTTCAAAGGGTATTTTGACACTGCTTACTAATAAAATATATAGTTGGTGTTGTATATGAATGCTTAAGTCCTTTTTTCCTATAGTAATAACACTGCCTCTCTGTGATTATTTGCATTTTCATTAGCTGCCAGAGACTACGATTTATTAAGTATAACCTAAATTTTTAGCCATTCTGGCAGGTTCTCTTTTCTGATGTGATTTGTAATGTCAACTCTACTGCAGAATATTAGATGGCAGCAATGAGTAATAGATGAGCCTTACATTTTGCCTTGGGAGGCAAATAAAATTCAAACCACATTAGTTAAGGAGCACTGGAGCTGAACTCCTCCCCCTCCTCCCCAGGTTTTGTAGTGTTTCCTGTGGCAGCTTAAAGGAAACCACAAGCACTGAAAGATCACCAACCCTGTTCTTTCATCAATGAGATACATAAGCCTTGTTTTAATTCCACACTGGCTTTCCAGAATGAATGGTATTGCCACACTGATAAGCATCCCCTCCTCCTATCCAAGAAACCAAACACAGGAAATACACTTTTGGCCTGATCCTACAAAGCTGTTATGTCATTCCCATATGTATAAGCACAGGGCTTCCGCCCCCCCCCAGCCGGAACTTGCCAGAACTCAGTTCTGCCACCTCTCAGGTGTGTGCCCATTGCCACTGTAAAAAAAACCAAGGATGGTGTTCATAATGAGTTCCAGCACCTCTTTTTCTTGAAAAATAGCACCGTATAAGCATTTGCTCATAAAAAAACAGCAGATATCATGGCAAAATAATGCACCTTCCTTGTTGCTCTGTTCCCATGATACCCAACCTTAAATCCCAACACTAGCTTTCTGTCCACTACTCCTGGATCCAGCACAAATCCCTTGTCCTTACCTTCAAAGCTTGGGTCCTCCCCACACCATCTTACTACTCTTATGACCCAAACCACACTTTCTTGTCACCTTTAGTCCTCCAGCTCTGCCTCTTGACTATCTGCTCCCTCAAAGGACTCCCCCCCCCTTTTGTTGTTATGCTTGTAACAACCTATGTCTTGTAACCTGAACTGCAACCCTTTTTGGCCGAAGAAGCAGGGTAAAAAAAAAAGCTTTAAACAAACAAACATGTGTGTTTATCCGACCCAACATGTCTCTCTGTAATCTGGCACATAATTTTAATCTAATTAATTGCTACAAGTTTCTCCATTATCATCCTGAGACTATTAGAGGCAAGAAGGCACCCTTTAGAAAATGGAAGTTTTGTCCAAATGAAAACAAAAGAGAAGACAAACTTTGGCAAAAGGAATGCAAGCAGACAAGAAGGAATGCATAAGAATAATTCTAGGAGTGCATTGCTAAAAACAAAAAAGATAAGCATAAAAAACCCATTTTAATTATATTAGTAGGCAGCAAGAGACTGGCGAGGGAGGTGGCGGAACGCTTGGATGACAAGGGAGTCAAAGGTGATACAAGTGTGAGGCCAAGTGCTATGGGCCACATCCAACCGGTACGTTTAAAGCACTTAGCTACCCTCAAAGAATCCTGGGGACTGTGTTTACCTCTCACAGAGCCACAGTTCCCAGAACACTTCACTACAGTTCCCAGGATTCTTTGCAGGGAGTCATGTGCTTTAAATGTATGGTGCGGATGTGACCCCGTTGCTTAGGATCAGATATCCCTCTTTCTTTTCTAGTATAGTAGTACCTCGGGTTAAGTACTTAATTCATTCTGGAGGTCTGTTCTTAACCTGAAACTGTTCTTAACCTGAAGCACAACTTTAGCTAATGGGGCCTCCTGCCGCCGCTGGAGCACAATTTCTTTTCTCATCTTCAAGCAAAGTTCTTAACCCGAGGTACTATTTCTGGGTTAGCGGAGTCAGTAACCTGAAGCGTATGTAACCTGAAGCGTATGTAACCCGAGGTACCACTGTACAGATATACACTAGGATGCCAGAGCAAGACAATTTGAGGAAGCAAAGTGATGGCCAGGACTATTTTAGGGGAGCATACTTAAATCCATGTTCGAATAATAGAATTGTAGAGTTGGAAGGGACCCTGAGGGTCATCCTGGTGGAATCTACACACATATAAAAAAAGTTCCAAAAATGCTTTTTTAAAAATACGTTGAATTTTCTATAAAGCTCACCGTCTCCATCTAGTGTCACATTGTATATTGCACTTAAAACACACTTAAAATGTTTTATTTGCAGCTGTATAGCTGAGTCTAGTCTAATCCACTGCAATGCAAGCATCACAACATACAATCTCCCATTCAATTTGAAACCATACTGGACACTGCTTGGCTTTGCAAATGTGCTAGCAGTTTCATTGCTGCCGGTTGTATGCACATACCTTAACATACTGTGACAGAAAGCTAGGAACGTAAAGTGGTAGTGGGAAATACTTTTCAGGGTGCATCTAGTACCCATCAGCACCATCACCAAGGCACAGAGATGTCATGGGGCACCTCCTGGGCTGATGCCTCCTTATTTCAGAAGGTAGGGTTGTCCATACGTCGGCAGCAGTGTCCGGGCAGAAATCGATAAAATGTCCAGGAAAAATCAGATGTATGGCAGCCCATGCCAGCAGTGCTGTTGTTCGATTAAAATAGCTCAATAACTTTTCTGCCCAGATTTTCACTGTTTGAAATATGGCAACCCTACAGAAAGTGACGGCCAGTTCAATCTTCAGTCAATGCTGCTTATTCGAGTGGTGCCCCTTACTCAGCTGATGTATTTATGTTGTTAGGGCATTGACTGTTTACATATTAAGCTGGATTTAAATGAACTAATGTGCACTGTTTTAGTGCTTCGTGTTCTGGGATTGTGCAGACAATGATGAGCACATTTGAATACAGTCATACCTCGGGTTGAAGTAGCTTCGGGATAAGTATTTTCAGGTTGCGCGTTGCGGCAACCTGGAAGTAACGGAGTGCATTACTTCCGGGTTTCGCAGCTCGCACATGTGCAAGCGGTCAAAATGACGTCACGTGCAGGCGCAGAAGCAGCAAATTGCGACCCGCGGTTTTTGTTCGCTTCTGGATGCGAACAGGGCTCCGGAACTGTAAATAAGTAAACAATATAAAATAATGATTGGTCTGGCCCTGCCCAGGGCACCCATTACTCAAATATTTGCCAGGTGTTATCACTTTCCTTCACCTCTCATAGGCAGGCATCTTCGCAGAAGGCTGAGGAATATTTCTTGTTTTATCTTAAAAGAAGAACAGAGTCCTACCACAAGCCCCTTGTTGCTTTTGCTGCAACAGGCTTCGGAGGGGCTATTCTTTGCCCTCCAACAAAAGACCAAAGGCAAAACTTTTCTCAAGGTTGGGGCCCCCGTCCCCTCCCAGCTCAGGCCTTCTTTTTACCCACAATCCCCCCGACTTTTAGCGAGGCCAGCAGAGGCTTCTCGCTCTTCCCGGCTGTGGGATGCGAGCGGGGAGTGGAAGAAACCTGAACCCAAAAGGCGCCCACCCCCTTCCCCGCTCCCGCCAGCCTCTGTGCTGCGGCTGCACCTGGCGCCTTGGCAGGCTGGGCACGTTCCTCCCCGCCGGGCCGCACGCCTTCGTCGGCCGGCCCCCAACCGGGGCAGCGCACGAGCCTGGCTCGCGGCGGCGGCGAGAGCCGTGGGGACCGCGGTGTCGGGCAGCCCTGTCGGGAGGCGCGCGCCGCCGCCGCCGCCCTCCTCCTCCTCCTCCTCCTCCCGGCCGGTGCCACAGGGCGAGATGCAGGCGCCGGAAAGAAAGCGCGCGCGGGAGAGACGGCGAGCAGCTCCCCGCGTCCCCTTCTGAGGGCGCCTCCTTCGCCGTTGTGCAGCCCAGCCGTGCGCCTCAGGGCCCGTCCAAAGCTGCGGAGGCGCGTCTCCTGAGGGGCTGAAAACGGAGATGGAGCCAGAAGGTGAGCTTGGGGTGGCAGCTTTTGCTACTCGGGGAGCGAGTTGCTAAATCTCTCTCTCTCTTACCCCTTTTCCAGGGCTCCCTGCTTGCATGTGCTTCTCATCTCCCTGCGCCTCGGGAAAAACTTTCCGTGCAAGTTGACTTGGGACTGCCAAATCTCACTCACTGCACGGAAGCCAGAGTCCTGCATTGTTCTCTGTCTGCCCCCCTCCTTCAAGACTTTCCTCAAGGTTTGACCGAGGGGGGAGCTGGCTGTCTGGCGGCGGAATGTGCTGGAGTGAATGGGTTTTCTTTTTTAAAACTTCCAACATGCAAGGTTTCGCTGGAAGTGTTAATATCAGCCGACTGCCCAGACCTGCGTTTTCCTTGAAACCAGCCTGGATTGCCTGCTAATAAATCCGGCGGCCCACATTTCACTCAGTAGACGCCAAATGGTTTGTTCTGGCTCTGCCTTGGAGGGAAACACCTTGCTGAAAAATGTGGAAGGTTGAAGAAAGGGAGAGGACAGGGGTTTATATAGTTTGGCGCATGACCTCCTTTCTTGGTGTGATTAGAAAGGATTGGATTGATGTGCATCTTAATGATGATTGTACCTGTGGTTAGTTTGTTCGTGATGTTTTTCAAACAACAATACTGGGAGACCCCTTCCTGGTGGTTAAGAATTCAATGTTGGTTAAGACTAGTCTTGTAGTTGTCCTTCCAGTAGCAGCTTGCCACAGATACTTGGAAAGTTCTCAGTGTAGCGCATGATGGCAAGTGCCAACCCCTTTTTGCATTAGCACTTGACTGTCAGGTATACTGGTTTTGAACATGGAGCTACTCTCCGTTGAGTGGTTTACTCCCTTTTGATAAATGAATTTAAGCTAGTGTCTGTCACAGCACTTTGCGGTGGCAGATTTCATTAAGCCAGATCCATTGTGTAAATAAGTGCTACCTTTTGGCTTTGTCTGTGTTGAACCTGCTGCCTCTCAGTTCCACTGGGTGATTCATTTATTTAAATCATTCTGACTCTGTTCCTCAACAGAAAGGGCTTCCAGAGCAGCTTCCAGGTGAATAAAAACAAGACAGCCCCCGTTTTCAGATTCACAATTTAAAAGAGAGAGAGGCATAAAAGGAGAAAACAATGAAGAGGGAGAAGGGGAAAGCAAAATCAGGCACCAGTTGCAGAGTCCTTCTAACCAGCTGGGAAGGAAACAGTTCTGGGAGAGGAGGAGCCAAAAGGAGTTGGTCTCTCAGCTTATCTGATGGAGATGATGAAATGGTTGCTAGTAGGTGACAGCTGAAGGAGAGCCAAAGGCAGCTGCTGGTGTCTCAACCGAGCCAATGGACTTGGTATTATAAAAGCCTGTGCAGTCTCTCCACAGCGTTTATAATACAGTATCTCTACCTTTGTTTTAGCTAAAAAGCCCCAAATGCTTCCTAACAGTGAAGATGTTCAATATCTAGCTTATGGCTCTGGCTTTTAATGTCTAGCCCCTGATTGTTTAATGTTCTGTTTTTTTGTTAGGAAGTTCGTTGTATTAATGGATTATTTTAATTGGTTAGCCACTCTGAAAGCCTTTTCGATACAGAAAACATAGGAAGTTGTTTTATACCATTGGTCTGTATAATTCATGGATTCCTTCAGTGGTTGGTTTCAGCTGGATCTTTCCCAGCCCTATGCCTGAGGTTGAAGACTGAAGGCTTAAAGGGTGGGTTATAAATATAAGAAATGTCCAGTTTGAGGTGGGACAACCAGAATAGTACATACAGTGGTGCCTCGCAAGACGAAATTAATCCGTTCCGCGAGTCTCTTCGTCTTGCGGTTTTTTCGTCTTGCGAAGCACGGCTATTAGCGGCTTAGCGGCTATTAACGGCTTAGCGGCTTAGCAGCTTTAAGAAAAAGGAAACAAACTCGCAAGAACTTGCAAGACGTTTCACTTGCGAAGCAAGCCCATAGGGAAATTCGTCTTGTGGAACGACTCAAAAAACGGAAAACTCTTTCGTCTAGCGAGTTTTTCGTCTTGCGAGGCATTCGTCTTGCGGGGCACCACTGTATTATAAGACATGAGTAACCAAAGCTAAGCTCAGTAAAAGAAACTCTGTATACTTATTCAATGAAAAGTTCACCTTCTTTCTTTTCTATCACTTCATTAATTGTCTATCATCTGTTTGCTTTCTGGGACAGAGACTTCAGTGCTGTGAATAGTTCCAAACATCTTGGGTGCTGCTGCTATTTTCTTTCTTTCCCCTTACATAAAACCAGCTTCTTCGTTGAGGGCCTGGATACAAGTCCAAGTTAACAACTGACTGCTGATCTAGCCTGCCAGGATCATTGTGTGGTAGATTTGGCAGACTGGAACAGCTGCTGCGTTCAATTTTTGTTCAGTGGGAATGTATACCAAGTGCATATTGCATCTTGAGACATCCCAGGAGTGCTTGAAGCTGGTTCTAAAGATTTCACCAGACCTGTGAGGTTAGGGTTACCTTTAAAGGCTTGGACCTGTTATTCTCTTAGAATTGCTAAGGTAGAAATTGAACTCATTTCCTCTCTTAAGGGTGCTTGCTAGTTTCTATGTGCATAAAAGATATTATTAAAGCAACAACAACAGCAATGAAAACAACTATTAACATAAAACACACAAGGACAGCCGCACAGCCAGCTTGGGGGTGTTTCGGCTATGCAAGGCCCCAGATTTGCACCTGCTGTTCTTCCCCTAGTGTGTGTGTGTATAGCATATATTTGTTGCCCTTTTAGAAACCTGTTTGAGGTATTGCAGTGAATGTAATGCTATTTTAACTTTTCCTGTTCACAACCACTGGCTTACTAAGGTATCTAGCATATTTAAAAAAGAGCGAAGAAAACTGTATGAGACGCATTTATAGAACATTTGAAACTGTTCATGCAAACCTCATATTTCCCGCAGTTTCTATTTCTGAAATGCATGTTGAAGTTCAATGTCCAGCATATCTCTACCACTTTCAAAAAGAAAAGAGGTGGCCAGTTCACAGTCATTGGGGCCTGTCCCAGCCTCTATATAGGTCTGCACTTGTAATGTAATGTAATGGGATTTTTTAAGGTTTGAGGATGATGTAGAACAGCTGATGGTTCCCTGTATAAGATCCAAGATGGTTGGGACAGCCTTGTATTTTGGGAACAACCTATGGGGCTTTTTTAATATCGAAAAAAAAGTGAGTAAGGGAGGGGGACATGATAGAGCTATAAAATTATGTATCATGTGGAGAAAGTAGATAAAGAGAAGTCCTCCCCTCCTTCTACGATAACACTAGAACTTAGTGTCATCCAATAAAGGTGAATGTTGGAAGAATCAGGAAATACAAAAGGAAGTACTTCTTCATACACCACATAATAAAACTATGAAATTAACTACCACAAGATATAGTAAAGGCCACCAACCTTGATGGATTTAAAAGGGTTTTAGACAAATTAATGGAAGGCAGGCTATCTACAGCCACTAGCTGTGATGGCTGTGTACTTCCTGCAGTTTGGGTTGGGATGTGCTATGCCTCTGAACACCAGTAACGGGGGAGCACAAGTGGGGAAATTGCTTATGGGCTTTACATAAGGCATCTGGTTGGCCACTGAGAACAAGTTGCTGGACTAGATGGACCCTGGTGGTCTGATCCATTGGGACTCCTCTTATGTTCTTATGCCACTGATGGGTAGGGCCTGAGGCAAAAAGGGGCAGAACAACACATGGAACTCTAGTGTTTGTATAGTAGATTACATCCCAGCCATGCAGAAGTCAAGGGGCTATACACACACACACACACACAGGAATACACATCTCTTTTGGCATCCATTGAAGCAGGGTCTAGAGAAAAAGGCCTATAAGTCTGCATTTGGGTCTCAGGTTACCCAATCCTGATTTATGGTAGGCCAATGGAGGCCAATGGAGGCCAATGGAGGAGGCCCTCCTGCCTTGCCACTCTCTTGGTCATTGCATTTGGGGTTCCATTGTGATTCCATCTTGTCTCCCCATTCTGTTCGACGTGTAATTAAGGCCAGTAGGTGTGAGGACAGACATAATGTTTATTGGCACCTGATACCTACTCTATCCCTCCTTTGTTTTTTCTACAGGTACTGCTACAGGTTACCTCAGGAGTTTCCAACCTGTTTAGGGCTGAGGGTCACAAATTGATTTTTGAGCAAGTGCTATGGACAATATTTCTTCTATTCCCTTTTCTTTGCTTTCCCCTGCATCAGCTCACACCCCACGCCATTTGAAATATGTCTGGTATCTGGGTAAAAGTCAGATTCAGTAGAATTACTCTGAGCCATGAAATCCACAAAGAAAGAGGGGCTGAGTACCCATCACTGTTTGGCTTCCATGTGCCCCACCACTGGTGTTAGAAGCTGAATACACATGACATTTGCCACAATCCATATGTATCCTGTAGAGTCTTGATAAGTACTTTTGTTTGATGTACAGTGGTACCTCTGGTTACAAACTTAATTCGTTCCGGAGGTCCGTTCTTAAGCTGAAACCGTTCTTATACTGAGGTGCGCTTTTGCTAATGGGGCCTCCCGCTGTGTGCGCGCCTCTGATGCACGATTTCCATTCACATCCTGAGGCAAAGTTCGCAATTGGGAGCAGCTACTTCTGGGTTAGCGGAGTTTGTAACCCGAAGTGTTCATAACCAGAAGTGTTC